ATTCATTGATTTTTTCTTGTCCTAAGATTAAAGATATACTCTTTAAGTTACTTGTGGAACTTACATGACGCATCTCGGAGAAAATTTCTCAGATTTTGAATATATATATATATTGATCTTTTAGAGTCTTGCTGAACTTGAATTAGATTTGCTTCTTTTATTTGGTCGTCTCTCTTTCGTGATACTCCATTTATATCGACGGCGCCGTCGACGATGACTATTTCGCCTCGATGTGTGTTGGTGAACGCCATCCAATCGGTTATTTTGTTGTCGCTTGCGTGCGTGTTACGGTTTGTCGTCGTATATACATATATCGGGTTACTGCTTCGCAGAATTTTGTAATTCAATCTAATCTAATTCATGTCACGTTGACACGAAGAACAATAATCGCCGCGTCAAGAAATCACCAGCTTTCGTTCCGTCTCTCATCAACATCGTCATCGTCGTCGTCGTCGTTTAAAGTCGTTTAAAAGAGCATACATGCATCGTCGGCAATTACATCGTTAAAAAATACGCCGGAATATCGGTCGCTTTTAAATCAGCCTGGATTACGGAGGTTGTGTGATGATGACACTACGATGATGATGATGACGACGAGCAGAAGGAATTGCGACGCAATTTCCACTTTGTTGTCGCTTGTCGATGATCAATTTCGCGTCGCGACGAAAATAATCAGAATACGATGCTATCACGTCATCGAACGAGAATTAATCAGCGTAATGAAGATATCTGATGATATATATTTTTTTTAATTATATAACGCTTCGAGAAATCTATTTGTTGAAAATATCAAATGACGCGTCTGTCAACAAGTCCAAAATATGTCGTCGTATATCATTATGCTTATTTTGATCGACCAACCTCCTTATATTATTGATCATTCAATGCAACCATACCCTTCAATATTATAAATCAATTTTATATCAATATATATCAATTTATATCAATATCAATTAATATAACTTATTTTTTGACATTTATATATATATATATATACATATATATATCACCTGGGTATGTCAAAAAATAAGTTATACTAATTTGAAATACAAACACGAGCTTAAAGTTATCTCTATAATACCAGTTTTGTTGTCACACTTAGTAGTCTTATTGTGTCGTTATATTTAGTATTTACCTACATGCGCATTCATTGTTATGCATGCATCACTCCTTCATTTTGCATGTGAAAGCGCCACTAGGCGAGTTGGCAATTGCTACAATGGCATTAATAAAATTGCGAATGGTATGCAACGACGGGGATGAATTATGAGACAGCGCGACGAGTAAAATCAGTTTGCGATGCCAGCTGAAAAATATGCTGCCGAAAATGTAAGGCAGAGTTAGCCGAAGACGATAATTTACAATCACGTTGATGCATTATGCAGTATAACTAAATATCGAATACGATTGTTGATACACGAGATTTTCAGCGATATGTCAAAACCTTGTTTGCACTCAAATTTATTTCGCTCTCGCACAGGTGCGTGAAAAATAAAACTGATACTCAGATATTATAATCACGTAATAATTATTAATTGTTAAATTACGTAATGTCGGTAACTAATTTGTAAAGGATAATATTTGGAAACATCTATCTAAATTGTGAAAAAAACTGACAAACTAACTTGCTATTATATAAATTGAAAAAGTGCGGTCTGACTAATTCTGATTGCTATCACTCACAATTTTTCAACTGCATTTAACTGTACGAATAAATCCGAGCAACCATATTCCATTTTTTTTACATTAAAAAATCTCCATTTTTTCTAAATATTTTTTGAAAAAATATTCTAAACTATATATGTTGTTATAACATTGAGAGTTTATATTGTACTCTTATAGAAATTATATAAACTTAATATTCATATATAAATCTATATACAAATACATGACAATATATAATTGTTTTTTTAATAAAGTGAAAAGTTGATCTCTGATGTGTATAAAATATCTCACAGCTTTGCTATGTTAATTAAAGTTCTAACAGCTACAACAGAAGACTTAATAAAAATTTAATTAGCTGTTATACGAGAATTTACCACACTTTTGCTGTAACTTGTTATAAAATTAATTGGAGATATATACTAATTATTAATAATTGATAACAACTAATAATATAATTAAAGTAAAAATCTATAACTTTTAATCTCATTTTATTTTTTCTGTTTTTATTTTTATTTTCTGCGGGGAATAAATTAATTAATAATTTATTATTATATAGGAGAAATAAATGTCAGAAGCGGTTTCAATTTCAAATTTGCACGTGTGAATTGTATTTGGCTCATAATTCTATTCGATGTATGTGTATGCATGCATTTTAAATCTTCGAATTTATTATTTTTCACAATCCCGATCTTGAGAAAAATTTTATTGCTCTTTTATTAGTAGTCGACTTATATGTATTATTAACGATTCTTCCGAAGTTTATACAAAATTATATCTCTTTCTCTTCGATTATCCTCCCAGAGATCCTCTAGATATGTCCTCTAGACATACAGTCTGTCGGGTCGAAGGTCAGAATTTCACCAGAATTTCAAGGAATTCCAATCAGCTTTGCAATGTTCAGTAACAAGTTGTATAATTACAACTGCCGAAAGTTGCTTAGTCGATTAATTATTGAACAAATATCATAATGACATGATTACATAATTTTAATTTACATATTACACAAACAATTATTTATTATTATCCCCAGAAATAATGATAAGTTTACTGATAAAAATTTAGTAATATATTGTGCTATATAATTGCGCAAAAAAATATATATATGATATTGTATTATATTTATGTTTTATTTTTTTAATAATAGGATATTATTATTATATTGATTATTAAATCTGAAAGCAGCTATCTAAGGGAGCTTATCCTTACTGAGCCTTTTGGAAAAATATTTTTTTAGAAATAACTGTCTTCCTTTCTGACAAGAACAACGCGTCCTTTCTCGAAGATGATATACTTGTTTACTCGTCTGTTGATTAAGAAAACGTATCTTTATTAGATTCGTTTTTTAAGCTGATTCCTAAAAATCGATAAGTACTGTTACTCTTCATGTTTTAGAAGACTTTCCGGAGGTTGTATGAAAGAATTCAAACTTTTCAAGAATTTATAAAACTGTAAATTTATATTTAATCTTTTTATAACTTACTGACTATTTTTTAATACTAACACATTTTTTATAATTAAGTATATTATAAAGTTGCGAATACAATTTTCTCCTACGTTCAGTCTCTCCTGCAGCAGTTTAAGAAAATAGTAATAGTAAGCCTTAATCTCTCGTTTAAACTTGAACGATCTATTTAAATAAAATCTTATTTCGATACTTATTTAATTATCACCAGTGTTGTACTTAGATGATTTTAAAATTAACTAGATAAATATGAGATAAAAAATTCATCTTAGATGAGATAAAGATGATTTTATTTTAAATATATCTAGGTAAAAGATAAAATTATATGGTGATTTATCTAGATAATAATTTTTAAGACTGTTTATGTAAACAGTTGTAAATTATAAAAGGGATATAAAAATATATGTATTCATATTATTTATGTAATTTTACATATTTTTATATAATATAATACATATTTTTTTACAGTGTATCACGTAATATTAAAAATGAAATGTGCGAGACAATTAAACTTTCTGACATAAAATTTTAACCGCAAAAAGGATGAATTTCTCTCTCGATTTTATAGGATTTGCATATAATTTTCCCTGAAACTGCCCATACGATCATCTCGTTAAGCGCACTTTAATGACGCGGCAAATGGAGTTGATGCAATATCGACTCGACTGATTATGCATTTCGCGATATCGCGCAATTATTTGCACGGATTCGGGTGTCCACACACACGTGCATACACGCGCGCATAAAGCCCTAAATAATATATTCGTATTGTTCAAGCACTCTATTGGCATAAGAGCGGTCTCTCGTTAGCTTTCGTCGAGGAGAGAGAGGGAGATTTCCACGTTTTTAGACCACGCGACCAAAATACGCAGCTGTCATTTGAAATAATCAAGTCGGATTAAGTCGAGCAAACTGCTACGTGACTGAAGCGTTGACGACCAAAATCATCGCTCAGAAATACACGTGGAAATATTCGCGGATCGCGCTACGAAAGTAGACAAAACTTCTCATTCTCGCGGTAATATTCTGAATAGTTTCAACAATTGTATTTTCATAGATAGACAAATTAATTTTTACTTTTATGAATATTATTTGCGCATTTTAAATTCAAATATAATACTGTTTTTCTCTTATTTTAAAAAGAGTTAATCTTATTATGGAAAAAATTTACCACCATAGCTAAATTTTAGCTGTCCCTAAATTACACCTGAAATTTAGCTATCATGCCTAAATTTTAGCTGTGAGCTAATATTTTTTAGCTATAAAATTCTCCGTTAAACAGATAAAACACCGTTAAATAGGATAAGGTCTCTTAAATAGCTCCTTTCAGATTTAATAATCAATATAATAATATTATTATATATATATTTGATATTATTGAACAAAATATATATATATATATACATAAAATATTATTACTATAATCTAATATCATAATACAGGTATAATGTTGTATCACGTATATATATATATTTCTTTTTACGAACACAGGGAGAATTTTCTCTTAGAACTACTCTGAAAATCATAGTAATCGTGAGACAATATGGTAAAGAAAGAATTTCTCTGATTAATGTATTTACCACAATAAGATATAAAATATGTTCGATTAATTTTACTATGTACATATTCATATTTTTTATTGTGTATTATTTTATTAAGTATTTAATCAAACTCATAAAATTCTTCCAATACATCGATTATTATAATTTTCAGGGTAAATTCTAAAAGAAAATTCTCTCTGTGTGTAATTATATACATAATACAACATTACTAAATTTTTATCAAGTTTATAGCGAATAAGATTAATTTTATATATATTAACTCATATACTTAGAAAACTTTTCTTTTCCTTTTTCCGTGCCGAGTTGAAACTTTAGTGGCTAATTTTTTTCCCGCGCGTACGCACATCCGCATGTGCATATCACATTCACTCTCTCCGCTCGTTAATTCAGAACAGAATTCGGATTTCGCGAGCAAAGCACGCCGAAGTTCGCAGGAATGCGGAGCAGGAATTTGCATATCCGATGAGCGCGAAGCGATATATAGCGCCGAACGCGGCGAAGGTCACCTTGAGGAAAGTGAGGAAAAGCACACCCCCGCTGCGAAATTTCCGTACGGCGATGCCGGCGAATTTCGCGCGCATTTTCACGTTATTTATCCCCGACGAAAGAGGTGGCTTTTCTGGCGCGCCGCCACGCGAACTATTACGGTCGCGCGGCATCGGCACGGCGGCTCGATAATAATAATATGATATAATCGTGGGATTGTCACGTGGGAATACGCGCGGGATTGGCCCCGACACGAGGAAGTCGTCAGCGCAGCGTTCACCAGCCCCAGTCACGTAAGGGATGCGGCACGAGCCGGTCGGTTTTCTCGTCGCGCGTCCACTCTCGAGTGATTATCCGCATCCGTCGATTTGCGAATCGTTCACGACACCCGGTATGGCAAATTTATCGCTATTTATTTATATAAGCATACGTAAATTATAATCGTGACAGATAAGAGAAGGTTCGATAGATTGAACAAAAATGTCGTCCTTTAAAGAATCGTCGAACCAAATGTGTTTAGAATTATTATAATTATTCGCACTTGTCTTCTAATTTTAAAAATCGGAAGACGAGTACGAATAATTTTAAACTATATTTAAAAAATAAAATACCATTTAGTGTACGAACGTATTTTTTAATATCAATTGTTAATTTAATACAAATAATTACATAAAAGAAATCTTTTATATAAATCTTAGCAAATTATTTTTAATGAAATTTCATCTAATTTTATATTTATATACACAGAGAAAATGTTCTCTTAGAATTTATTCTGAAAATCATGGGACAGCAATTAATATCTACTACATAAATAAAATATAAAATATACTATACATATTAATATTTTTTTATTGTAGCAAATATTAATCAGAAAAACTTATCAAATTGTCTCACAATCATCACGATTTTCAGGATAAATTCTCTCCGTGTATATTTAATTTTCCTTATAATTTAAATAAAAAACTACTCTATCACAAACATATACATACGTATTCATTGTGCGCACTTTAATTGATAATTAAATAATCATAACGAAAGGATCTTGAATCACTGCGAATAATTGCATGATATAAAATAATCCGTCTGGTTGATCTCGCAAAAGATTAAAGTGGTAATCGCAGTCTTCAGGAGGGATCAAAGTCAAAAGTAGTTCTCGCGTTTATGTAAGGAACGACGGGAGTTCGAAATTATTTCGAGCCCGGCGTGTCGCGCGCGAATTATACACGAGGGCAAACCACGTGGTCCAAATCCACCTCGCCGGGTGGCTCTAAACTTAGGAGTCCGCAGAAGCGTAACAAGTCTCGTTCGATTTATTCCGCGCATTTCTTACGTCTCCTTTCGAAAAAAATGGGGGGTCTGCGAATAAAAAATTCGCGACGATCGAACCAAATAATATCTATAGTATTTGATCGAACTGATTAATTTCCTCCAAGTTCCTCGTTAAATATCACTGCGCGATATTCTCGTAGCACGTGGATTTGTTGCATCGCGTTCATCGAACTTTTGTATATATGTCGACCAGCATGCCTATCGATTGCATCTATAAAGCCACCAATCGCGACACTTTATATCGGTGTTTTCTAAACGGGAAAATATTCCTTGGAACGCTGGAGTTCCGCCCGATGACCTTAGATAGAATTTCGTTCGGTCAGCTCGGTTATTCTGATCTACTGCCGGTGTCTAATTTTAGGGCTCGGCTAAAAGGACATGATTGGAATAGAGTTGCAATGAGAGCTTTGTGGTCGAAATAAATTGCGAAACATTGCTCTGCATTGGTCTTCAACCGTGTTCCATTATGAAAGAGTATGAACAAAGTACTATTTGTCAAATATGCCCTTTGGCCGATTGCTTTCCATTACTTATATTAGAAAATAGGAGAAGATGGAGACTACAAATATTTAATATTATTTTTGGCAGAAAGCTTATGGAAATAAATATTATCGACGTTAATGCGTTGCTTCCGAGACCCTTCCTTATAGGAAATTCTACCCTCCTCTAACTAGAATGATTTAGAAGATGGAAATATATATTGAATCGCTCTACTTTTTTATAGAATAGCTAAGCTTGTGTGGCTATGAATAGCTTCTGTAAAGTTTACTATACTTTAGAAAACAAACGATTGATCCGCTGTCGCTTTAAAAAGCGGAAAACTTTATTGTGTAATTTAGAATAAACACAAATTATTTATGAAGATATATATATATATATATATGTAGTCTATAAAATTTTTATATACATATATTGTGTTATTTTTGTTTTTTGACTTTTTAATATGCAGGAGTTTAATCGATCAAAAGCCCTTAAAGAATTAAATATAAAAGTAAATATATCTCAAACGTTAATTACTTTATTTAAACAAAGCAGCATTACTCAAGAAAACAATGAGATTATGTTATTTGTCAAAATAATTCTACAAGAACAAAGTTATAATTCTGTCAAAATAAAGGGATTAATGAAGCTTAATTTTAATTAATTTTAACATACTTGATTGTATGAATAAACTCTAAATAAAACATAATATTTTTATGATAAATCGAATCGATAATCATGTAAAATAAATTCAATTTAATTAGAGATACTTTTTTTATATATATATATATATATATATATATATATATATATATTTTTTTTTTAATAGACATCTTACGTGTATATTTAATTGTATACTTAAAACATTTATCTATAATTAAAAGTATAATTTTTTATTTTTCGTGAATATTATAACTATTTTATCATCGTTCATTTTTTACGTTATTACACTTCTACCACGAAAAAAATTAGCTACGGCTAATTTTTTTTCCGTGTGGCAGAGGGTACGCTTTATTAATTTCTAATTACATAGTCTTATTTTTAATCATTGAATGTATATAAATAACACAGACATGGGCGTCTACAGGATTTTTTTACAAAGAGGGGCATCATTAAAACTTTGTTTATTGTCCTTTCTTCATTTTGTTATTATTTGATTTTCATTCTTTTATATCAAATAAATTCCAATTAAATTCCAGTGTTTAATCACAAAGAGAGCAAATGCTTAATTTCTTGACTGATTCCAAGAAAGGGTAGGTGCCCTCTCTTGCCTTCTCCTGCACGAACGCGGAGAAAGAAAGTATATCTGATCGATGACACAAAATATCTTTTTGTTTCCAGCTACCGTGGGACATGATCCGCAAACGAGTAACGTCAGTCAGCCGCAGCTTCAACAGCAGCAGCTACAATCCGGGGGTTGGCTGGGGGGTGGTGTCGGTGACACCAACAGCGGACTGGTCTGCCGATCAGGGAAATCGCTCAACGGCAGCAGCAAGCCGTCGTTATGCCATCATCCTCAACAGCATCAACAACAGCAGCAGCAGCAACAACAACAAGGCCAATCTGGGGGTGTGGGGGATGACGAAGACGGGGGTGGAGGGAGCGGAGGGTTGGAGGGGACGGACGCAGAGGCGAACGACGCTGTTCACCTCAAGAGACGGGTGGGACTCGTCAGTGGGGTGGCTCTAATCGTCGGCACGATGATCGGCTCCGGGATCTTCGTGTCGCCGTCGGGTCTGCTGCTGCGCACCGGTAGCGTCGGCGTAAGTTTCGTCGTCTGGACCGCGTGCGGTCTGCTGAGCCTGTGCGGCGCCCTCGCCTACGCCGAGCTGGGTACCATGAACACGAGCAGCGGCGCCGAATACGCGTACTTCATGGACGCGTTCGGCGCGCCGCCTGCCTTCCTCTTCTCCTGGGTGTCCACCCTGGTGCTCAAGCCGTCGCAGATGGCGATTATCTGCCTGTCCTTCGCTCAGTACACTGTCGAGGCGTTCACCGTCGATTGCGAGCCCCCGGACGAGGTGGTCAAGGTCGTCGCCCTGCTGGCGATCGTCCTGATACTTCTGATCAACTGTTACAGCGTGAATCTGGCGACCGGGGTACAGAACGCCTTCACCGCCGCCAAACTGATGGCGATACTCGTGGTGATCGTCGGCGGTTCGTATAAATTGATACAAGGTAACACGCAGCATCTGCAAACGGCGTTCAACACCATCGACGGCAGCACCCTTAACATCGGCCGCCTCGCCACTGCGTTCTACACCGGCCTCTGGGCCTACGACGGCTGGAACAATCTCAATTACGTGACCGAAGAGATCAAGAATCCTTCTAAGAACCTGCCCAGATCCATCATGATCGGTATACCGCTCGTTACGCTTTGCTACGCGCTGATCAACATTTCTTACCTGGCGGTCATGTCGCCATCGGAAATGATCGAGAGCGAGGCTGTGGCCGTGGTAAGCGTTCACCTGTGTCGACGACGAAGAATATTATTTTTAAAAGCGGTAACAAATTCAATAGGAGCACAGAATATATCAATTTTTGTTCGATATCGCATTAGAAGTTGAGTCGTAAAATAATACAGAGGTAACAGGAATAGCTTATCAAAATGTGGGATTCGAGGATATTGTTAAAAGACCTCGCACCAGATACATTTTAATTTTCGTTGAAATTGGCTGCTTTCTTTATAGGTTGTAGCTTATGTCCTGCTGAACAAACGATGTAATAGTTTCAAAGCTATAATATTTAGCTTTTTATGTCTATTGCATTTCTTGTTGAGATCATAAGCTACAACATATGAAAGAAACAGTCAATTTCACCGAAAGCCAAAATCGTATTTCGTGCCGAGTCCTTTGCTCCGATTAATTCATTGCCACATTCCGATCATATTCCAACGAATTAATTATAATCTTCGGTATTTTGCAGACGTTTGGCAATCGGATACTGGGCGTGATGGCATGGCTGATGCCACTTTCCGTAGCGATTAGCACATTTGGGTCCGCCAACGGCACCCTATTCGCCGCAGGCAGGCTCTGCTTTGCTGCATCACGAGAGGGTCATCTGCTCGATTGCTTAAGCTACGTGCATGTGCGACGCTTCACTCCTGCCCCAGGCCTCATCTTCCATTCCCTTGTAGCAGGTACTACCTAAACCCTCTTCCAAATTGTTTCTGAGATGTTTGAATATCCTAATTAATTTTTTAAATCATTTAAATATTTTTATTACACTTGAGCTCTTACTTTATATAATACTATACAGGGTGTTTGACATAAAATATCACACTGAAACTATACAAATAAATCTCATTATTTGAAGACGATTTTTTCTCAGCAAAAATGTCGAGGGGGATCATTTTTTACCATCATGTATCTTTATAACTAAACCTTAAAAGTTTATTAAAGTAAACTCTACTTGAAATTAATTGGAGAATGTGGTTTTGTTAATATTTTATTTCCACAAGGCTTAGTTTGCGAGAAACCCTTTATTTTCAATCGCTTATAACTCGAAAATCACCTTATGTCAGACACCCTATATATACATAATAAATGTTCTCTCCAAGATGAGATTGCCATTATATTTATTAATCATTTTGACTTTAAAATATATCTAAAAATACTAAGCTAAATCATTGATTTCACAGGCGCGATGGTTCTCTCCGGCAACATCGACTCGTTGATCGATTTCTTTTCGTTCACCGCATGGATATTCTACGGCGGCTCGATGGTAGCTCTGCTCGTGATGCGGAGGACCAGACCGAACCATCCCCGACCGTACAAATGTCCGTTAGTGATACCTGTGCTTGTGCTCATCATCTCTGCATATCTCATAGTTGCGCCGATTATCGACAAACCGCAGATTGAGTACCTGTACGCGGCCGGCTTCATCAGCGCAGGCATGCTCGTCTACCTCCCGTTCGTAAAGTTTGGATATGTGCCCAAATTCATGGGTGAGTATACATCGTTACACGGTTAAAATAAAATCCGCGCCGTGAAGTTCTCATAGACGCCTGAACATTTCGTAATGTAGGGCATGAGTTATTATCTGATTTTGAACTCAAATAAACCTCGAGAAGAATAAAAGTATTTGTCAATATTTAAAATTCTGAGTCTGAAATTGAACTCAAAAAAGTTTAGAGAATTCTTCTCTAAAAATTTCAGATTGAAATTAAAGCGTAGAAATGAATCTCGCATGAAAACTATTAAAGTTTTAGAACTTTGAAAACTTTGAAAGAGTCTAAGACATATATTAAGAGAAAAAGAGATATTTAAATTTCGAGAAATTGCAGGTTGAAATTCTTACTAAAATTAAAGTTTAATATTCAGAACACGTTTCATTCTTCTATTATATTTCTGCATGTATTTAAATTTCCTATTGAATGCTCGTGTCTCTTTTCTGATTACAGAAGGTGTCAACGCTTTTCTGCAAATGTTACTAGAAGTGGCTCCGACGGCGGTTGCCTTCGACTGATTTCGAGAGGTACAATTCTCCAGATCAATATACAGTTCTTTACGATGCCGAATCATTCCATTATGGCATTGCGCGAACTGTGTATATATACCTGAATAACCCTATTTTAAATACATACAGACGAGAGCGTTATATATCCTATATTACAAAGCTCAAGGCTGGCCCAAAAAAAAAAAGAAAATAAAAAAATATATATATTATATAAAAATATATATTATTTTACTACTTGTTATTCTTCGTACATAGTATACAACATGCAGAAAAGATGTTATTGTTAGACAATAGATAGTTGATGTTGTAACAAAACAGCAATGAATCAACAGAAAATATTTTAAATGTTTACAGTTACAAAAATGGACTTCTCTTTTTCTTTACACATCCTTCCTTTATTCTCCTGTACTTCTTCCTATAATATTACTTCAATTGTTATCGATTATTTTTAAGTTCCAAAAGTTATTTCAATGTATATAAATTTTTCATAAGCTATATTTCTCAAAAATCTTATAATTTAATTTAAAAAAACCTAATTAAAAATTTAATTACCGAAAATTTCAATAATTACAAATACAATCAGTTTTTATTTTCCTAATTATAATCTTTCTTATAAGATATTTTATTTAAATACGAACAAGTTTCTGCCAGACTCCACCAATTTTGGCAACGTTTCAGAGAACATTTCAAATATTTACTGATAAATTCAGCTCTTTTGTTTAGACAAAATATCTTTGGATACTTTTCCATAAACACCTAAAATGCCACTATCTTTCTTATGCTGTTTCTTGGATTTAGATTTGCGCAAACTACTTGTGAATCCAGATATGTGTTTTTCCTCTTTCTTCTTTTCCTTTTCTTTTTGTTGACGCGCCTTTAATGCTTTATAATTTGTCCTTCTATTCTTAGGAGGTATTGCACCTAAACTGATGGCAAGCTCGACTTTTGCTCTTCTTGCCTTTGATTTCTCAAAACCAGTCATACCGAATTTAATCATTTCATAACGCAACTTTTTCATCTCCTTTTCTTGTTGCGCCTTCATTTCAGCAGGCGTTTTAGAATTCTGATCCTCTTTACTGTGCGAGCCATCTGTAGGTTTCGACTTTTTCTTCGGAGCTTCATAATTCACAGAGATATAATCACTTGCTGTAGTTTTCTTGATTCGAGATCCACGTGTTGGCACAAAATCCTCCATCTTTCCTTCTCTTTTCTTAAATTGAACAAAATATTTTATTAGAAAAAATATTAGCTTCAATTGACAATAAATAGGTTAGAAGAACTCCTCATTACAAAGTAATTTAAAAAAATTACAAACTATATAAAAGAACACTTTAAATATATTTAAAAGAAAAAATTGGCGCTATCAATAACATATAATTTCTTAATTCATATCAACTTAAATTGAAAAAAGATATTTTATTAGAGAAAATGTTATATTAGTTTCAATTGACAAGTTAGAAGAACTAATTATTATAAATTTTAAAAATCACAAAATATATAAAAGAACACTTTAAATATATTAGAAAAAAAATATAATATCAATAAAATATAATTTTTTAATTCATATATCAACTTACAATCATAACTACACAGCGATATTTACAAAAACATTGTTTCCCTCCTGCTTTCAGAATATGCTATCGCATTCGGCATTCACACATGCGGAATTTTCTTTTCAATAAAGGCTGCGTTCCAAAATCTACTCGCAAATCGCATCGTCGAATAACCAATCAGAGCAAAGACATCTTCGTCCCGATTGGTCGATCTTACGTAACACTAAAAAAACACTAGATTTTGGACAAATTCTTGAGAGCAGTTTTTCTCTTAAAGCGAACCTTCTAGCTCTTATATAACCAATGACTAACCGCTTCATTTTTTTTAAGGTTTATGCACACGTGACGAATTAACCTTAATAAAAATTGATTTGATTTTAAAAATTAGCGGCATTTGACAAATCTCGAAAATATAATTTTGCTAATTATTCTCGTCCCCGGGATGTCGGAATATCCGGCTATCAATGTTCGTATGGCGGTGCACAGGGTGGATTTTAACCTGATGGCGAACGAGGGCGAACAACCACGACTGTACACCCCCGGCGAAGAGATATCCAGTCAGCCGGATTTCCTGAGGTAGATTAGGTTTTTCGCTCGATTGTACACAATTACGAAAATTCTTTATCTAATCTTAGAGGCCACGGAACCTACGTTGACGAAGAAAAAACGTTGCGTGCGTCAGTCGCCGGAGTTCTGGAGAAGGTCAATAAGCTTATATCCATCAGGCCTCTGAAAGCGCGTTACAACGGCGAGATCGGGGATCTTATCGTGGGTAGGATAACAGAGGTGCAGCAGAAACGCTGGAAGGTCGACGTAAATTCCAAACTCGACGCCGTCCTGCTGTTGTCCAGCGTTAATTTACCTGGTGGTGAATTGGTAAAGATCTATATTCATACTTTTTTTCTATTTAATAACTGTACAATACTTGACAGAAAGTTAGATTTTTTCCATTTAATCATAGATTTTTCAATATATATAAGAATAATTTTATCCAAATTTTGAGATTAAATTGATTTTAGAATTTGCAATCTTGTAATAATATTAAACATTTCTGCGACTTAATTATATTTCTTCTATAACTATAATTATATATTTCCAACAATAATTATATGATATAATTTTATGATATATTTTTAACAATAAACTATAATTATATGATATATAATTTTATAATATATTTCTAACAATAATTATATGATATATTTCTAATAAAAGATGTAATATATGTATTATAAAAATACTGTTTAATTTCACAGAGAAGAAGATCAGCTGAAGATGAACAGACGATGCGGAGGTACTTACAGGAGGGAGACCTAATTTGCGCAGAAGTGCAGTCAATTTTTGCTGACGGTTCCCTCTCGTTGCACACACGAGTGCTGAAGTATGGCAAATTGTCTCAGGGGATAATGTTGAAAGTACCACCGATGCTGATCCAGCGCAAGAAGACACATTATCATAATCTGGATAATGGGGCCACTCTGATACTTGGCTACAACGGCTATGTGTGGATTGGTGCAAACATTCAGGACGTCGATAAATCAGAGGGTGGTTTTACTGAGGACCTGTCAAAAATCCCGTTGGAAAATCGCGAGGTGTGTGCGCGATTGCGTAACTGTATTTTAATCTTGGCGCAGTGTAACATGTTGTTGTCTGACACTTCTGTAATATACGCTTACGAAGAATCCGCCAAGTACGAAGCGCACGAACTGTTACATCCCGAAGTGATGGTCGATGTATCGTTATTGACGCATCAAAGACTTACGCGATCTATTATAACACTTTAAATAAATCCAATTTGATCATTAAACTAAGGAAAAAAAATATTAAAATAATGAACATGAAACTCTAAAAGAGAGAAAATTTAACGCACAATAAATGAGAGAATTAATTAATGAATGATTTTTTGAAGTTATTAATCCTGAAATATATGACAAGACGAAAATTTTGCGTAGAATATTGCGTAGCGTAGCATCGAGGTTTTTGACGATTGAGTTAGATGACGACGATACTTATAGAACATTTGATATTTATAGCTACCTCTCGCTCCTTTCTGAGAAAATGTGTCAGGCCGAATTAATATATTGAATATTGCAGTAATGTCGAAATGAATTATATATAAAATACTGCAGTATTTTTCATCAATAGATATAGATTTGGCAAAGTGGTCTTAGGTGTAAAAGGCAATCACGGAGAAACGCTAATCTGAGTATTGATTAAACAAATAGAGCCTGGAAACAAGTAGTCGGTACAGCTGAGAGACATGGACGCATGTTTTAACGCCTTCGATAAAGACGGTGACGGATTCCTATCAATCTCGGAGTTCGATCTTATATGCCGCGCGTTATTTCGAAATGATCGCGGCAAGATCTACGGTCTTGAAGAGGATCAGCTACGCGAGGTGTACTCGATCTTTGATTTCAAAGGAGACGGCATGATCGATAAGGAAGAATTCGAGGTACATAGAGGATGCTCGATTATAACATTTTAGATATTATTTAATAAATGTAGACAAATTAATTAATTTAATTTACTGAAATTCGTCTATTGACATTTTATTATGTTATAGTTTTGCTGGAATCGATGGATCAAAGTATGCACACGTCCTAAGAGCGCTTTTTTAATCGTGGATGTGCAAAACGACTTTATAACAGGTTCCCTGAATATAAAACAATGTGCTGCGCAACATGATGGTTCAGAAGTTATCGAACCAATTAATCGTTTGCTGGAAACCATACCGTTTGACTCAGTGTTTTACTCCTTGGACTGGCATCCTGTGGATCATGTGTCCTTTATAGATAATTTGCACCTCAGGTAGTCACAGTAGAAATTATACTATAACAATTAGAATGATCCTTATATCAGAGTCTTTATATATAATAAGTCTCGCAAAATGTTAAACTTTACTTTTAAACACACTTTATTAATTATTTTATTATATTATTATATTATATATTTTTTAATTATTATATTAAAGCATGTACAAATTTAACATATTAAAATATGATTATATATATATATATATATATATATATATATATATATATATAAATTAACATACATATAATATATATACAAATTTTAGATCTAAAAGGCACTTGAATCGCACATCTGGAGATAGAAGAAAACTGAATAAACTTTCTTTAAATTGATATTCATTTCCATTACCAGGGAAGTGGACATCAGCAGCAGTATCTCGAAGGAAGCAGCACGAGTGTACGACACGGTGACGTTCCGGGGCCCGCCGTTGTTGAAGCAACGTCTGTGGCCGCGTCATTGCGTGCAGGATTCCTGGGGCGCTGAACTTCACAAGGAACTGAAGATCGTGAACAGCGCGATCAAGATCTACAAGGGCACAAATCCGGAGGTGGACTCATACTCGGTGTTCTGGGACAACAAGAAGCTGACCGAGACCACGCTATCGTCGCAGCTGCAGGAGAAGGGTGCAACGGACATCTACATCTGCGGATTAGCTTACGACGTATGCGTGGGTGCCACCGCCGTGGACGCCCTCACTAGCGGTTATCGCACCATCCTCATCGACGATTGCAGCCGCGGCGTGGATCTCGTCGACATCGAGAAGACTAAGGCCACGGTGATAGCCAGCAACGGCGTGATAGTGAATTCCAGTCAAGTGAAGGCGATGGTGGAAGGTAGAGATCGACGACCAGAGCTGGGCTACAAGCTCGCTCTGGAGATCAAGCACAAATTAAGATTCGACGATGAATAATTCTAGCGAATAGTGTAAATCTAGAAGCTTCCTATTGGTAGACATTGATATAAAAAGGTCATAGATATATCTTATTTTTGAACACATTTCTTATAGTTTTGAAATAATTAAAAAAATTAATGAAGGGAAATGTGTAAAAAAATAAAATAATAATGGATATATCTTTTCTTGAGCGTTAAAATAAATATTAAAGTGTAGGCTAAATTTGTTAATAAATTGTTGTTTTTAGAAAGATTTTTCAGAGAGATAAAGAGTATATACATGTTGGATTTAAGATACGAAATTAGAGTAATATAGCATTAAATTTTTTAGCTAGTGAAGATTTATAATACTTATTCAATTTAAATGGCTCAAATAGAAAAAGAGAAATTGTTGATCTAGACTGCATATATCTATATAGTACATTTAGTAAAAAATATTTATTGAAAGATTGTATGTAAAAAATATTTATTGAAAAATATATATTTTTTTGAATAGTGGTAATTGTAGGTTTAGTGATGTGTATGTATATATTGTTGATTAGAGATAAGTAACAAAGCTTCCATGACAAATTCTTGTAAGCGTATTTATTGTATTATGGAAAAGATTTAAAATAAAAAATTTAAATCTCCAATCTGCTATATGTTAAAATGCACAAAGAAAGTATTATAATAAATATTATTTGAGCAAGAAAAAGAAAGCATGTAGAAAATAAACAATAAGACAATATGTGATATTATAAATCTTTTATTTATGTCTGAAGATGATTTTATTTTACCTCTAAATTTTTAATAAAGATTTACAGTACAATTAACACACAACTTTTTTCTCTCTTATTTGTATAATAATTAAATAATTAACTTTATTTATTACATTAATTTTTTATTTTACTCTATTCATCAAATATATAAAAAAAAGTATTGCGAAATAATACGCACGTGTCACCTAGCCTCCTTTACTGCTGTTTATATTCTGTCACTGATTACAGCTGTTTTGTCGAGATAAGAAAGTGAACTATACGATTATTTGCAGTTTGAATTAAAATATATAATTTGTACGTATTCGAGACGAAACAGAGTCCAATGTTTTAATAAAACAATATTTTGCATATAAATTATAAAATTCCACAATATAACCTCACTGGTGATTTTATTGCAATTTTATTTAAAAAATACAATGCATGCACAATAGATATTATCACATTTTTAAATTCTAGTATGGAGAAAAATTACTGAAATAAATACATCATAATTTTAAAGATATATTACTGCAAAATTATTTTTATTATATAATTATTTATTTTTACAGCATAAATTTTTACTTTTCTTGTTCTCCAATATAATTGTGGATGATATATTTACAATATATATATAAATTATAACTCTCCAATAGATCTTTTATTAAAAAATTTTAATTTTTCTATCAGAAAATTATGAGAAAATAATACATGAATGTTGATATTGATATGATGAAAGTAAAACTGTTACATATTAATAAACAAAGGTGTATGATTCTTCAAAAAAAAGTCATTTAAGTTGAGTAAATTGATTGATGAAATTGCATTTCATATTTGTTACAAGGCAATATTTCCTTAATAGAATGCCTTACTATGCAGTTGCCAAAGGTCGAAAACCTGGAATTTATTCTACATGGTAAAGAAACTGTATAATTCAAAGATAAACTATTAACAAAAGTTAATTAAATGCAAGATTTTCTATTTCTAATAGGGATGAATGCAGTACTCAAGTTTTTAAATTTCCTGGATCCATATACAAAAATTTGCTACAGAAAGTGAGGCTCAAAAATTTATAAAGGAACGTTCCTCCACAACTGTAGGAACAAGTTTGACCAAAAATTCTACCTTGTCGAAAATTGGCAAATCTATAGAGTAAATATCAATTTTGTTCTTACATAAAATAAGAAAAAAATATTACAATATCAAATCTTATATTATATATTAAAACTATTGTTTAATACATGTATTTTATCTGCAGATCGCAAATTCTACCAAAACAAGTATTTCCACTTGGGAACAAACAGTCTGCAATGGTTCAGGCAAAATTATTGTCATCGCAATCAAAAAGAACTTTATCAATAAATAGTGATACCAGTGAACAACCAAAGAAAAAAAGGAAAATTACATTAGATAATCCTGACTTTACTTCAATTCAATCTTCTGATCAGGTTTGAAACAAAAATACTTTACAAGATATATTGTAAAGGTTTATGATATTAATAGTATGTATTATGAAAAATTTATATATAATATTTTGTTAATTGTGGAACTGTGCAGGATAGCAAAGTAGATTTTATCATGGACAAAGATGGCTATGTGAATGTCTTCACGGATGGTGCATGTAGTTCGAATGGACGCAAAAACGCACGAGCTGGTATCGGCGTTTGGTTTCGAGACAATCATCCATTGTACAGTTTATTTTTAGTTTTATTTTTCATACTTTTTAATACTTGATAAATTGTTTAAAAAAATATATAATAATTATAATTTCCATAGAAATGTATCTCAACCAGTGGAAGGACGACCGACCAATAACATGGCAGAAATCCAAGCCGTCACAGTAGCTGCAAGACAGGCTAAGAACGCAGGAATAAAAAAGCTCAAAATCAATACTGATTCCAAATTCCTCATCTCTTGCATCACACAATGGATGCCAAGTTGGAAGAAAAGAGGATGGAAGACAGTTGATAATAAACCAGTTATAAATAAAACGGAATTGCTGGAAATGGAGAAAGAATTGGAATCACTGACCATTGCTTGGGTAAACAATTCTTCATTTAAAATTTTGTGATATATATATATATATATATATATATATATATCAATTAATAAATATTATATTATGAAATATTATGCAATCTATTTTAAGTGACCAATTTTTAGAATCATGTGAATGGACATGTAGGAATTTATGGTAATGAAATGGCAGACAAACTTGCGAGACAAGGCTGCTTGCTGTATAAATCAAATAAATAAAGACAAATATTTAATTAAAAATATAAAGGCCATCCTATAAGTTTTAAATTAATGTCCTATGAGTAAAATTTATATTTTATTTTTATAAACACAGGTAAACTTTCATGTAAAACATTTAAGTTAGACATTTGGTAAATTAATAATTAAATATATAAAGTGTTTATTCTGATTAAGAAATAGATTAGCAGTGAAGAATGTAATCAAATTTACAAAAAAATTGTTTCTACATTATATATAAAGTATGTCATGCCTTTATATGCGACATGCATTTAACATGCCACAATTCTTTAATATTGATTCTGTAATTAAGGACATTCATTGTTGGATTATAACATTTAAAATGTATGAGATATTATTTCTTGTAAAAATTGAAGTGTGTGAAAATAAATACTCTTAACTAAAGACAAACATTTGTTTAATTGCAATTATAAATTTTTTATATTTATATCTTTATATTATGTAAATAAATTCTTTCTTGTATGTGTATAACACTGTAATTAAAAATATCAAAATCAGCAGCTCTAATATACGAAATGCTACTTTTTAGTGGAAGTATGTGCTCTCTCGTTTAACATCTGTTGACTCGATGATCTCGTCGAAATTTGTTTAAGAAGAATATAAATATCTTCCGGAGATACTTGTAACGCCAGCAATTCCAATACAATCCTGAAAAAGTTACAAAATATAAAATAACTTTTTTTTGTTGAATATTTAATGTGCCTTCAACCAGTTTAGCCCAATTATGATTTGGCACATAAAATATCTTTAGTAAAAGATAGGTTATGGAAAAATTTGAGAAATTCTCTAACAAAAATTGTTTCAATGATATCTCACCGGAAAACGCCGGGTACTGCGGAAATTCCTGTTATTTCAGCCAGTTCAATCAATTCTTGCTGATGTGATTGCGGAAATGCCATTTTTCTAGTAGAATTATTATTTCGGATTCACAATTTTTGGATTTGCATGAAATTACTTGCAGATTCTCTCAATTCCACATAAATACTTCTACATTATTCTTGTTAATAATTAGTTATTTTCTCCCTAAAACAAACAAAATGTAATGCATAAAAATAATAATTCTTTTAATTTTGAAACATTCTACAAAATTTGTCAAAAAAATAAAAAAACATTGCAATTTTTCTGTCAGTTATACGTGTATATTATTCAATGAATAAAGTGCTTTCCAATTTTCACACATAATTAATAATAAATTTACAAAATAATAAAATAATTTTAATATATAATATATAAAATAATTTTAATATATAATAAATAAAATTCTGTCATTTATTATAATAGTATATAATAAATTAAATTTCATTTTATTACGATAATTTATAGTAAATTAAATTGTCACTTATTATAAATTTAAATTATATTAAGTATAATAATAATAAATAATAGAAGAGATTTTTAATTTATAATTACTTTTGATATTTAGCATACAACAACTTGTCACCTGTCACCTGTCAAATGTATCAATTGGCCATCGGATAGAGAACTTCTAGAGTTTCGAAAGTTGCTTTTGATTAGCTGCAGCGGTAGCCAATCAAAGAGTTCAAACCACAAAAGTGCCTAAAAACGAACAGACCTAATGATTGGTCACGTGATACAAAGCCAAAGGGATTCACAGGATTCGAAATGTACTATATATGCTTTGTTTCTATATATATTATATGTGTGAAATCTGACGCATATGTGATCTTTCGCTATATCATATCATATATCAGTGTGTCAGAAATTTCCAGATTAAAACGCCACGCAAACCATTGTGCGAAGCAGATTTTGTCAAAAATCGCAGAAGATTAAGGCTTATATTAATTACTTATTATATTAAGAGAAATTAATTGAGTAAGTTTTGCTACGGACGTTTTGTAATAGCGAAAAAGTATAATGAAAATTCATATAATTTTCCAATTAATTGAGACATCGATCTGTTTGCGTTGATACGCTTCTGCATGTCAATTTTGTAAATAAATTTTCTTTTGTTATATATTTTTAAAACTAATATTGTAACTAATGGAATTTCTTAGAAATTTATGGAATTTTTATTAACTTTAAATTATTTATATAAAGCTTCATATAGAAGTGTTTGTGTTTTTTACTCTTTATATTTAACTTTTTTCTCTTTAATATTTGTTTTGAAACCAGTCTTTTCAAAATATGTATTATGAGTAAAAAAGTAAAATTATAAAAAAAGAAGACTTGCAGAAGTTTTTTTATTACATCTAAAGTGAAATAAATTTATATTTATAAAAGAAGAAAATTATTCTAATAATAATAATAATAATAGATAATGTGATAATTAAAATTATATTTATTCTTTCAATAGGATGTCTTACTACGCAGTAGCTAATGGTCGCAATGTTGGAGTTTATGATAATTGGTAAGAAAAGCAGATTGTTGAGCTTTTTAAAGCACAATTTTTTTTTTATTAGACTAAATGGAAACTTTTTTTATTACTAGGGAGGATTGTAAAGATCAAGTTCATAGATATTCCAAATGTAATTTTCGAAAATTTGATACACCAGATCAAGCTTGGGATTATGTTGACCAAAATTCTTCATCTTCAAGTGGATACAAATATGTTAATGATTCATATAATTCGGGCAATAAAGCTATAGCTTACAAAAGTGGCAACAATCAAGTTGCACTAAGAAATAATTCTCAAGAGGCAAGAGCTTATCAACGAACTGATTACATGGTATAAATTAAGAAAAAAAATTTCAATATAAAAACTTGTTTTATACATTATTTTACTTTAATAATTATAATACACTGCAATATAAGAAATATTTTTTATATTTTATATATACATATATATACATATATATATATATATATATATATATATATATATATATATATATATATATATATATATATATATATATATATATATGTAACATTACATTTTTCTATAGATACTTTCAGTTTTTGTAAGAAAATGTTATAGCATTTTTCAGATATATTTAATTCTCCATTAATTTTATTGTTTTAAGTTAAAATAATTTCTGTCAATTTGTAGGAAGGACGAAATGGCGTTGTTGTGCGTGAACGTACTTTCACAAGTGGTCGACATGGCAATGGTTATTTTGTTGAGAAACGCATACGTACCTACTGGGAAAAATAAGATGCTAAAAAAACTTCATAATATACAAAAAATGCATAGATAAGTTTTTTTCAATAACTTTAAACATTAAGTTAATATTGATTAAAGCATGTTTATTGTAGTTTTACATACGTACAAGTGATTGATATTAAATTTTTCTTTTTTTTTGTTTCTTTAAGAGAAGTGTTAACTAAGTTTTTTTTTTATTCTTGTGTGAAAGCAACATGTTATAATAATTATAGAAAATAAATAACTTTTTAATGCATTAAGTGCAAAAAACAAAAAAAATTGTATTTGAATTTTTTATATGTACGCGGTTTTTCATTTAATAGTTAATCAAAATAAATTCAAAAATTTTAATTTTTTAAATTATATATGTATGTATAAAGTATAGTATATAAATGCAAAATTGTGCAGATATATTCGAATGTTGATTTTAAGGCAAACTTTATATTATTTATAAAGAATTTGTAGATTTTTTTACAAGTCGTTTTTATTCTTGACAGTTCAAAAGAAATTTATAATCGAAATCTCATTTAATCATATTGTAATTAATTGGAGACCGTACGACGAAATTTTTTCACTAGATCTACCAATCAGGAGATTCTAGTAATTTTATGTGACGTATTGCATTCTCATTGGTTGTACGTGGACCGATTATCGTATAGTAATTTTTTAGTAATTTACTGAGAGCAAATATAAATTCTCTAAATATTTGCTTGCAATATGGCGTCAGAATGTTTACGATTGAGCGTGACATAAAGCGGCATTATGTTTTACCATGTAAGTTAATTTTTGCATATTTTTCCTAATAATAATTTATTTATTAATAAAAATTTTTGTTATTAATCACTTAAATTCAAGTGTAAGCATGAAATATTAACTGTTACATTTAATTTTTTCAAATAAACAGATTTCGTTGGAGCACGAGATTCTGCTGCATCCGCGATATTTTGGGCCTCAATTACTTGATACAGTAAAGCAGAAACTTTACACAGAAGTGGAAGGCACTTGTACAGGAAAGTAAGTACCAAATTCCACGAAAATTTTAAATATCAAAATTAAAAAAAAATTACAAATCAAAATTAAATATCAAAATTTTTTAAATTAAATTTTGATTTTAATCTTATCTTTATACAGATATGGCTTCGTCGTCGCAGTCACGACGATAGACAACATAGGAGCTGGAATTATACAGCCAGGACAAGGCTTTGTAGTTTATCCAGTTAAATACAAAGCCATTGTATTCAGACCATTTAAAGGTGAAGTGTTGGATGCAATTGTAACGCAAGTGAATAAGGTATAACTAGATGTTTTCTTTGACATATAGACTATTTTATATAAGTATTAATTCCTTCACAAAAATAATTGTCAAACACCTGCTTGAAATTTTGCTTTTAATATTTGCAGGTTGGAATGTTCGCTGAAATAGGTCCACTCTCATGTTTTATATCTCATCATGTAAGTAAATATATATGATGTATAATTATAACAATATAAACTTGCAATACTGAAAAATAAAATTTTAAAAATTATGATGCATAAGATTTAATTAATAAAACAGTGTTTGTGCAAAGTAAGATTTTAGAAGCTTATTATTAAATTTTTTGCAGTCAATCCCAGAGGATATGCAATTTTGTCCAAATGTGAATCCAGCTTGTTATAAATCAAAGGAAGAAGTAAGTCATATCACAGAGCTTTATGTGTTTTTAACAAAAATTTTGAAGTCTGGTAATAACCAGTTTTTGAAATATATTTTTCAGGATGTAGTTATTCAAGCAGATGATGAAATTAGGTTAAAAATAGTGGGTACAAGAGTTGATGCTACAGGAATTGTAAGTATTAAATTTATAATTGGAATCACTTTGTATTACATTAAATTAATTTATTAAAAAAACTTATTTTTCAGTTTGCCATCGGAACGTTAATGGACGATTACTTAGGTAACAAGACTATCACTTTGAATTTTAATATGTTTAATATATCGTATAATTTTTTCTATCTACTTTATTATCTTTACAGGTCTTGTTTGCAATTAATGGATCTGCATTCTGCTGTGCAAAAACTTTTTTAAGTTTATCAAAACTTTTTTGTCTAAAAACAAAATATAAAAATGTATAAAGAATTTTCCACGTTTATATGCAACAAAATATCAATTCAAAAAAGTATGGAAATAATAGAAAGCAGTAGCATATAAAAGAACTATTTTAACTAAATAATAACAATTATTTTAATATTAAATGTGGGGTTGCCTTTTTTAAAATATAAATTAAAACAAAAAAATTATATATGTTATGAAAAAAATATATTAAATAAAAATACATATATTGAAGGAACATTTAATAGTTTTGTATATTGTTCAGAACAATCCAGAAGGAAATAAAAATATTATATCAATATAAATTAAATTTTTTAATTTTTTTATGCTTTTTGCAGCATTTTTCAATTATGTTACATAATATAATCTGTTTATTTACACAGGAAATACTAATGCAAAATTATTCAGTCGTAGCTCTTGCTAAAAACATGTAGGTAGTTTATAATCATACAAGATATTGTTTATATACATGTTTTTAATTCATACCTCTCACTTATTTACTATCAATAATTGTTATGCAATAATACATTTGCAAAGAAACGTATACTGACATACACTCAAAATTATCAATTTGTGGAAAAAAGCGTTCTTATTGCGATTTGTTGTGACGGTTCAAATAAAATTATGTAATTCCAGTGCTCGACAATTATTGCTGAGCCATTTATTTTAATTGATGCAATTTTAAATCTGGATTTAATTCAATGAAGTTCTCGTCGCATTATCAACAAGCAAAACTTTTGAATAGTGCTAATTTTGGTGCAATGTTTAGGTCATCTTTTTTCGCAACTACATCTTGATCGGGCATCACTTTATCTGCAACATGCTTGTAGACTTTTCCATCGCCATTAACATAATAAGTAGAGAAGCCATCATACCATCTAAAATTATTACACATGTTTATTTTTCTGCTTTTTAACATTATTTTTTTTATATTAAATATTAATTATTTCTGTGGTCATTAGAGTATATTTCATACATTAATTTGAAATTGAAATAATGTTTTTTATTTTGCTAAACAAAATTAATAAAAAGATTTGATGTATTAGTATAGTATACTTACATCTCGTGATTGCTGTCTATAGAATCTCGTATTTTCCAAAATTTGTACTTCCAAAACATGTAGAAAACCCTCCAGCCTGAGACACCTCGTATACGCCAACGAACCTTTACAGTACCATCATCGCTATGCATCGTGATTTTTATAACTTGAAGGCTGACATGTGCAAATTTTATATGACCAATCATCCTTAAGAATATTAATTGTTTTGCATAATTTACAACTCCCCTGTAAGTACACATACACGTACTTTGCAGAAATATTTAACATTATAAATTTTCGACTACTTAGAATATTTGACTATTTGAGCTCTTACCTTGTTGTCACTCCCCTAATGTTATTAATAAAAATTACATCCTTAGTGTATATCGAAAAATTCTGAGGTTTTACAAACAACTTTGGTAACTGCAACAATATTTCAATTAGAAAATTTTTATAAAAAGATCTCATATACAGAAAAGCTGAGAATTGTATTTTTCTTTAGAGAGTGCATGACTATTTTTGAAAAAAGTACAATAATTATAAGATATTATGTCAATTATTCAACATACATCTTGACTAAGAGAATCAACTATATATTGCAGCTGTTCCTGCGATGGTTTACCCTCATTATCTTGCAATGGTGGTGATTGAGGACTCGTTTTTAAAACGCCATCATCAGAGGTTAATAAAATATTTCTGTCGATATTTGATTTCCAACTACTGTGTAAGCTTTCTGAAGAAATTCTATTATTATCTAGAAGCGAATTATTATCATTTTCTACAATGTTTTCTCTCTGAAATATAGTAACATTGTCCGAAGAGATTCCTGTAGGAATTATGTATTTTCTGTTTTTTGAAAAGGCAACAATGGGCCTCTGGAACCTATTGTGCAGTCTATGCGAGCTTTGGTCCCAGTACATCGTGTCTCTCCTAATCTTGCCATCGACATATTGCCTATCTAGCTTCTTATTCCACTGACTACAAGTGTCGAGAGAAGCAAGCGATAAATTTGGATGCAATGTACAACTCACGTAAGGTATTACTGATTTGTTTGTAGTATTTGCTCTTACTGATAATGCTCTTTGTGTACCCAGAAACTGAAATTTCATATATACACAATTAGCATACATAGCTATATAACAACTAATATAAGAAGAAACAAAAAATATGATAATTAACATATTTTATTTGTATTTCTATTTTCAAAATTGAATTGGTTTATAAATAAATATATATAAATTTAATATATTTATATATAAATAAAATAATATATAAATTTTTTTTGAGTATAAATTTAATTTGTAATTATTAAAAATATTTATTATACATTGACGAAAATAATTTTGATATTTTTGTCAGAGAAAAATTCATTCCAAATATAGATCTCTCTACAATAAAAATAAAAAAAAAATTTTGATACTCTCAGAACATCTATAAACCACATGCATCAACAAACACAATTCGGCATAATTTTTCCAACAACATGACGCTTCGTACAAGTGTTATTTAACCATTCCTCGGTTATTATAATTTAACAGAAGAGTCGGAGCGTGATTTCACAGAGTATCATCGTAAAGTAGCATTAAAAAAGGGAGTTTCACGCGGCTCGAATGAACCTAACCTCAAAGTTAATTTAGAATCATGCGATTATATAAGTGTTTAAAGGTTAGGAAATTCGCTCTCCTGAAATTCGCATTCTCTCGGAGAAAATCGCCACGCGAAATTCGCGAAGCGGGGGCTCGTTGACATCTGTCAATTGCACCTGTTTCAGGAAGGCGGACGACTCGACGTGTCGCTCCCGGAGCCGATGACGGTCCAGCTTCGACAGCGGTTTTCGTCCGCCGACGAGCGACGACAGTCTCCCGGGTAGCGCGCGAAAGCACATGGACATGTTGCGGCGACGACCTCGACGTCCGGATCAGAACGTCAACGGCATCCTCGACGGTTCCGCGAGCACCGAACACGCCGCACGATTTTTACATCGAAGCTGCGCGCGTGCTTCTTGACGCCGAGCGACTTGACCGACTCTGCTCGTGAGTATGGAATTATATTTTATTCCGCTAGAGGGCAGCCGCGCGCGCTTTCGTCAGCGGGGATCGAAAATCGATTGTGGTTGTGATATAAAATCGATTGAAATTTTGATTTAAATAAAATCGAACTCTCCGCGCGTGTTAAGCCATTTTATTTAGATAAATATGTTGAATTGTTTTATGCGCGATCAAGTAATGTGTGAATTTACTGATTTATTCTTAGTTATATGATATCTTGTAAAAGGTTCAACAAACCTCTGCAAAACATCAATTAATTTTAATAATTAATTCAATTTTATTCTGTTTAAAATTATAAAATATGTTGCCTAAAAAGATATTAATAAGACAAATATGAAAAATGATAAGAAATCCAGAGAAAAATAATTATTGTATACTCCCATACAGCACAGATTATTGCAATTATATTGCAGCAACATTGCAATGTTGCAAGTTGCAATGCAACATTATAAAGACATTGCAGAGATATAGGTGCACAAAATTCCAGCACACTTGTAGCAACATGACATTAATATTTCGGAAATATTGCATGTAATCCAAATTCTATAATTTATATATTGTAATATATATACATATACCCAGCAAACACCAAGTTACAGCTATATAATTGTTAGTTGTAATTTTCCACTCAAAAATATAATACGTGTATTATAACAATTATATTGTTGAGTGGAAAATTACAACTAACAATTATATAACTGTAACTTGGTATTTGCTGGGTATAATACTATAATAAAATAATTTTTTGCAATATTGTACAATAAAAGATGTTAACGATAATCAATAATTTTATTATCTTCCAAAAAGCGGACATTTTAACATTGCTGCAATTCAACAGCAATGATGTAGCAACATTTTGCAGTGAATTTGCAATATTGCAATATTGCGGTGAAAGATTGTTGTAATGTTTTTGCAATCTAACGGTGCTGTATGGGCTATATTTATTATTAAAATTGTATATAATTTTTAGTTATTAACATTCAATTTTAATATTATTTTTATCCAAACGTAACAACAATATAATCATACAAACAACTAGTAAAAAGTAAATTAAATTTTTGTGAGAAACAATGTGTTTTTACTGTTCACCAATATTGATAATAATTCATTATAATTTGGATGAGTAATAATGTGTGTTAACTTTATTAAATAATTAATTGTTTTACTTTTCATGATGAATGTCTTTTACTTCAAAAAATATAGCAATCTTAAATCCTCTGAGACTCCTTAAACGCGTATATATAAAAAAATGGTGTATGCGTCAATCTGCATATGTTTATAAACCTTCTAATTTATATTTAAGAAAAAATATTTTATAATATATATACATTTGAACATGCATTAATTGCACAAAGTAATTATATCACTTTTATAAAAATAACATAGCTTACTGATGATATTATTTTATCCAACTATATAATATTAATATAACTCAAAATAATTAGATCAAACAAATTAAAATTAAAAAGCAAGATAAAAAATGATATTTTTAAGTAACCAAATTTAATCGACTATATCTTGAGGACTTTTAATTGGAAATTTTAACTCAAAAGACAAAATTCAATATTAAAATATATCAAATGTATAAGAAAAATCTTCAATTATAAACAAGTAGATAAACGTGCTCATTTTATATGAGATATAAGTATAAAGAAATATTGAAACTGATAACACGATATTTTATTTTGATTTCTTTCTAAAAATACAAAACTGCAGATTGTTTTATATTTAATATATATTAATTTTCTATTTACGACTGTGTGCAAAAGATAAAGGATTTCCGAGAACGCAGATGCGTCAATTTATCAATTCAAGGAAGTTAATAACAATCTTGAAAGAACCAAGTGTTGCTGGATCACACAATCATAACTTTCATAAAATTATATGCGTGCATTCCGATAAGGGCAGCCTGCTTTTACGGGTACACCCGAGGCGCCGTAATGCGCCAAGGGCATTACGGCATGAATACCAATAGATAAACACGGCCGATACTTTTTTTCGAGGGTCATCCTCGCGCGAGAAGAATTCGTCGTCCAGGCACGGATTCTCTCTCCGCGAAAACCAGACAGACGGCAATAGGTTCCCCTTATTTGTATTCTGCGGGGGAGAGAACCGCGTGGTGGTAGGCTGCCACAAGGTAGAGAATCGCAAAAGAACCCGTACAGATAAGGCAGGCTCACCTTGGCGGAGAGGCTGGTCTATAAAAGAGACGGACGCACCTCGCGACCCGATCAAACCGTATCAAAATGTCTCGTCCGATCGTCGTCGCCATCGTCGCGATCATCGCGTTCCTGCAGGCGTCCTCCGCCATCGACATCTCCCAGACCAAGAATATCCAGATCCAGCTCTCCGACGAGGATATCGTACCGAACACAGCGTTGGTGAGTATCAATAATATCTCTGAAAAAATTAATAGTGATATCTGTGAATATTCGTGTAAATTAAATCTAAGCTTCACTCTTTTTGCAAGTATAAAATATATAAATTATAAAACATATATAATGCGATGCGGATTCTTACTTCTCTCACTTTTTAGACTCTTTGACGAATTTCATGTCTTAAAGAGAAATTTTTGATAGCTTATTGTTAGTTTTTTAATGCTCAGTTTTTTATAATTTTATAAATCCATTATATATAATACATATATTTATTTATCTTCGAAAATGTAAATATTTTGTTTTTTAACAAAATAGATCATCTGAGAAAGCATTTCAAAAATTAATTCACTGAATATTTTACTGTTTTATGCGTACCTTGTGTTAGAAAGAAATTACTGCAAAATATCGTAGAGGAGAAAATATTATACATTTTTTTATGTAATTATTGAAAAAAATATGTATGTCTTATGTTTTATCTATACAGAAAAGTTTGACGCCCAATACATATGCCGCTGGATTCATCGGAAATATCGAGATTGGAAGACGATATAACGAAGAAACGATTTTCCGTCGAGTAGCCGAGTTTAACAATCCAACAAACAATGTTCAGTCAAGTACTCTAACGCTGACTGTCAATAATGGTAAGAAAATATTGAAAAAATAAATATAATTTATAATTATAAATATAATTTATATAATGTGAGAACACATTAAGTACACCATGTTCCCAAAAACTGAACAGACAGTTACTGATGAGAAAAAAATTTATATTAAAAGATATTATAAGCATATGTAGCTGAAACCTTAATTTATCATTTTTTAAACAAACAACTGTTGATTTTGACTATTTTATGCACAGGAATCCTTCATTACATTAGTGTAGTGAATGAGAGTGGCAGCTATGCGGTTGTATGCGATGAACCGAACACTCTGGGATCATCCAGGGGCAAGATCAACATTCGCGCCTCTGCGAATACGAAATCCTATCTCACAATAGTCGCGGCAGTCCATTAAGTAAGCATCTGCAAAAAAGTACAATAGACATTTATTATTATAACTCACACATTATAACGGAAAAATAAAAAAATATATTTGTTTCTCGCAAAGAGATTTATCAATTGTAATAAGAAAACTTTTATACATTCCCACTGTATCCTGTATCCTGTTTTGCACAAAAATTAAGTCTTCGATAAGACAACAATAATTAATCACTATCAGTTACTTCATAATTAACTTTACTCTATTCTTACATCGAAAAGCTAATTCTTTTTTATCTCTTATCTTTATCAATTTTATCGAAAATATAAAGATAAATATATAATTAGCTTCTAATTGATTGATTGATTCTTCTAATTTTCGTAAAAGGCAGCTAAAAATAAATAACAAAAGCACGATATATAATAAATATTACGTAACGAGTAATTCTTCATTCGGACTAATTCTTCATGTAGCTCACGTATTCGTTCGTGAGCATCGTAACACGAGACGAATGCAAATTTGTCACTATTTTCGTGACATTGTGTGACATAATTTTATAAAACATTTTTTTGCGAATAAACAATTCGTACAAAAATTTTTACCCTAAAAAGTAGGATCTATTTGAAATAGATTTGTGTATATATAGTAAAAGATACACATGAAAATAAATATTTAATTTCAGAGATGCACTCTATAAAATTGACTTTCTCTCGGGATATTATAAATATTTAAAATATTTCTCCCTCTGTGATATATATTTTTATCTCCTTCTCTCTAAGGAGATATCTGCAGTCTCTCTCTCTCTCTCTTTCTCTTTCTCAAAACTTAATAAGATGCACCTTACATCGCGTAAAAATTCTTGTCCGAAACGAAGAGTGTCGTAAAGTTTATTTGTATTTCTCGTTTTATCGTCGAGTTCGCAAGCAAGCAAATTAAGGACTATAGAACTAAAAGACATCCCGCCGAACCAGCTCATTAATGCGTCATCCAAGATTTGCCTCTTGAGTCGTTTTCTTATTTGCCCCGCTAAATATGCAAAACAGACGCACCTCGTCGTGGAACGAATTCTTATTCCTCTCTTTACAATTGAGCGTAATTTAAGAATCATCGACATTCGATGATATCTTTTGAAATATTCCCTTTCGATTAAAAGAATGAAAAAAACAACTATTTTTCTCACGATATACATTGTCTAATTAATTGCATCCATATCTTGTAATCATAATAATTTTTCTTATCGATTAATTATTTCGCAACACTTTAAAAAGCTCATATTTATAATCTTAGATATATTTTATTTATTATAAATGTATCCGCACATTTTACGTTCACCATATAAATTACAAACCACAATTACTAACAAATTGTCACTATATTATCGTTTCCTGTCCGTTGTACGTCTACATTTCGACTGTCTGATGAAAATGACCCTACATCTATTCGGACTCGTTAATAATGCATTGTTAAGAGTACGGCAAGTAATAATTTTTTTTTAGTAGCAGCAAAGTTTTTTTTATAGCAACGCAAAAAAATTGACAAGCTGCAGACGTTCCCACGCGTCTTCTGAAATTTTCAACTTGGCTCGTTTCGTGTATCATCACGACCTCATGGACGTATAAGAAATTTTTTTCCTATACATGCCCGCGGTTACAACTCTTCATGTAAGAAGCTTTCAATAACGAAAGGGAGGAAAAAGAAACGAAAATACGAGTCGATGAACTTCGAATAGTCTCGTTTACGTGCGCTCGCTATTTTATAATTTATTCATCGTGAACCCTTTTGTCGCAGAACACGTTATTCGCGCACGAGACGATAATAATAAGTGCATATGTTCGTTCTCTGGTTGTGCTGTAATATTTATGACGATGCCAATGTACCTTTCGTGTTTTGAGAATTTCGTCGGAGGCATGCGTGATAATGGGATTTCGAAAGTGGGGATGATATCGCATCGGAGCCCATAGAAAGATCAGTGTCCCTTCGGCCATGGATCGTCCAAACGAATATAACGGTGTTCTTCCTTTCGTATTATAGTTAATAATTTTTCAATCATAGTTTTTTTCTGTAAAATAACAATTCAAAATTAATCGAAATTCTATTTAATTAACTATTTAATTTCTATTTAAATATTTATACATTTTCGGTAGATTTTCAATTGTCAAAATATTCTTCCATATATTTTTCTTCTATATAAAATTTATTAAAATAGATCACATGTACAAAAATATTGATAGAATTAAAATTCTGTTTCTTTCGGGAAATTATACTTTGTTGATCTTATAAATATGTATAATTAATTTAATTTAAAAAATTAAGATATTTATATCGAGAATCGTTGATATTCGGATGAAAGATTTAATTACATCAAGATTTCATTGATAATATCATAATTAATTAAACAGATATGGAATGGGCAATCGGTCTAAATCGCAGCATGTTAGGAATTGTTGGTCTGTGGCCGCGGGATAGCAAAAATTCACGTAAAGCGTTATTATCAAAAGTTCGATTGCTATTTAATGTCATCACATTAGTCTTCATACTTACAATACCAGCTTTAATGTCACTGATAAGGGTGTGGGGTGATATGATTCTGGTGATAGATAATTTGCAATACACTCTACCTTTGTTGATTACGGTATTGAAAATCTCCATCATATTGTGTAACAAAAAGGGTACATATTATTCGATCAATTGCATATTTATCTGGATTTCTAATTTCTTTTATTTTTTTCTTTGCACCATTTTATTCATATGCAAATGAGAAAATTCCCTAACTTTTTTTAAAACAAATCTTAATAAAAATGCAATAAAATAAAATTATAAAATTAATTAATAAAATAAAATTGCAATAATTTTTCTCTTGAAAATAAATCATTAAATATCACACATATCAATATAAACCCTTTTTTTGTAGCTCTAACGTCGCTAATCGACATGATCATAAAAGACTGGATAAAAGCGAAGATGAAAGAGGAACGAAGAATCATGTTGAAACGAGCCAAAAACACTCGCGTGCTCACCTTATGCGGAGCAATGATGATACTCTTCACGTTGCTGATCACGATTCCCACTTTATTGTTCGGATTCACGCTCAGGCATATAACAAATCTCACCGATCCTGGCAAACCCTTGATTATCCAAGCGTACTACTTGCACGATGTATCCAAGAGTCCGCATTTCGAGCTGACGTTTCTGATACAAGCGATCTCGCTGACCTTATCCGGTCTCTCTTACACGGGAATTGACAATTTTCTTGGACTACTGACCTTACACATATGTGGCCAGATAGAGAATCTGCATCTGCGACTAATGAATCTGAGAAATAATCCGAATTTCAAGGCAGCTTTAAAGTTCAACGTCAAAGATCACATTCGATTGATCAGGTTCTCATAACAATTATACATTAATTATAGTTATAAAATTAATTGAAATATTATTGATGAATTAATACTGCAGCAAACTCTGATTATACGTTGATTATTATACAAAGATATGATATTTAAGCAAATATATATTTTATAAACAATATTATTTATAAAATTTCATTATTTTCTATTATAGATCTACCCAAGTCCTCGATGACATATTCAATTTAATGCTGCTTGGCCTATTCTTTTTCTTTGGCATATTATTCTGTCTTCAAGGATTTTTAATCATTAATGTAAGTAAATAGAACAGCATGATTTTATTATATATATATGTCAATAATGTGCAACGTGTTTCTGCAAAGATATAGTAAGCTGTAAGATGCATTTATCAAATCAATATCGTTTCATAAACGTTTCGCTATTTACTAGCATTTTTCGTACGATGGTTTTCGAGTATAAAATAAATTCAATTTATAATAATTTAGGTGGTTAATAAAGAAGGTCAGTTATCATTTCTGCAATTAACTTCATATATCTTAGCAACTGTATGTGTCTTAATGCATACGTGTCTTTACTGTGCGGTCGGTGAATTTCTCGTGAGTCAAGTAAGTAAAATAATGATAATATATAGATTCTATACACATGATAATATATAGATGATAATTTGTAAAAGTAAATTTTTTTAGAATTTTTATAACTATCAATGAATCAATTTAAATGTGTGTGTATGTATGTATGTGTATATATATATATATATATTTATATATAATATATATAATATTTTTTCAGTCTGAAAAGATACATCACGTCATGTATGAATATGTGTGGTATAATTTGGAGCCAAAAACAGCGAGAAATTTAATATTAATCATGCTCCGTGCGAAAAACCGCTCTACATTACAGCGGGAAAAATCTTTCCAATGACGATGGCGACATTTTGCAACGTAAGTTATTTATAATAGAAAATATATTGTATATAATATATATTCTCTTTTTTACTTTAACTTACATCTTGAAATAATAGCCTTATCAATATCATTGAACATACATATTATATAATTTTTTATGGTACTTATTCCAAAATGATTAGAATAAGTTTATCATAAAATTAGTAAATTAAAATTTTTCTTGTTCTCAATTTTCATTAAAAAATTAAATATTTTAGTTACTTAAAACATCAGCAGGCTATATATCCGTGTTACTTGCCAATCGAGAATGACGATAATAAAATTAGAGCTCAAGTTAATACATAATCGATAGTTTAGTATATGTCATTATAATGTAAAATTAAAAATTAAATTATTTGTACAAACATATACTATAGTATACAAAAAGGAAATATATATAAAATATTAGAATACAATATTTTCTTCATATATTATTGATCATATTTATTGATCGATTGCATCGATTATCGATCATACGGATAAAAAGATAGAAGGCAAATACAATTATATACAATAATATTTTGGTAAGTATATTACTTTCTTATACATACTCAGTTATTTTTTTATTTTATTTCGTCCGTTTTCGAAGCAATAAATCTCCTTTGGGTTTCAATTTACTATCAAGGATTTGTTGTCTTCTTTGTTCCTTTTCTTTTTGCATTTTAGCATGTCTCTCAACAGCATAATCTACCTCTCCTACCAATTTGACAATTTTTGCCTGAGAGAAAACAATAAAAATATAAAATCAAAATTGATAAAAAATTAATAAAAATCTCAATTTGTTTCATATACCGCATAATCACGTTGTTTATCTAAGCGTGCTTTCTGTCTTATCCCAAGAGGGGTAGGTCTTCCATCTTTAAATGTGTAATCTGGTAAATTAGTCAGTGGACCAAACTTATTTGGATTGTCTGTTAATTTACGTCTAAAGATAAACAAATATAAATTAATATTAATGTCATAAAAATAACATTGAATCAGTAGATTAATTAAAAAAAAATTATTTTATTAATATTTTTTAAAGTTCTAGGAATAATTTAGGAATACTTATTTTAAATATTGGATATTACACACAGAACAATACATATTATATAATGTTCTATATGTTTGAGCAAGTGTAAGCAAATACATACTTTGCTCTCCATTTCTGGTCCAAATATCTCACACAAGACTGATGAAATCCATTAACCAGAATATTATAATCTGCAATAAAAAATTAAGTTAATATTAAATTATTATTAAATATATTAACTATTACATATATATTAATATTTAATAGCTAATATATATATATATATATATATATATATATATAACTAAATATATTATTAATAAATTATTAAATATATTAACAATGAGATATATTCCTAAATTAATATATAATTACTTATTATAGAAATTTATTTACGAATTGTCCTAAAATTGATAACGAATGAGTGCAACAGGAATAGTCGAAAGAATAAATGAAAGAATTATAATGGCATGATTTTTTTTTCTTGTGTAATAATACTAACTTAAATGTTGTTTGACATGAAGTATTGCTCCAACAGTCGTCCTTATATTCAACATTATATTGATTTGATGGAACAATTAAAAAATTTCTATTTCTTATTTAGGTTATCTCTCTTGTTTGAGACAACCCTTTTGATTCAAGTCACGGTAGATGTCACTATGGTCACACTCAATGATACCAACATAAATTATTTTTTTCAACATTCTCTATTTTCCTTATTTTAGGCGGGAAAAATATATCTATACAAAATATAAAATAAAATATACATAAAAAGAATAATTATATATTTATATGTAAGACAATTTTGATATTTAATAAAATGACATTAGAAAAGTCAACCTTTTATTAAATATCTATTATACATTATATTTACAATATGAATTAATTATGTACGTTAATAAATCTATTGTACAATTAGGTTTGTACACCCGGAACCCGATATAAAAATTCACCATCAGCATCATAATAACAATCGTTGATTCGATAAGTCATGCCAGGCTTATAAAGATTCTTTGTGATCTTTATTGGCTTAGCATAGTTACATTCAGTATCACTCTTTTTATTCCAGATTTTAATACTTGTGCCTACCAAGTCTTCATCTACCTCAACAATATTAAAACGATTATCTTCCTTTTCAGAAATTTTAGAAACGCTTTTGTTAGATTTTTGTACAATTTCTGTATTCTTTTCCATGCTAATTATTGTATTATTAGATGCAGCTTGCATCTCCTGACTAACATCCATCTGTTTCCTGTACAGATTTAATAATGTGATACCTTCTTCTGGAGATTCCTTTTGTATATCTTCTAGTTTCACTTTTACAAATTCTTTGAATGTAAATAACTTCTCTCTTTCCTTTTTCTTATCAAATGACGGTATATCATGTTTCTCTAAATCTGTATGTGAGTTTAATGCAAGAGACTGTCTCTTATTAAATGTGAATTCCTCTGAATTTTTAATAGCAACAGAATTATTCTTATCAGTCTTGTTATCTGTTATCAATAAATTCTGACTTTTATTAGAGTGAGCAAACGCGTCTTCTATTTTGTGTGAATTATCCTCTTGTGATAATAATTTTTTATTATCTGATTTTTCATTTAGGTACGACTGTATAATATTAGAAAACAATTGACTCTTTGGTTTTTTAAATTTTGGTTTAGGTGGAACAAATTGTTTTGCCAATGATTCTCTGTCCGTCAAGATAATCTTCCTGTTCTTAAATTTCATCAGGTGTTCACTGAGTCTGGGACTTACTGGAAGTTTTCCAGCACGAAATTTTTTCCAATTTTCCACAACTGTATTATCATATTGTAAAACACTTTCCACTAATTTTGGCGACCATTTAACAGACAAAATCTTTGATACTGACTCTGGTAAAACAGGGAAACTCTCACTAAGCCTCTCTACTGTCCATTCTTCAGGATTGGATTCATGTAATTTATGAATCAGTTCCTTCTCTGCAAATGTAAGAAAACGTGGATCTTCTTCTTTAAAATACTTCTGATAAACAATCTGTTGTTTAAGTCGTTCTTTGTTTTTCTGCATTTCCCTAAAAAAAAATATTATATCTTGTACTAAATTCATAGGATGTATCCTATTAAATACATATATATATATATATATATAGCAAATTATTCTTATAATTGATATTAAATAATCATATCTTTAAGCAAATTTTAAATAGAAATTCAAATAGGCAAGTCAAATTTAAAATATATAAATTATATTCCATAAAAAAATATTATAATTATATATATTTTTATAATTAATTATATATAATTATAGCATAACACATCGAGTGTAGTATACAGAATTTTTTTACAAATAAATATACCTTTCATGCATTTTATGACTTTCGCCGACATTCATAAAATCTGCCTCGAATTCACCTAAATCTTCAATATCAATATCTTCAATATCCTGTTGATCCTGTTTCATTAGTTTCATTTTCGTACGAACTGCAGCGAGTGGTTTATCGTATTTCTTGCTAAACATTCTACGCAATAAAATCGTAAATACTTGACTTTGATTCATTGTAAAATTTGATAAATTCACGTGGTTTTTTTCTTGAATGCAAAACAATACTCGATCAGCTGTTACCATAGACTTTACACATTACACTAGATTGCTAACAACGATATTAAAAGTGACACAAGGGCAACCAATTGTGTTTAAAAGGGAGAAAAAAACCCTATAATATATATTTTTCTTTCGCTTTCTAACCTATTAATTATAACCTCTAGTTTTTTCCAGGCACATGTTATTACTCGATATTTCCGAGTGTTTTTGAAGAGGAAAAAGAGAAGTGTTAATAATATTTTCATAAAATAATTTTTATATGTAATTAATTGTGAACGCAATCTTTTTTCAAATCACACTCGTATGTTATGCATATTTTATATATTTTATATTTGTTTTCTTTCAATCTTGTAATTTTTTAATATATATATATAATATATTATAATTTATTTGTATATTTTATAATTTATTTATTATTATAATTTATTATATTATAATTACTATAATATATATACATATTTATACATATATTAAAAAATGATAAGATTGACACTTATATATATATATATGTATAAAAGTGAAAAATCGTTTAATTATAAGAAACAATACAATAATTTTTAGATCATGCGGTTATCTCAATTGAAAAAACAAAGAGACCGAACATTGAGTGTGACTCTTCCCCATGTAATTAAAGATAAACAGGAAGTTGAACGTTTATTTACGGGTACTTTTTATGTAAAATTACCACGACAATCCAGTAGATCATGTCGTATTGTATTCTCTACTGCGGAAGAGAAAATGAAGAATTGCAAACTTGCAAAGGACAAAACAATCAATGGCAAGCGAATTTTTGTCAAACCGTTACATGCTGTTGTACTTAAAGAAGAAATCCAGAAAGTTAAAAGGAAGAAAGTTGTTATGCCCGAAATCAAATCTGAGATTAAAGTGACACAAACGTAAGAAAGTTATTAATTTCCACTTAAATCATAATTTATATAAATGACATTATTTATATTTTATTATATGCTTGTCTCAGGATATTTATCTCAAATATAGCAAATGGTATAAAATCACATGAAGTGAGAGGTGCCCTACCTGGATGTATTCATGTTACTTTATTAAAATCTTACAATAAAGACTTTAGGTATGTATATAATTTATTTAATTTTCTAATACTATTAATAATATGTTAGAGAATTTTGTCTTATATAACAATTTATATATTTGTGTTTATAGGAGTGCAATAGCTAAAATGGAAAATATTCAAGTAGCAGCAGAATACTTAAAGAATAAAAATAAGTGGCCTGTTTTGAAAGGACATAAAATATACTTGAAATCAGACACAAGAACAAAACATAAGAGAAAATCTTCTAATAGCACTTTAAAAATTTATGATGGAAACACAATAGAGGAACAGAAATTCGATACTAAAGCTCAGACTATATAAATAATAACAATGTAAAAACAGCCATTTAAATTTAATTAAAATACCTTATTTTTTAATTTAATTATTGTCGAAATTTTTATTTGAAATCTAAATTATCTTAAAAATTAAATTTCAATAAACTTTATATTTATATTTCTCTCATACATTTTTATTTCTAAAATTAATACAAAAAATGTATCAGTTTGGATAATATTAATTTGTTTTTGCATCACAGATAAAGATACGATACTTTTATCGTATTTAACTTTATAAGTTATAAGGTACTATCATATCAATGAATTTTATTTTGTATGCAATAATTTAAATATTCTTTTAAATTGTATTGCAAAAAAAGTATATTTTTTTTTTTAATTATATCGATATTAATTTTTATAGTTATAACAAATATTATCAATTGTGTGTATGATATAAAATAATATTTCATTATTTGGAGAATAAAAATACATGAATGTCATGATTTTTTTGATAAATTAGTTTAATATATGTTAATTTAATTTTGCCACAATCGCAATACTTTGTCTTTTCCACCTGAAGCGACTCGTAGACCGTCTGGTGACCAATCAACTGCATAAATCTCATCTGCATGACCAGGTAGATCTTGACTTAACTTATTAGTTTTCATGTTCCAAACTATAAAAAAAGGTAATATAAAATATTACTGTAAACATTACTTCCAACTATACTTTAATTGTTAAATGTTTGCCTAATAGTACTTTATTTACCCTTTAAAGTTGAATCCGCACTGCCACTGACCAGCAGACGAGAATCAGCGCTCCATGCCAGTGAATAAACCGCTTGAACGTGACCTCTTAATGAGGCGATATACGTCCCGGTATTAGATTCCCACAATTTGATGGACTTATCGAAGGACGCAGATGCAATTATACGTCCATTCGGCGAAAACTTAACGTCATTTATAAGTTGTTGGTGACCCGTCATTCTTGCTGAAAGCAAAATATTTCAATAATATTTTCTTCCACAATACTTTGATTTAATTTTGAGATATAATATACCAATAGGTTTTTTCTCTTTCTCTGGCTTCCACAAGAATAATGTGAAATCGTCAGATCCAGAAACAAGTTTCTCTTCACCAACAGACTCATACTGAGTTCTTGCAAATTCCAATGGATTATTTGCAATTGATCCCAATTGCATAGGACCGGTCCTAAGCACATAATCGACATTCAAAGCTAAAGTGTTCACCCAATGAGCATGGCCTTCCAAAGTTCTACATAATACACCCTGAAATCAATGTAACATTTTACAAATGAAGTTGGATAATAGATAATTTTTACTATTGAGATACATACATCCTCTGCTCTCCATACTTTGATAGTTCTATCTTGAGAGGCAGAATAAATAAGACCACTACCACCCCATTTGATGCAAGTCACACTTTTTGTATGACCAGACAAAACACGACAAGTTTGTGCCCTCTTCGTGTCCCAAATTCGTATGTCACCATCCTTGGATGCGCTTGCTAAATGTACACATTCTAGATTCTTATGATAGGGCTCCCAACATAAGGATGTCACCCACATTTTATGTCCTGTCATAGCTTTTCCTGCATAAAAAAAAATGTTTTTTCTAAGAAACATGAAAACTTGACCAATGAAAGTTTGATCAACTAAATATAACTTTTCATTACCCATTTGTTTGCCAGTGTGAGGATCCCACAAATAAATTGATCCATTTTTGCATGCAGAAGCAAGTTTAGAACCGCAGGGTGACCAAGAAATACACAAGACCCAATGTCTGTGTCCCTGACAGGTATAGTGAGGTGTTTGTGTGTGGATATCCCAGAATCTTACTGTTGTATCACCGGAACCACTAGCTAAATGCTTGCCATCTGGTGAAAAAGCAACAGATATAACGGCTTCTTTGTGCCCTATTAACAAATAAAAAATACTTATTAAATATTTTGCTAAATTTTTAAATATACCAATGTAGTTATGCAAAATTATCATTAACAACCTTCCAAAGACCCGGTACATCTCGTAACAGCTCTGACTTTGAATACTGCTTGTGGTTGATAGACAATTTCTACAACATCTTCACTGATGTTAAAGTCTTCGCCTACAAATTTCTCCAACGTATCTGTGACCTCTACATTATTCACATAAAAGGCCAAAGGCAAAGATTCCTCTTGCTGCAGCAGAGCATTGCAAATATCTTGTAATTTATTTACAGTTACATTGACTGGCAACTCTATCAGACCACCAGATAGAACTTCACCAGTGTCTGATTTAAAACGAGAAGCAACTATCTTGATTTCAGTATCCTCTAAAGTAGTATCGTTCTCGTCGAGCTTTCTTTTAGTCATCTTTATAAAATCAATGCAAAGAGACACTGAAATTATTAATTAATTATTAAATATATAAAGAACATTACATGTATTTATACATAATTTCAAAATCATTTATTATAAATAAAACTGGATTACATAAGATTACTTACGTTTGTGTTAATAAAATGTAAATAAAATTATTTTCTTATTATTTTATATATTTATTTTACATATATATATTCTCAAAATATATAAATTTATTTAAATAAGTTTATGCTGAAATACACGTGTTTTTCTCATTTCACAGCTGACAGATAAACGAGGAACACACACCTTGCATAGGCGCATAAGCGTAAACATAAGAATCTTGATTGGTCTATTAACGTATGCATAAGAAATTCAACCAATCAAATTTCTTATACATATGCTTATGCGCTTATGCAAGAGTGTGTGCTTCCCGCTATAAGCGTTGGTGATCTCCGTTTGATGCTGGTTTCTAGCAGCAGTTTCTAGCGTCAATGAAAACTGTGCTTATCAGTTTTCCCTAGAATTCTCATCGTTCCTGTCTATCTTATATTTCATGTTTCATGTTTGAAACATTCAAATGTACAGAGCAAGTGAGAAGTAAACGACAGTTTATTAAAACAATTTTACGATAAATAAGCAATAAAATAATGGCATCTACATCGCAAAATGAGGAGAAAGGACAAGAGGGACCGATCAGATGTATATTCTTTGCCGAATTTCATCACATAGCTGGACCCAAAATTACATGTCAGGTAAAGAAAGCATACATATAAATTGTAATTCTTTGTCTCTTTTCAAGTACGTTCTTAAAAAGAGACAAAGATATAGTTTGATCGGTTTGTTAATACTTAAAATTGATTATATTACAGGTACCTGATAATTTTATATCCAAGGATATTTTTGACAATGTCAGCGTTTACATCATACCTAAAGCACAATTACAAAGAAGTACCATAACAATGTAAGTAAAAGATTAAAGTTGTAAAATTAATTATTTGGAAAATTTATTCAATTCTCTTGTAATATCTAAATACTTTTTTGTAGCACATTAAAGGACTATAAAATCTTAGGCTTTCCTGTAAAGATTGATGACAAGAAGTACGCAAGAAATGCATTTTACTTCAATTTGTGTTTTGTCTGTGATGCAAATGCTCGTACTGTTCATTATGAACCAGTGGTTAAGAAAATGTCAGATTTTTTGGTAATTATTTTTTATAAAGTCTATGCTTTATTTAATTATATTTGAGAAATACAGAAATTTATATATTATACATTTTATATAATCAGATGGCTTTGGAAGTAGAAAATTGCTTCTTGTCCACTTCCGATGATAAAACCAGGTTAGCAGAAATGCTTGCACAAGTCATGCAGGATTTAAATTTGCACAAAATGTGTACATTGACTGGTAAAAAACTTATTTTGATATTACTTTAATGAAAAATATTTTGCTATGGTATGTTTTATATACATTTTATTTGTTATATTTTGGTAGAAGGAACAATGACATCTCATTTGAAAGTAGTAAAATTAGCACCAGAGCCCAAACCAGTTCTTGATCATCAAGTTCCGATATTCTTGGTGGATAAAGATTCATTTCAACATGATCAATGGGATTTGACTACGCAACAAGTGTTGCCTTATATTGATGGCTTTAATCATGTATCGCGTATAGCAGCTGCAGCTGATGTAGAAAATAATTTAGTTAAAAGCTGTGTACAAAATCTTGTGTAAGAAATATTCAAAGACTAGAGTTTTTCGATTTTTAATTGTTGCAAAAATCTACATTGGAATATTTGCAGATATTATGGAGTTGTAACTTTGATTCCAATATTTCAATATAGTAACGTTTATGCTTGTACTCCGAAATTAAGGCAATTAGGAGATGATTTAAAATTACAGGAGAGATGTATAGCATATACTTCTAAATCACGTGAGCAATGTTTTATAATGTTATAATATTATTTTAATTTTAAATGTGCAATAAAATTTATAGATTGCTTTTTCTTATCTAGCCAGGCAACCTGCATCTTTTAGGGATATATACCGTATGTACTCAAGTATGACTTATGGTGTTACCATGAAGGATTTATGTCAACGTCTTAATCCACAAAACTTGAGAATAAATGAGAGAAGACTGGTACAATTTGGTTTGATAGAGGGGTTTATTAGAAGAATATATAATGTAAGTAGCTTACATACATATATATTTGTGCTGCATATGGTGGCACATGAATTGCTACAGCGATACATTGAATTGAATTATTCTATAGTATCCTGTACTTGTTCCCGGCGCGTCTAATAGCGAAGAAGCGAAAAACAATCCAATCTATAAGTATTTTACAAGCACGTATAGCCTCGATGAAATATGCTGTAGTACTGGCCAGACAACCGCGCAAATCGAAGATATCATTGAACGCGATCCAAACGTACTAACTATATGGAAGTGATATTATATAGCTAATAAAAATTGAAAATTAGAAATATGCAATATAGGTATCATCTACGTTTCTTTTCGGTTCTTTCGAAATCTACGATTAGAACGTATATCTATTTAATGAGATTTTATTTTTTAGTAGTTTCTAGAAAATTAAATTTTTTTAGATATTTTCGAGAAACATTAAAAGATATATCAATCGTTTTAATATGCAAGCTATCGAAATCGAGCGAGATAGGCGGGAATTCGAGAGGATCGTGCGCGTACAACGAACAGCTTTTTGCAGAGAAAAGAAGAAACTCGAGCAGAAACAACAACAGGCCTTGCTATATATATATATATATATATGTGTATGTGTGTGTGTGTGTATATGTGTAGAAAAAATTTCACACTAACACAGATCTAGCACTTTCAGTAGGAATTTTTTATTTTCATATAAGTTATTCCTTGCATAATCATATTTGCACATAGTTTTGTATAAAATCAAAGTGATTTTTGTTTTGCATATTTAAAACTTAGACTTAATAGGTGTTCACATTTGTTTTCAATAAGCATCCTGATGGAATAATTTAATCATTGAATATTTTCGATCATTCGTTTTACTTCATTAATGTAAATATCCGGTACTTTGTTCTCCCTCATCTCTTGGCACTTCCTTTCCATTGCGTCTTGCAGTTTCTTCTTACGTATCGCAGTCTCTGCACGGATCGTTAGACCTTCTTCAAACATCTTTTGTCGTTCAGCGATACGTTCTCGTTCCTTTTTATTTACCTGTCCAATCGATATAATACATATGTATAATATTACTGCATATCAATATACGAAAATTTTGTTCACGCAAATGATTAGTGCAAACCTGCTTTAATATTTCACTGCGATGGAGCAAGGCCTGCTGTTGTTTCTGCTCGAGTTCCTTCTTTTCTCTGCAAAAAGCTGCTCGTTGTACACGCACGATCCTCTCGAATTCCCGTCTATCTCGCTCGATTTCGATAGCTTGCATTATTCGCTTATTATTTATTTGTTCTTCTCGTTCTCTTTGAAGAATTCTTTGAGCATACAGTTTCTTCAACGTTTCTTCCTTTTCCTTTTGTCTCCATTCTCGTTCTACTTCTTCTTGAACTCGCGCCGCATTGATTTCATCAATTTGTGCCTGAAAATTAGTCATGATTTGGCTAGTCAACATTATTATATAATATAATTGTATAATATAATTGTATATTATATAATTGTATATTATATAATTGTATATAAAATGTATTATATTTTTGTTATATTACATTTTTATGTTATATCATTATATTTCTTTTATTGTATTTATATTTTTTAGTAAATATTATATATGCATTTTAAAACATTAATTGAAAAAAATGCATTATATGATACAACATTCAAGCATTATCAGAAATAATAAAAAAACATTTTACAATAAAAAGAAAATTCAATATTTTATTAACAAATATTAATCTTTCAACAGAAAAAACATATAAGGCGTAATTTTAAGTAGAAATAATTAACACGCGGGATGAAAAACCACGGAACGGAAAGAAAGAAAGCACGTATTGTCGATAGCGAGGTCTGACGTGGCGCTCATGGATATATTGACCCTTGACAACAGGTAGTTGAAACAGAAGGATGTACGAAAGTAATTATAGAAGTATATAGAACGGTACATGTATATGTGTGCGCGATACGATATGATGATATATCGCGCAAATTATTACGGGGAAAATTTATGATTTTCCACCGTATACGTGCATTTTGTAGAATTATTTATATCTAGCGTGAGATACTCCCGCGCGTCTGATAAAACTTTGATATCCACTCTTGTATTGTCGAGAATATATCGCAAGCTTTTCAAATCGGGTATTAAATACCTGAAATTCGTGCGCTTGCATCGTTTGTGTTGCCACTCTAGCTTTTTCTCGCTCCTTCCTTAATTTTTCGAATTTCTGCTCCTCCGCCTTTTTAGCCTCTCGTTTCTCTTTCAGTCGATGATAGTTTTGTATCCTGTAAAAATGAAACATATCCTTTCACATTAAAAAAAAGATAGGAATTAAAAGATAGGAATATTTTTATGTATATGTATATATTTTATATATTTTATATATATTTATATATGTTTATATATATTTATACTATATACATGTATATATATATATATATATATATATATATATATATATACATTTAATTTTTCAAAATTGATATACCTGAGATCTATAATTTTATTCTCCTCTTGTTCCATAGCTTTAAAGTGTTTCAATTGTTCGTTTCCCTCCGCAAGTTCTTGTCGAACTTTAAAACTCTCGGCCTCTTTGTTGCGCAGCTTCTCGATCTCGTCCTGCTGCCAGGCGATGTTATTTAAATTGATGAGCCGACTTTCCTCCTGCTTTCTCTCGAACTCGAGGATCCGTTGCTCCTCGTTCTCCACGATCTGCTCCTTCAGAATCTTGGCGAATCGCAGCCTCTTGGCCGTCTCCTCCTGCTCCTTCCGCAATTCCTCCTTGATCACCCATCTCCTCTCGTTTTCCATCATATCGTTCAGCCGCTTCTCCTCCTCGCGAAGCTCCCGTTCTATCAGTTTTTTCTCCGCAATCTACAAACGGACGGCTAAATGTACGAAAATTTTAGATATTATACAGAGATGATATTATCATAATTCTCTTTTGATCGTATAGTATCGACGAATTTACTTGGGCGTCGCGGATGGCCCGGCATTTGGTCTCCAGGATAAGCCGGTTGCACCTCTGTATTTCTTCTTCTTGCTCCATCCGCATGTTGTATGCACGTTCGAGGACGTGCATCGTTCGTCTTCTGGCCTCCTCCTCGATCTCTCTTGTCCTGGGATCCTTCTCGCGGCCTTTCCTCAGATCCATCCTGCGGATCTTCTCTTTCCGCTCGATACTCTCTTTCGTCAATCTCTCCTTCTCCTTCTCAGCAGCCTCTGCGATAGCTAGCTTCTCTTCCTTTGTGATCATATTGCTGCGTTCCTTCAGGTCCTCGTACTCCTTCTTCGTCATGATCTTTGGGTAGATCGTAGGTACTTTCGAAGGTATCAGATATTTTCTTGCACCGCTTTTGTCCCTTATCTTTCCAACCTATCAGATTCAATTAATCGTTTAATAATACATATATATGCATTATTTTAATATTTTAATTACATATATATATTTTGAATATATATGTAGATATATTAATTTATATTTAATATATATAAATATGAAGATTTTAATATTTATCTCGATTTTAATATAGGGAAATATATAACGTATTCCCCTAATTAAAGTCGAGTTGTAAATATTTAAAAATATACATAAATTATAGTAGATTTAAAATTTTTTATCTCTATTCTCTATTTTAATATAAAGAAATATATAATATATTCCCCTATAATTAAAGTCGAGCTGTAGATATTAAAAAACTATATTTAAAAAATATATGTATATAAATTATATATATACAAAATATTTTTCTTTAATATAATTAATACAATTAGAGCGAGTATATAAATGCTATATTGTGTGTGGAAAACTGCGTTTCGCTTTACATGATCGATAGACTGTGTGCATTACCTCTTTTCCTTCGTACACGTTACTTCTTTTTAAGTGAATCGGTTTGTCGTCAAGGACATGATCGCATACCGGGGGTGGATGGATCACGTATACACCCGGTGGGAATTTTGAATCACCCTGGTACTCGAAATTCCCGGATCCTGTCTTTCGTACCGCGATCTTGGTCGACATTTTCGGGTGGGAAAAAATGTCAATCAATGATCTTTCATCGGGATCGTTGACTGATCGTTGTCTTCGAAGGTGAAATGTTGCTGGAAATTTAGGTATTTTCACACGCGGAGTTTCTCCTCTGCGCCCACAAGACGACGATCCTTTTGACACCTCGGTAGCGGGATGAGAAAACCCTGAGGTAACCCGATAAGAACCGATGATCGCGGCGAGACCGTCGTTGACTGTTTGCCGACGAGTAACCGTTCCTTTGTTTGTTCGATAGGAGGAATTATGCCAAGGGATACAGGATACAGGTGGCCGATCGTGTTACTTGGGATCGTGTTTCGCTTTAGCACGAATGAACGGGCGATAATCTCGCAAATGAGCGACGAAAGTCAGCGCGCTGGGTCCAAGAAGAAGATATATTATGGGGAAATATTCATGAAGGATATGTCTTCTATTATTTTTTTTTCTTCGTCGGAAAGTAATCTATTCCTTTTGTCCACGCGACACATAAAAGGACAAATGTATAAACTTTTTTTACGAATCGCAAATATGTATAAATTATGCAAGGAAGAAGCATATAAATATAAATGTGCGTAATCTATCTGACTCATAGAATAAAGATGATGGTTTGCGTGACGCATGCAAAAGACAAGGACGAAGGGGAAGAAGAAAAAAAGGGAAACTCTTTGCGGGCGCAAAACGTGAAATTACATTTATCGATACGTATATATATATGCGTACGCTTATCGCGTGAGTGAAATTAAGCGAAGGCCACGCAACGGTAGCTATAGATAAGGCGGATAAAAAAGATATGTAATTCACGTTATTTGAACGCACTTATTATTATTATTATTTTCTTTTTTTTAAGAAACGCAAGTTTTGATCGACGCGGTTGTTACCGGAAGATAGAAACTATAGAGGGACATATAATATATTATATATATGTATATATATATATATATTTATTTATTTATTGATAAGAATACGTTTATATATTTTTGATGCACTTGCAAAGTGAGGTGAATGTTTATTAAAATTGCTATATCCAATATTACAACCCCCATTCGTCTCGTATCGTGTCCCCTTGCTAGTCTCACCCCTACACTTGACCTTCGCCATCAGTTGCCATGAGAACGTAATTCATGCCTAGACTCGAGCCATATACTCTATTCCTTTCGCATGTATAATTTATTTCTCATCAACGTGAATCATCACTCTTTTTATTCTTCATATCATCTTCTCCGTCGTCTTCTTCTTCTTCTTTTCTTCTCGTAGTTTCGCACGTCATATCGTACGAGAATTACTAATGCATTCTGTAGAATAGCTCAAGTCTAATAACACGGAAATGGGACACATTAACTTTGCGAACAATAATTATGCGATCAATAGGTAGAGATAGAGGTTCTCTGTGCAAGTAGTTAAAGTCTTCGAATGATATAATTCAAGAAATAAAAGATAATCGATCGCCGTATCTAGGAACATGCTTTATGTGAGTTAAATTTAGTCTAAAGTTTAAGTCTTGAACGAAAGAGAGGGAAGTACTAGTCTACTTCATATAGAAAGAATATCTTTTTTACGCATTTAAGAGACGACACAATATTTCCCCCTAAAATATATGGGAATTTAATAGCATATCTTATTTATATATTTAATCAATTCTATACTTATACGTATCATTTTCACATTTATTATACATTGTATTTGACATTACATTTTTTATCTATATAAGAATTTAATTATTGTTAATATACATGATATTTCTATCTGTAAAATGAATATTTTTTTTTATATTGTGTATATTGCATTATAAATATTTTTTATCTTTATGTATGAGAATATTTATAGTATATATTTCTATCTATAACAATATGAATATTTTTTATTTTATTTTATGAATATTTTTTTATATTGCATTTTGTATTATGAATATTTTTGTATTTATAATATGAATCTAATATTTTTACATATATAATATTTCTATCCGTCACACACATATGAATATTTTTTATTTTATCTTATGAATATTTTTTTTATGTTGTATTTTGCATTATAAATAATTTTTACCTATAATATATACGAATCTAATATTTTTATGTATATAATATTTCTATCTATGATATGAATATTTTTATTTTCTGAATATTTCTTTATCTATATAATAGGAATCTAATATTTTTATGTACATGATATTTCTGTTAAATATTTTTTATTTTATATGTGAATATCTTTTTTACGCAGTATTTTAATTAATATGAATATTTTTCATGCATCGCAAGAGATCTCTCGACGTGGTCATCCGGCGCGCGGCCGCGGACTGGCGACTGGCAACATCGTCGTCGCGGCGCAGGTCATCGTCGTCGCTCCCCGCTGTCGTCGTTGATCCGCGGGAGCTACTAACGACGGGACGAACCCCCCATCGACGACGGTAACGACCCCGTGGCGTATACCACGTGGCGCTGCTATGTGTACCACGAGACGCGGCGATCGCACTCGCGTGCGGCACCCCGGCTCCGGTGCATCGCGGTCTGACGCATTGTCGTCTCCCTACGACGTGAAATTATACGATACAAATTAGAGGCGTTGCGAGAAAATAAAACGCGACGTGCACGATTGATGGATTGGTTATCGATGACGTTTGCACTTCGCGCTTCTAGACTCATATATAGATAGGAGGAAGTTATCTCTTCCGGATTATTTTCAATGACACAACAAATAGAGCATAAATATCGGAGCATCTTGCAACTTCTTTTTTTTTCATTTGTGCAAATATTATAATTTATAATTTTTTTTCAAACACAAATGCGTTGGTGAATGAAATATTTATAAGTGAATGCATTTATGTAAGTGAATCTTCAGATAATAAGCGGTCTACACAAACACGAAAGTAAACAACGGAGGTGCCACGGATACATCTGGATGTGACTCGTCAACCTCCTAGGACAGATCTATCTGTCAAAAGAGCGGATGATATTGCCGCGAGATGATCTGACTGTCATCACCATCAAGGAATGATCGGATATTCTAGAGCTCCTTTCTCTATCAAGTGAGTAAATATATATTCTTTTTTTTTTTTTTTAATTAAGCTATATTGAATAATGTGCTCGATATTTTCATCGGAATACTTCATTTCTCGATATATTTAACAATGTTTGCGAAGAGTACACTTTACTTTTCGACTCGTTTAATAAAACAAGAGCAATTAGACCTAAAATTACACCAATTATATTTAAACAGGTTGATAATATAATTTGTAATTTCATGTTTGACATGTTTCATGTGTCTTTATATATGTATGATATATTTCATATTTGCCATCGCAAAAAAATTCGAGCGGGGCGAGTATCAATGCGAAAGATCGCGACATTTCGTGGACTTTCTTTAGATCGGGTCTCTCTGCAAAACTTTTTCTCTATTCAATCGATAACACCGCTTTTGCATTAAACGCGCACTATACTATAAGCGCAGATATATGGATTATCACCGCGGAGAGCTTCTCGGAAGAGTCGCGCGCGAGTCGCGAACCGAACAATTTTCCTCACGCCGACCGATTTCTCGTCGTCCGGATTTCGTCGATATTCGCCAAGGAGGGATGTCGATGACCCTTATATACCCGGACATAGATACCACGACGAGAAGCGAAGTTAGCGAAGGCGCACGTAAAGATCTATCTATAGACATAGCGCTCGTCGTGCACATCGCCGCACATATACAACGTCATTGTCGTTGTCACAACAAAGACCCCCTTCGAGGAGGAGCGATCTCTTTCGCTACGTGTCCCCCTTCCTCGTAAATTAATTAATTACAATTAAAAATCTGCATTATATATGTAGAAATTTAATTTTAATTATTATATTTTAATTTAATCTTAGTGTAACTTTCATTATATATAATGGGTTTTTGCAATTAATTTGTAATTACACATATTGCGATGATAGATTTCGAAACGCATTTTTTGTATAATATATATGTATTTATTTAATCGAGTAAGAATTAATAAAAGTAACAATGTATTATTTTAATATTTAATTATCAAATTAACGCTTTTTTATTTTTTGACAGAAATCAGCTGATTCAAGCGTTCATTTGCTAGTTAAATTTTAAAATAATAATATGTTACAAAAATTAAAATTATAATACATTTTAAATTATATATTACAATACTTTAAACTCGATTAATATTTTTATTGACAGTTATCAGCTGATTTCTGTCAAAAAGTATTAATCATGGATAAAGTACTATAACATACTATTTACAACACAGGTATCTATTTTAATATTTTTAACATATTACTTTAAAATTTAATTAGCAAATTAACCTTTCAATAAGCTAATTTCTATCGAAAAACATTATTCGAGTTTAAATAAACTTTATATTTTTTTTAAATATCATTCTTTTAATCCAAAATCGAAGCACTTGCGCTATTCTGGTATTATAAAATAACGATTATTTGTCTATCCCAAGCCGGAAGTGGGTTAATATTTTAATATAAAGCATCATGACGTAATATATGCCCTATGTTCTCCGGTGTATAAGTAATCCTCAGCGTATTCCTTACGAGCGCATGCGATCGTAAAGACCAGATCCTCCTTCGGGAACTACATATGTTACATTCGCGGGAAAGTGGCAAGAGAGACGGCACTCTCTCGCGAATGCCAGGTGGGGTGGTACAAGGTTGTATACTCTCTAATCGCACTTATATAACGTGCAGAACTACGACCCAGAATGTGCGTAAGTGTAAGGAGAGAGGAAGGAAAGGGATGTAAATTATGAAGCAGCTTCTTTCTCTCTTCGAAAGGGTTTTATTCTCCCTCTCTCCTTCTCCTGGTTACACGCGTGTCGCGTTATTCCCGAAGGGTGCATCCGCGTTCATCCTCCTCGTATCGATAGACGATGGACGTTCAGAAGTTCCCTCAACTTGCGGAGAAACGCCATAGAAAAAATTGCATTTTTCGCAAGAATGTCGAAACTTTCCTTACGACTTGCAAATAGCGTTGTTACGACACAAACGAGTTTCACGCTTGTTTACAAGGCTCGTTGAACAACGAAGATCTGTGTAAAAAAAGAATCTTACGAAAATAATGGTCTCTCTCTCTCTCTTAAAAAATTTTACCCCATTTCTCCGAAAGATGGTGAAGATGGGAGAGCAAGAGAAGACATTTGCCCCCCTTTGGAATCAGTAAAAAAATTAAGCATTTGCTTTTCTCTTGAATAAGCACTGGAATTTATTTACATATTTAATATAAAAAATTGAAAATATATTTAAAAAATAGGATCCAAAAAAAATTAACTATGCCCACCTTCCTCCTGGAAAAAATCCTGCGGACGCACAAATCTTCGGAATCTAATTTACGAAATTATCGCGCGCATTGATATACCTGTAGAAAAATATGAATTAAAAAAATGAAGAACTCTTGACCAAGTTTTACGACGGCGCTTGGTCTCTCTACTTTTTTTTATCGTCGCGGACTTATCGTTAATCCTTGAACGGTCGTACAACCGCATAAAACTGCAGATAAGTGAAGAATTAGCACGGCTCTCATGATGCTCGCAATATTACTTAACATTGTTTTACAGTCGAGGCACTTAGATGTCGAGCGCCGCTCGTTCTCGCAGACCTTCAGCAGAGAGGACCAGAAGAAGAGGAATGCGACGTTCTCCATACAATCGGAGCATTGTCAAATTTCCTTGGAGAACCTTAAACCACCCCTCTATGAATAAGGAATAAAATTCCTCGAATCTCGTGCGTAGAGGCGCGTAACGAAGAAAGGGAAAAAAGGAAAAAAAAAAAAAGAAAATTACACCAGGTGACATCGACTCGCGACCTGTCGTCCCTTCTCTTCGTCCTTCCGCCTGCGCCGGAGGATGCGCGTCCTGAACGGCCAATTGAAATACGCCTGTTGTCGTGTATCGAAGGGCTCCTGAATAAAGGGAGCCAGTCGTCACGCGTGTAGTGTTAAATAAAGAGGGGGGACGAATGCAACACGCACATGCCATTCTTTCTATCTCGTCCTCCCCTTTCCCTCCCCCCGGCTGATCGGCCTGCTTCTTCGCATGACAGTCTACATTGCAACTTTGTGACACGTCCGAGGTATCATCGTCTCGCGGGTATATCGTTTCTTCTCCGCGGAGGAAGATGACGTTCGTCGCGACGATGTCGAGGAGAAGGGAACGCGAGAGTCCCGGAGGTCTTGACAGAGGACTTGGAGATGTTCCTCGGGATATTAGGATAACTTCTTAAAGTCTAGCTGAAAATTTAAATTTAAAAAAGGGAAAAGAAAAATGCATCGTTGATCTATCGTCTTAAGAGGAGAAAAAGAAGAAGAAAGAAGGGGGCAAAGTGTGAGGTCTCATTCTTCTTTTATCACGGGGTTGGTGGTCTTCGGGATGGGTGACATGTGATTCCTGATGGTGATATGGTGACGTAAGATTCGGTGTGGAGTATACATTAACTCGCCGGTGCTAAAGATCGAAAGCAGCGAAGATAGAACATAGAAAGTGATAACGAAGAGATCTCCGTTCGCAAGCTAATATATATATATATACCTATATTAAGTGTGTAAAAATTACCGTAATAGTGGTAATTCGATCGATTAATCGAAGGAATGTCATTTGCCGATTTTTACAACGTCTCGATAACAACTACGAATTGTTTCACCGATATTCGTTTAGAATTGACTTCGATAATAGTTACTCTCGATATTTACTTCGAAAGATAATTAGCATCTATACTTCTCTTATCAAAACTGACACGGCAACGTAATATCGATAAAGTGGTAATATATAATACGTTTCCCTTAGTAATTATTATTAATTTTAATTTTACAAATTTTGCCATAAATTTTATTTGAAAAAAAAACAGATGAGATAAAAATAACGAGCATAAAAGAGTGTTATGAAATTTACAGAAGAGAGGAAGAGAGAGCAAATAAAATAAAATGATCTTATTGATTAACGCGTGATTGTTTTATGTGTAATAAATTATTTTACGAGTATAATTATGATGAGCCACTCAATATGAACTATCTAAAAATAGCGCTGTATTTCGTAATTTAAACGATGAACTCGTTTTTTTTTCCCCACTTGCTGTCAGTAATTTCGCTCAAATGTTGATTATCCTATCATTTAACAATTATATTCATGGCCTAATTGCGCGATCTTATATAAGGCGAATATCTAAAGCAATTACATACATTTCATATACATTTTTTTTACAGTACGGGGTCTCTTTTTTTCGCAACACTCGCGATTGCTCTTCGAGGGGTTGGTTTGTACTTTCAACTTCTTCCTAACTCGTGAATTTCCGTGCAAGTAAAAAAAAAAGGAAAAGTGCGTCGGACAAGAGAGAACGAAAAGGTGGGACGTGCATCGCGTGCGAAACGTAATTTCTCCCTTTTTCGTGTGTTCTGCGTGTGTCGCACACAAGGACACTCGCCGATGCACGGTGCGTACGAGGAACGATCGATGAAAATCGATAGAGGAGAAACTCTGACGAAAAAAAAAGAGAGAAAGGAAAAAAACTATCGTCTAGAAACACATCGGTTGACATGTAGCGCACGAAGCTTTGCAATTATTGTTATCCCTTTCGCGAGTGCCACCCCGTCTCTCTCTCTCTCTTTGCTCTCCCCTACATATATGGTATTATTTTGTGCCGCCCGCGTGTCGCGAGACTTTGTTCAACTTCGTCGACCGAAACTGATAAAATATATAACGTTGGCTCTTTAATACTTAATTAGCGCTCTCTTTCCCCCGTTCAGCCGTAATTATTAAACAGTTTGTATTCCGTGAATCGAAGAAGGGAGAGAAGGGGATGAATCGTTCGTCCTATATGTGAATACTTTTAAACGCGATGCGAAATTTCTCGCTTATCAGACGTACCAAAAATTCCTCCTCATGTCGCTTAAATATAACTAAAATAAAAAAAAAATGCGATCGCACGATCAACATCCGGACGTCGCGTTGAAGCCGCGACGGAAGAAATTGTCGTCGAGGGAGAAATCCGATCATCAATCGTCCGCGCGATCCTCTCGTTGGCCCAGGGTGACGATTTTCCGCGGCAAGAAGTCGCACGGGGAGTCCAACAACGAGGATCCCGAGAGGAGCCTGTCCCGATTCGAGGAGTCCGCCGATCCCAACGTCGTCGCCTGCGACATCGTCGAGCTTCTCCGCGACGCGAGTAACGAGGACAGGTCGACCTGTCCGCGAATCTCCAGCTCGACGGAGCCCGAGGAGTCGGCCGACATCTGCTCCACGTGCAAGGATTGCGCGGAATGTCAGCTGCGGCAGCAGCAAGATTGCGCGAAGATACGGAAGACCGAGGAGGAGGAAGAGGATCGTCGTCGCCGTCGTCGGGACGAAGAGCTGACGGAGCACTTGGATTATTTTGGCGGCGACGAGACGGAGGCTTCCACCACGGAGGAACACGAGAAGGCCCCGATTCTCGTCGATCTGACCAGCGAAGAGTCGAAGCAGACCACCTGGAAACAGACGATCCTGAAGAGATTTGGAGACACCGAGGAAGAGAGCTCGGAGATGTCGGGTGAGAATGTGATAACGAGCAAAAGCGGTGTATCGTCGCATGCAATTAACACCCCCTTTTTTTCTCCGCCCCCTGTCAATCTTGACTAATCTTAATGTCTAATATTTTCTTTTAGAGTAGACGTATGATGTACGTCACATGTAAAAACAAACAGTTGCATAAAATATGATATCTTCGGAAATGAAACAGTCGTATAGGTGTATAAATCAGTCTTCAGACCTATTTCTTCTAGTTGTTCTTGTTCGATTGTTGTTATTATAATCGTATCATTTTTTAAATAAAATATTGCTCAAAAAGGACCTCGCATTAAATACATGGGATTTTCGGAATTAGTTTTTTTCATATGTTGCAGTTTATGTCTTGCTTAACAAAAGGTGTAAGAGCCTCAAAGCTAAATATTGGATAGTTACTGAGTTACAGCCAGTTCAACAATTTGTAGAGCCCCAGTTTTTGTATTTGATTGGCTATAAATCAATAAACTGTTATTTAGCTTTGAGCCTATTACATTTTTTTGTTCAGCAGATCATAAGCTACAATATGTGAGAAAATCAACTAATCTTACCAAGATTTAATTTTATGATCACCTGTATAAAATAAAATCCTAGATGAAATTGAATCCCGATAAAATCAGCTGATTTTCTTACATGTTGTAACTTATGACTTGCTGAAGAAAAAAAGTAATCGGCTAAATAATATACGATTACTAATTTGCAGCCAGTCAAATATAAAAAATTTAGCTTTGAGGCTATTACATCGTTTGTTCAGCAAGTCAAAAGCTACAACGTATGAAAATAAAAAACAGCCAATTCCGAAAGCCAAAATCTTATGTATTTGGGGTCTTTTTACATTTGTTTTTCATTTATATTCTTTCCATTAGGTTGAAAAAATCTAACTCCAAGTTCTGTTTTTTCCCAGAACCTCGCATCATGATAGCCGACAGTTCCAGCAGGCTCCAACGTGGAGGGACAGGCGGCAGCCTGGCGACCGCCCTGAGGGATCGAGGCCCTTGCGTGATCCCCGTGCAGCCTAATCGCTCCTTGCCGATCCGTCCAGCACCGCCGACGCCGACGAGGTCGGCGGCGTCGCTCGTGACGTCGCGGAAAACGTCGCGCTCGCCGATTCTCAAACTGTCCAAATCCCAGGTGTCGAATCTCGTCGACGTCGTCGAGGTGCAGTCGGACATATCCTCCTCGATGTTGACCAACGAGCTGAACGACGAATTCCCTCCTTTCGCCCAGCAGGATGGAATGATGCACGCGATCGATCGCTCGGACTACGTTCTGTCGCGTATTCCGACTAATACCGTGCAGGTAGAGCAAACTTGAAGATTGAGCTGATTTTAGTTTCTTTCCCCCGGGGATTAGATAAGGAAACGATTTTGTTTTGCGTGTAATAATATTGATTGAATATTTTACCTTCTTTATATTTGTTTTGCATCTATTATAGTTTACTACACAGTTATGTAAGTTGGAACTAAGTTAAAGCAAGCAATTTGCTAGCGAAAATTGAAGATTAGAGTCGATCGATAACTGTCTATTTTAATTATACGCTGACATTGTAAATATCATTTAGCGACGATTGTCACATTACAGATTACGAAAGAGGTCAATAATGTTAAGAAGAAAAACGGCGAAGATAGAGAGAGAGAATACGAGAAGAAACTTACCAAAGACGTGAAGAAGCGGAGGAAATCCCACGAAGTGGACGCCAGTCACGTACAGGACGAACGTGTCAAGAATATTTTGAAAGAGTACTCCAAAAGTTGTTCGAGTAATTTGATCGACAAAGGAGAAAAGAGATCGCAGCAGCACGTGGTGATAAGATTGTGGGATGCTAAGAGATATTCGTCATCAGTCGTAGTATCAACGACGGAGCCGGAGGGAGAGAAGACCAAGGAAATCTGTAACAAAGTCGTGCCACCCTTAAAATTAAAAAAAATCGTACGCGAAGGTATATCATCCTTTCAATTAATTATTTCAAAAAAATTATTTGATTTCAATTCTTTGGAAAGATAATTTAGATTAATCCTTCCGTCAATGCATAATTTTTCATCTTTTCATTAATGTAGAAGAGTTACACATTAAAAGAATTTTTATTAAATTTAATATTAATTATATTTTTAATAAAAAATTCTTTTTATTTATTATTTTAATATTTCATATTATTAAATTATTAAATTCTTATTAAATTTTTCATATTATTACCTTATTAATTGTTTGACTTTTTTATTTTCAGCGAGCACCACCAACGAATACCGCAACGTCGAGATGAATGCCGGGAAGTCGGAGAACGAGTCCAACTATCGCATCGTCACCGGGGCCACGCCACGTCCGGAGTCGCCGTCTGGTTATTCCGCCACTTCCTTCTGGAGCAGCGTGATCTCGGAGAAGGAGGAACTCGGCGAACCGTCGACACGGGACAAGGGTCGGCGATCCTCGCCAAAGAGCGATGGCTACAAGATCAAGTATCGTCGCAATCGGCTGCGTCAGAAGCTGCGGGAATTGCGCGGGAAAGCGCTGGAGCTGTCACGTGAGATGGCCGAATGCGATAACGCAGCCGACACCAGTCCTCAACATAGCACTAGGTTGCGCCAGATGATGAATTGCTACGAGAAGCAGATCGAAAATATCTCCAAACTGCTGTGCAAACTGTCCGCTTCCATACCGTCGACGACCGACGACGACGTCGTCATCGATCTCGACTATGAGCTGGACGAGCGTTCGATTTCAGAGAAAATCATCGACAATGACGTTGCACAGGTAAAGATGATTAGTTGTCTAATTTACTTGTGAAACCGTTTTTTTAGAACAAAAATTATTTTCTGTTTGTCAAAGAGGACTTAAAAATTTAATTTGCCAATTATTTCAATATCGTTTCTACTAATAATGTCTATGTTGAAAAGATAAATGGAGTATCGAGAAGCAGTGTTTCCCCGTCTCCTTCTCCGGAGCCGCCGAAGCTGTCACCTCGCTCTCCTATCAACTATGAGAGAGGTAAATCACCGGATGCGATGAGAGACAGTCCACCAGTGCTACCCAGAGTTTACATTGCGATCCAGCCAACTGCTCTAGAGTGTCTGAAGCAAAATTTAAAATCTAAAAGCTGGCACGAAAGCTCATCGAGTTCGACGATCGAGAAGGATGTGAAGATGAATGACACCGACGATACCGTGATGAATTCAACGATTTGCGATAATACAGCAACACCGACAATTGCATCTCCGATTTCATCGTCAGAGTTCGAAGTCACGGGAAGCAGTTCGGTAGATTGGGAAAGAGAGGAGACTTTACCGAAGCTGAAGAGTCCAGAAATCAAGGAGAAGATAGCGGAGGAAGATACCAAAACGTCGTTCGTCGACGTTCATCGGCAAGCGACACCGCCGATATCTTCGGACAACTTTCTTATAGGTTCGACGATGGATCTCGAGATAGACGGAAGCGACGTGAGGGACACGAAAGAAGGACCGGCCGCTCAGATTGGACATCTCGAGGACGTAACGCAGATTTTGGAAATCGCCGCGAGCAAACAGATCACTTGCGAGAAACAGGAACCGGATCAGAGATCAAACGAGGCTCTATCTTCGTCCAGTCCGCTTATTGCCGAGGAAGCTGCAAAGACCACGGAATATGGAAGCTATGAGTCGGAAGAAGGGATCAACAGCGAGGGTAAAGCGGTCGTGAGCGCGGTCACTGCTACACAGGATGCTGCGTCAACGATAGCAACCGGACGACCGCAAGTGCCTACCGCCAATGTGACTAACATCTTGCAGTTGCAGTCAAATTATTACGGCTCGTCCGACAACGTTGTTTTTACGGGCGTCATACAGAATTCGAGGAATGCGCAGAAGGTAAACTATATAAAATATTATATGTATTATAAATTATAATATTATATATAATTATATAATATATATTCATCTCTTTTCTCTTCTATTTAAAATTATTGAATAGTCAATATATATTTCCATTAAATATTAAGATTCAAAATCTGCATGTCTAGATAAAAATAAATATGTTATGTAATTTAGTGCAATTTGTCGAGATTAATTTGTATTGTCAGTTTTTAAGCTTCTCTTTTTCTTGGTGTCATACTTTCTCTCGATTAAATCTCTATCTATGAATTAATGCACATAATAATTTAACTAGAGCAATTAACAAATTGATGATTAGTTAGTCTACATATTATATTATTCTTATCTATTTCTTTTTTTATTGCAAAAGTTTAGATAATTTTAGAAAAATAATTTTGAGAATTTCAAGTGCATTTAACATGCTTCTAGATGATGACATCAAATATGAATCAATCTGTGGCATTAGATCCAACAATGCCTTTGGGATTCCCTCAATCTGGATCTACTGTTAGCAGTTCAAATCAACAATGCATCGTGTAAGTATGCTTTTATACATATATTATAAAATGTATATATATATATATATATATATATATATATATATATATATAATAAAAAAATGGATTTATATATATTTAATATAATACAAATTTTTAAAAATATAATATTAATGTGTATAATATTATATACATATATAATATATATATATATATATATATAATAATTATATATATATATATCTATAAAATATATATCATGTATTAAATAATAATTAACATTATATATGTATAATATATAATATACATAATATACATTATTATATATAATACAAATTTTTAATGTGCTTTACGCATATCAGCCTGCCTAACAGCTGCAACAGCAAAGTCATTCAGGAGACTAGCAATCAGCGAAATGAGGGAAACCGTATCATGACGGAACAATTTCCTACATTGGGCAACTGGGTAGCGCGAATGTCGAAGAAGCAGGCTATCAAATCAAAGTCTAAATTACAATCTGGAGTTAGCTTACCAACTGCATCGACAGCGGAAACTGCTCGTGTGAGTATATCTATTTTTAAAGCACATAAAGCATAATTACTTTCTTTGAATAATAAAATAGATAATCGAGAAATTCTGCTCGCTTCTGTATGCAGATTCCCGGACTGGAGACGCAAAAAATCCGTGCAAGCGCGCCGAGTAACGTGACACGAAACAATATAGTCAACGTGGCACCGCAATGGAACACGGAAAGATGGCAACGTCAACAGCATCAGCAACGTCAGCAACAATTGTACGCAGCGGCGTCGTCGGCCGCGCCCGCGGTGAGGCCGGGTATCTGCCCTCCCATCTCGGTTACCCAGTTCTATCCACCTAATTACGCGGTAAGAAGTGATAGTTTTTCAAAACATCATCAACATTTTTAATGAAAACGAATTTCACCTACGAGAAATATGTATTATCATTTCTCTTTTATCAGATTGATCCTTACGGCAGCGCGGCTTTCGGTTACCATTCAGCGATATGTCCTTACGGCGACTACTCTTATCATTCACGCCTGCATCCCACCGCATCATCGATAAGCGGTCCGTATCCGATAAATCCGTTGCAGGACCCACAGCATCCCGCCTCTCCGCTTCGCCAGATGCAGCACCTCGACAAGCGTACTTTTCCCGCGCACATCCAGGACGCGGCGACTCGCCACTACGCCGCTACGGATCTCCTCAAGTATCCCGGCTCACTATCCGCGGGTGGCTATCAGCACGCCGCGGCCGCCGCCGCAGCCGCTGCTGCTGGCTTGGACTACGATCATCGACTGAGAACGGCAACAGCCGCCACGCAGAACGGCACCCCATCGGCCTGTCTACCTTCGCTCTTGCTACCACCACCTCCGCCGTTGGGAGCCACGGCGCAGCACGGCACCCTGGCGGCGGCGCGTACCGCTCTGGCCAGTTATCCTGCCGCGAACAACGGTCAATGCGGCAGGAACAGGATGATCCCGGACGTCGTCGCCGCGGCGGCGGCGGCAGCGGTGGTCGCGGCTGCCTCCTTCGGTCGACAACGCGGTGCGGTCTTGCCACCGTACGGCAGAACCGACGCGGAAATCGGCGGCATCGCCGGCGTCATGGACAACGAATCCACGCAGCTGATGGCGACGAACAGGGCGACGGCGAGTCGCGAGCGTCTGCCGCAAGAGCCGGTGCAGCCTATGGCTGGCGTCAACATAGATTCGCGACTGAACAACGGTGGCTACCGTCAGCTGCAGAATCTAATTTTGGACCGATTACCTTACGTAAAGACGGACGAAGTCTCCTATCCTCAGCCGCCCACGGCCATCTTCGGCGACAACGCACAGGAATCGACGTCTTCGGTAGCCACGTCGACTACGTATAAATCCACTCCGGTCTTGTCGTCCAACAGTGGGTTGGCTGGCAAGGAATCCGTGAGGAAAGAAAGTCGTAACTGCGAAACGCCGCATCTGGGAAAGGTGAACCGCACTCTGGAGACTACGAACAATCTGGAATGTTCTAATTGCGGTCTGATTGGTTCCATGTTCAAGTGCCTGGGCTGCGAAGCGGCCTTCTATTGCGATGAGAGATGCCAGACTCGTCACTGGAGCATTCACGTGGAGAAATGCCCCAAGAGAATGCCTAAGCTGAAGAAACTTGTCTGAGAATATCTAGTAGAAGCTGTGGAAGAATCGAGGTTTTGTAAATAAATTAATATCAAGTTAAATTTTAATATTAAATTAATATTAAAAGAGTAATTTTCATATAAACTTTAATATTAAATTAATATTAAAAAATATCAAATGATTAATATTCAAATAGCCAAGACAATTAACTAAGAAATGTGTGAACGGATGTATTACTGTTTCGATATTTGCATATTTTCACGATAACTATGTACCTCTCTAGTCAGAGTATTATAAATATTATAACGAATGCAAGAGGGAGAATATTGTCTCTTGCAATCGCATCAGATTTTACACCACAAATGTGATAAAGTGTGCCTGGTTGTAATACAAACGCTTATTGTAATTTTATGGTGCTTTATGCACAGTTTAATGTTTTGTTTTGTAAATTATGAACATACAAAGAAAGAGAAAGCAAAAGAAGAGTTTAGCACAACTATTTCCTACTATTGAATGGTAAATGGCGTATGTATTGTGCAATAATTATATAACGCAAAAAATATATATGCGCGTCTATGTATATAAGTATTACATGTTGTTACGAACGTGCTACCTCTCATGTACCTTATATGCATAAGTCATAGTGACTTGTTTGGAATCTTATTTTATTAAGATTCCTAGAGAATCTCTTGCGGTGTAGCCACATTGGATTATAACAGTCGAAGGGAGAAATCATTCCTTTTCTTTGCAATGTACATCAAAAATCAAATTAATTTTTATGAGCTTATACTATTAAGCATCAATAATGTGAATTGTGGAAAAATTAAAATTTATTTTGATGTATAGTCACAAGCTAAATATTTCTTCAACTTTCAATGTCGTAATCTAATATGGCTATAATGAGAAATCAAATTTACTGCTAAAAGTTAGTAATTTGAAAAATAAATCAATTATTATTGAAAATATAGTGTGCCATCAAGAGAGAAGAGCTAGTAAAATTATATTTATTATTATTATTTTCAAGAATATATACTTAAAAAAACTCATGTATCTCTTTAAAGAATAAGGTCTAGCATATATATTTGTTTCAATGCTTTCTAATTGTTATATATGTAAAACTATAATCAAGTTTTTATACTTTTATAAAAATTTGTAAAGAAATTGCAGCACCACATTTGTTTAAATGGATGCAAATAAATAAAAAATAAAAATAAATGACATGTGAATTTCTTAATATTTATAATATAACAACACATACAAACCTTCATATTAATTTGTTCAATATAAAATATTCAATATAAAATATCAACAAAAAAATTATATATATAGCCCATTTTTACCTCAAAAGTATTAAATATTCACCATTTGTCGATTAAAACATGCGATGTATATAAGTGTTAAGCTTTAAAATTAAAGCTAAAATTGAAGCTTTGACGTGGTGGGGCTTCAGCAATTTTATTTAAAAATTTATGAGCTTCTTGATAATACGGACTTGTTTCTTCAATAACTTTTTCCATCCAAGCAGTTAGATTTGGTCTTCCCTTTTTCGGATCAAAACCAGCCATACCTATAAAAAGAATTTCTTGTTATTAAAATTACTTAAAAAAAAAAAATGTATATAACTTACGTGGTTGCTCCAGTTCACAGGCACAAAATATGTCAGCTACAGTGATTGTGTTTCCAACTAAAAATTGCTTATCTTTTAGCCATACATTTTCAATAATGTCAAGACAATCATTCATACGTGATTCAAATTCAGCCACTTTTTCTGGTTTTGGTGGTCTTTTTTGCATAATTGGATTAAGGAACTAGAATATAAAGAACAAAAAGAATCTTTAAACATATTTTTATGCAGCAGATACATAAAAAAAATATATGCAAAAATGATAATGCATTACCTTTACTAAGAAGTACGAAGCACAATGTAATCTTGTATTGAGATGTTGCCATTCGAGATATTCATCAACTTTTGCTTGACGTTTTGAATCCGATGGATACCAGTGATCATTTACTTTAAATTCTCTACATATATAGCGTGCAATCCCTACACTAAAGAACAGTTAAAGATAATAATTAGAATAATTAAATTAAAAACATAAATTTCATATTTATTATTTTTTAGAAAAAAAAAAAAAATAGTACCTTTCAGTAAGCTTGAAACCATTGTGCTCCATGACAGGAACTTTCTTGAATGGATTAATCTGTTCAAACTCTGTCGTATATTGTTCGAGATTTTTCAAGTTTACAATCTTATTCTCAAAAGGTATGTCACATATTTTGAGAAATATGTATAGGGCTCTCGATGGTTGTGAGAGTAAATCGTAATATAACTTTAAAGTCATATTTGAGTAAATACTAAATATTTTTTTCTAGAAAAAGAACAAAAACAAAAGTAAAAAACTAAATAAAATGTATTATTCTTTTTTTATTTGAATTTTTAATAAATATAATATGTTAAAAAAATAAATATGTGTATATATATGACGTATATTATATACATATATATTATATATTTAAAACTATATATTACATATAATAATCAGTTAAAGTTTTTTCTTTTCTTCGTGAGTACGTTGGTTTAAAATTTTTTTCGCTTGTGGACACACCGTGTATACGTCAGTAAGTTACGACTTTATCGACACTTTTATATATATTATATCAACTTTTTCACAAATATATCTATTATTAATATCTTATTAATACATCTATTAATAGATCTCTTTGTAAATATACTTTCTTATTAATTCATAAGACAATTTTTCGAGTATTGAAAAATTTATATGAGAAACATTATATAACTTGTTTTAGATTAAATAATTTTTACAAGTTAAATGATATTTATTTATATGATAAAATCACTATCTGAAATTAAAAATGACATAAATATTTATAAATATAAAATTCTACATTTTATATATAATATATATATTATCAAGGTTGGATATAAGTTATATTAATTTTTTTTAAACTATAAGTTAAAGTTATAGTTGCTTATAAAATTAATTTAGTTAAGTTTTATAAACAAAAAATTAACTCAATTAAAGTTGATTAAATTAACTGATAAGATAAATCAAAGTTAATTTTTAAAAATATTATTTATATTAAATTAGAATTTTGTTTATTAATTCTTTTAAAATATATAATAACAAATAACAAAGAATTTTGATTTTTATATAGAAATATATTTTTTAATAATTATACAATTGATGAGAGAGAGACAAATATGAACATAAAAATTAATAATTAATACTTTAATTTTAAAATAATGCGTTTATAACTTATAAAAAAATAATAATGCGATATTCAGAGATAAAAAAATTTAACTTAAGAAAAAAGTTAATAATTAAGTTTAAGGTCAAAAATAACTAGTTAAAGGTAAAAATTAATACATTTTAAATTAACTAACCTAAGTTAAAAGTTATAACTAATTATTACCCAACTCTGTATTTTATACATATAATATATATATAATTTCATACATTGACAAAAACTTAGAAAAATTTAGATATAATATAAAGAAACGTCGCACATTTTTGTAATATTTTAGTATCCTTTATTATGATTTAAAATTTAAATTTTAAATAGTGTATAATTACTAGCATTTATTCTTGATAAACTTGATTGAACATGACTTCGCAATAATTAAGTAATATCCACAGCAAAAACATTATTGAAATACATATATTAAAAATATGGAATTTGGTCTCGATAAGAAATATATATATATATACTTACGATGCAAATGCAACAGGTTTTGATAATAGTTGAGTTTCTCCTTCTTGTTCCTTGGATTGACTGACTGAGAGATAAAAATCCCACCTATATAAGATACCACGTAAGATACAAATAGGTCGTTCTTAGAAAACTCGAACGAAAGCAAAAAAAGTACAGGTCTTTTTATAAACAGGGTGAAAGGTTAACTCAGGTTTCAGCGCCATCTCTTGAGTTATGAGTGAACTAAAAACGCGAAAATTCGCGCATGCGCAGGTTGAAATTCTTAGCAGACGCTTTCCCAGCAGTGTTGTTAGACGGGCCCGCTTTTCTCGCGCATGCGCGCGAACGTAGTATCAGTGAAGTAACTCCATAGTAAAAGGTGTACCGTTAATCACCCGTATAACGTTCTAAGTTTATAATTTTATAATTTGTAAATTTTTATAAATAAAAGATAAACAGACGGAGGGATATAAAAATAACTTTGAAAGATATATAACAAACTAAAAAATTTTATTTGGCAAGAAAATTATGGAATACCAACATTTTGCAAGGGTAAGGGAAACTGACAAAACTTACTAGAATTCAAAGGTACATTTATTAAAATAAAAGTAAAATTATTTTATAAATATGTTAAAGTTGAGTCGAGTAAACAATAAAAATAAAAGTTGTAAACGTGAGCCAAAACTTTCGCGCCCATATCACTCCTCTGCAGACAGTCGTCTAGATACGTGCCTGTTAATTAGCAGACGCATTTAACAACAGTTCCCAGCTCGGTCTTCAGCATCTTCGGCGGTCTTCGAGTGTAGTTGCATATTTATTATCATTTGTATGTCAAATTTACGTGAAATATGAGTGGTGAAGAGAGACTGGTGACTGAGGTACCGAGTAGTTTGAAACAACTAGCACGTCTTGTTGTGCGTGGATTTTATACGATAGAGGATGCTTTAATTGTGGATATGCTGGTTAGGAATCCATGTAAGTGACATCCAAGTATTGTCCAAAAAATTCTACAATCAGAATAACTCTATTAATATTTATTCTATTAATATTTAATATATATAATATATATAATGTATATAATTCTATTAATATTTAATATATATAACATTAAATTTGAAAAATATTGCACTCTTGTACAGGTATGAAAGAAGATGACATTTGTGAACTGCTGAAGTTTGAACGCAAAATGTTGAGAGCCAGGATATCAACGTTACGAAACGATAAGTTTATTCAAGTTAGGTTGAAGATGGAAACAGGATCGGATGGCAAAGCACAGAAAGTTAATTACTACTTCATTAATTACAAAGTACGAATAATTGTGATTTTCTTTTACTCGACAGTATAGGAATTAATGTGAGACTAATGAGATATGTAGATGATGAAAATTTGTATCTCTCTTTTAGACCTTTGTAAATGTTGTTAAGTACAAACTCGACTTGATGAGGAAAAGAATGGAAACTGAAGAGAGAGATGCAACCAGTAGGGCTAGCTTTAAGTGTCCAAGTTGTTTAAAAACATTTACAGATCTTGAAGTAAGTATGATAATGTGATATAAGTTATGAATTTTAAGAATTAAATTCTATTTTATGATTACATTTTTACATTGTAATAAAATAGAATAACATACTATATAATGAAAATATAATATTATTTAATTTTTAAAAATATAAAACTAATGTATTATATTATTATATTATTATAATATTAATTTAAGGCAATTATTATAACAGACAAAACTTCAACTTAAACTCTTGTATAGGCGGATCAACTTTTTGACATGAGAAGTAATGAATTTAAGTGTACATATTGCCAGGAAATAGTAGACGAAGATCAATCTGCTCTTCCAAAAAAAGATTCCAGATTATTATTAGCAAAATTCAATGAACAATTGGAACCATTGTATATACTATTGAGGGAAGTAGAAGGAATCAAATTGGCACCTGAGATATTAGAACCAGAGCCTGTTGACATCAATATTATTCGAGGGTAAGTTTTCAAGAATCCATATATACAGGATGATACAGTAATTAAATTATTATTTTGACAGTTTTGATCATTTTTATCATTTTTACTATTTGTTATTCAAATAATATTATGTTCTACAGTATCGACACGAGAAAACCAAGTAGTCTTAGGACACCTAATGAACAATGGTCAGGTGAAGCTACCAGAGGCTCAGGTTTTATGGTAGAAGAGACTAGAGTGGATGTTACTATCGGAGACGAATCTCCAGACGATAATGCGGCAAATCACAGAAAAGAGAGACCTATATGGATGACAGAAAGCACAATTATCAATTCTGATGGTTCACAGGTATATTATTTTGTTATATATATATATATATATATATATATTGTGTAATAAATAAATAAATATATATATATATATATTTATATATTCTGTGTCTTGATTCATGTAATTATCTCATAGGCTGATGGTGTAAATACACAAGAAAGTATCTTGGACAAAGCTGCAGCTACTGCCACAAACGCAACTACGACGAATAATAAGCAGGGTGAAGATATCATGTCGGTGTTATTGGCTCATGAGAAGAAGGGCGGTATTAATTCCGCGGCATCTATTAAAGCAGCGCTTCCACAAGAATCCAGCGATAGTAGCGATAATGAGGAAGATGCGGAAATGCAAACTGTTGATACTGGTATGAAAAATTATATACTAAAAATTATATATATTAAATATATTAAGTCTATCGTATATATTAAACAACAGAAATTTTAACATTAGGATAATTAATTTGTTAATTAATAAATCATTTAAACATAAGATCAAGTGAAAAACCTTGAAATGCAGAATGATGAAAAATTGACAATTAATCTGTGAATCTTTGAATTTTATCAATTAATTTGCAGGTGAAGTGGAGATGATGGATTCCGAGGACGATGAGCTCGTACCAACCGTTAGTGTCGGCGGTAAAACTGTCGCGATCACCGATGTTAACGATACCCTAATCGCAGAAATGACTCCAATAGAGAAGGAAGCTTACATTCAGACGTATCAGGAATATTATTCACATATGTACGATTAGACGAAGAACAACGAGCATCTTCAATGCTCTATATAAGACTGATATTGATTTGATATCTTTCTCGTTGTTCCCTGTAATATTTTTTATATAGTCATAAAATGTATAATTTTGGAGTACATAGTATCTTTTCATGATGGCGTTAACAACTCTGTTGAATCAGTTTGTGATTCTTTATATTGATAAATATAGTAGATGTATATATGCTATATTTTTCGCATCTGAAGAATTAATTGGTTTAAAAGAAAGAAGATAAAAAGATGCATTTTTACAATTATATATTTTCTAATATAATCGCAACTGAACAATACTGTTACAACAGATTTTTTAGTAATAAATAAACAGAGTGGGGAGAAGGAATACTCTGTAAAACATAAGAAAATAATTAAGATGAATAATACCATGTCACTTCTGGTAAAACGGGAAATTTTCAAACTGAATCAAACATGAATAATTCAATAAGCTTACTTGATATTTTCTTTTTTTTTTGTTCTCGCAGTGAATTTCTGTCCGATCACCACCATCGCACAGAAATTCTGAGATTTTTATTAATTAGTTATCTTTTCGCTTTTTTTGTATTTTTTTCATCATTTTTATCTTCTTAACAATTCCATAATATAGTTAATGTTTCTTCACCTACGTTTATTTAATATTGCTCGTTCACTAAATATATCAAAAGAATCCAAAGAGAAACTCATTTTAAATAAATTTTATATAAGATAATTAAATATTTTTAAAGACGAGTTTTTTTTATTTTAATAATTTATTTCTCAATTTTAATTGTTATTTAAATATAAAGAAAATAATCCACTATGAGCAGAAAGCTCCGGATTCTTTTGAAGTAATCAGTCGCGAGACAAAGCGACTTTTGATTTACTCTGGTTCGTTTAAACGCAAACGAGCAAAGTCTTCGAATACTATATTATCGTCGTCATCGTTGGCATAGCAAGAGTTCTCGTAACGTGCTCTCTCAATGCTCTTGCTCTTCTTCAGCATGGCCTTTTCTTTCTCAAGGACACCTGCATAAAAGGAAATGCTTGAATGAATCTTTCAACTAATAAGAGAAATTTAATCTTCAAGTTAAATCGTATGTGTGTTAATTTAAATATGTGAATTAAATTTTTGTAGCTAAATTAAAAATTTTTATATGTGAATAATTACAATATACAAATGTATTAAAATAATGTAAAGCTACGCACCAGGAGCTGGATGCATCAATTTGAATGGAACATCAGTGATCAGCTCGCCAGCCAGGGTACCGCAATTCAGCTTAACTCGGATAGAATAAGAAATCACGATACCCAAGGCTTCAGCCGGACACTTGCCTTCGGCGACTAAAGTCGAGGATGCCAGATTTACGTCGTCATCCTGATGAAGTTAAAATAGATTGTCATAAATGTCAAAATATTTTTAGGTATGTTACTACAGATTGCATATATATTTATATATATTTTTACAATATTATTATATAATTTTAATTATATATATATAATATTGTTAAAAATAAACATTGTATAAACTTCATATATTTCAGTATTTAACACTATTGTAGGACTTGTTATTTTAGATACTTTAAGATGTCCGTCGAGAGCGATGCCACGACGATCTTTGTTGCTGCTGGCCAAAGGCACAAGATAGAACTGTTTCGTGAAGGATGCACCAGGTGTGATCGGACAACCCTCGCGAGTCTCCAAGCTAGCCACGTGCCGCGAAAATTGGGCATTCACCATAGTCACCTCGCAATGTTGAACCACGTACAACTGTGGAAAGAATATGACAATGATGGTAAAATCTGGCGTCTGAGATTTACTCGATTATTTAATTTTATAATATTCACCTTGATGTTTTTCACCGCTTTTCGGGAATTATTTGTAACTGTGACGTTCGCCGCAACTTTCTCACCGTGGTAATAAATCTCTCTGTCCAGTGTAACTTCCAAGTTTAATTTACCTTGGGAGAAGGTGAATCCCTTAGATACCAAAGAGCTGGGAAGTCGGCGACCTCGCGTCAACGGAGCATATTGTAGCTTCTTAATGGCTAACGCTACAGAGGACCTTTTGTGTCCCTGAAAGAAAATAAGTAAAAAAACACATTTTTGCAGATATTCTATTTTTTTTTAATTTTATAATTTTGCATTTATTTATTATCATTTATTTTTCCCTTATTTCGATACCTTGTCCTCTTCGCTATCCGCGACGAATACTTTCACAATATATTCAACTCCCAAGGGTTTTCCCTGATCGTCGTCGCCAGGCTGAAGAGTAACCGAGCACGGAGCAGTCTGCGGAAAGTGGAACGTGAACGGGAATGCATTCGAACCCAAACGCTTCAGCAAGCGTTCCTGAATCGGTGTGGTCTCCTGCTTCTCCTTCTTCAATGGAACAACCTGATCGCGACACAACACCAGCTCTTTGCTGAACTTGACTCCCATGACTTCGTCTTCCTCGCGACCATATCGGTACGTTGTCGAGACCTAAATATATGCGATAAAATATTACAATATCATTTATTAACGAAAAAGATTTGGAGAATGTTTCAAAACGAGAATACGATCCTATAAGAAATATGTAATATATGTACTATAAGTTAGAATTTTATTCACCTGACCAAAAATTTTGCGTCCCTGCAGGTAATCATTCTCTACGACGATGACGCCGTCGATGGGATCAACGTGATCTAGATGGTCGATGAAGTCTCTCTTGCCCAGATACACCGTAACTTTGCCTGAATAAAATATTTTCACATTATTAACATTATTAAGCGCTTAAGGATAAGAAAAAGAAGAAGAAGAGATTTGACAGTTGAGTAAACTCACCATTAGGGGTGGTCTTCTTGAATACCTTAACGGCTACAACGTAGGCCAAAAACAATAGAGGAAACATCTTGTTTCTGAAATTTTTTCTAAACGGACGAGTGATTTAGCAGAGAAATTTATTTCCCGCCCAGAAGTGACACGTCTGGAGAACCAAGAGTAGATCTTCATATAGTCTTGCTGGGGCTTCTTCTTTCACTTTGAAGCCGTATTATAACTAACGGGATTACTTTGTTACAGAACTGATTTAAGAGGATTGCGAATTATTACGCAGAAAGAATCAATGTGCGAGTCGCTATGCACCGTAAATTATAAATATTTTAATAATACTATTGCGATATAATATTTAATACAAAGAATCTCTTTATGTAGGAGACATTCTCCTGCAAAACTTATAACTGCCAAGTAAGTAAGTAACACACACACACACACACACACAAATATATATAAAGTGTTGAAAAAAAGGTAAAATATTGTAAAGGAGATTTACTATTTCCAAAATCAAGTCGAAAAGCTGTAATAAACATGGGTCCGCAAATAAGCCATTTTTAAGATTTTTATTTGCTATCTTATATAACTTAATTTACTTATAATTTAATTTAATTCACTTATATTTATATGAATATAGATAAATTAAATTATAGGTAAGTTAAGTTATATGAGATATAGCAAATATCTTAGAAATAGTTGATTTATGGATCCAGCGTTTATTAAGATTTTTTTTAACTTAGTTTGAGACATTAAATTGTCTCTGTATATAAAACTTATATTCGATAGAAATAAGAAAACTCTTCTTTTTTTGTTCAGTCTTACGTTTATTTTTATTTCGATAATAGAATGTTTATACAATATAATACGGAGGTATCTCTTGTAATCGAAATAAAATCCCCTGAAATTTCACACGATCGCTTGTGTGTTTCTACGGGTTTCCTTAATGATAACAATACCTATCGCGAGCTTCAAATAGATATTAGTGTGTTAACAATTAAAAAAACTCGCTTATATTTCTTTGTAATTTCTCTTTTCGTTTTCTCACATTCAGTAATTTATAGACAATCGATATAACATATTTTTTTTCTGTGTGTCGCTTTTGTGTATATGTGTACGAGCATATGAGCACCTCATCGACATACTCCCAAAAATATCATGGTAACTGAGAAACATTTTCCTTTTCTTTTGCACAATACAAAAAAGGCAGTAGTAATTTGAATGCCCCTCGAAATATGAGATATTGTTTACTCGATTAATAATTACGATCGTAAAAAAGTATAGTAGCGCGGTCGAAAATTATTTTTATATTTTGTATTTACGAAAGAACTTTTTTCCTGAAAATTTCCCTCGATGCCTTATAATATTTTTCCTCTTTTCTCGGAGAAATAAAAATTTTCGCCACAATGGATGCAGTCAAGGATCGCAAGACTATCTTTTTCTCGAATTAAAAAAAATCTGCACTAAGAATTCAGTATATTGCAACGTAAAAAGAATTTTATTGTATACTAAAAAAAATTTATGTATACGAAATGACGATAACAGTAAATAATAACAGTATTAATAATAATCGTGATAAATATTTTTATATAATAATAGGCACAGTTAAAGAGTATGGTATATAATTATATTCATTATTCAGCACTTTTTTTTTATTACAACTACACAGAAATTCGTTGCTACCAGGGAACAGAAATACTGTATGTGACAAGATTTTATGAAATCTTTATTCCAAATACTTATACTTCACAATGTCTTCGTACAATGCCTACTATAATCTACAAATATTAATCCAACACTTTTACAGCTCTTGTAAACGTTATATCTTAAATGAGATCGTCTTCCTTTTTTTTCATAAACAATTTTTAATAAAGGGTGAAACACAAATATAACTGCAAAGTATATTAAGTTTTATAATTTTATAATCATATCTTTACACAGAATGGCAAATTTTCTAGTTTTCAAACAAAAACTTCGAATCTTCTCGATGCGAGTTTATTACAACTAATCGAAATAAATTTACTATCCATTTAACAAGTTACGCTAGTGTATCTTTCACGTGTAGATTTCGGTGTACAAATAATTCATAGAACTATTTAATTTACGCAATCATACATTGAATTCTAAACGTCATCTCGCTTCTCGCAGAGCAATTAGAGCTCAGGAAAGGCAATTTTTTTTTTTTAAATCACGCGCATTACCTGTCTCGAATTTCGCGAAATGCATAATACACGTTTGCGTTAAGATACTTAGAGCATTGTTTGTCATATATACTTGAGCAATATCTAAATTATATCATAGCATCAAGATGAGTAAAGAAAAAATTATATGGAATACATCACTTAGCATTTAACACAATGCTCTATCTGCATAACGTGTATGAAATCTCAAAAATTTCTGTCCGCGTTTTATGACCTCTCTTAAATGAGCTAAGAGAAAAATATATTTATATGACAAGCTAGGAGAAAAAATTTCTTAGTTCTCTCTCTCTCTTTCTTTCTCTCTCCCTCTTTCAGCTGGATATCAAGCTACACTGCAAATGTATCATATTTTCAACCGTAATAACATTTGTACATAAGTAGAATCAGTTCCCTGATACCAGCGCACTTCTAATGTTGAACAGTACAAATATGTTAGTCTCGAAAGTATACATAGTAAATTTTCGTAATTTGTAATTCGACGCAATTCTGTATTTTTTTTGTTTTTTCTATGAACTTACGTCATTAATTATTATTTTTTTCTTTCGCTTTTTTTAGCCTTTTCTTTCCATTCGACCTTTTGATAAAAACATCATTTCTTATTCTTTTAGAGATGATTTTTGCAGCAAGACAATACTGCAAATCTCAGCGTAAGCAAAATTTGTCTCACACAGTAGAAATCTACAATACGATAAAATGTTGTAAAAAACTTTCAAATTGATGTCTTTATATTTTATTAATTTGAGATTTCATGGTTAAAAAAAAATTGTTTTTTTAAACTTACCTAATGTTCTTCACAGAAATATCTCCTTATAAATAAGACTCTTTTCTTATGATAAATCTGAAAATAAAAATTGCAAGTTGTAATATATGAAGAACAAAAAGCAGAAATAAACGTGCAGACATGATTTTAAAAATAAATACTTACAACTCGGTACATCCGCGGACACGCTCTTTTGTATCTGATCAAATGAGAATTTGACAAAAGCGTCGTACTGTTCAGACAATTTTAAATGTAAGATCTTATCATATTCTTCGCGAATTTGCGTTTCTTGCTCCTTGAGCATTCGTTCGCAGATCAAGCCAACCTAAAACCATTTTTATGGATAAATCTAAACAAACCAATAATTACTGTAAATAAATTTATTATAATAATAAATATTCATCTATCTAAAAAAAACCACATTTTAAAAAGTAAATTTTTTTGTTAGACAACATGCAACTAATCAAAGAATTCTACCTGTTTAAATGTGAATAGGGGTTTTTCCTTTCCACTAAAGTTATGACTAAAGGGAGTCGAAGAAGAGCCAGAAGGACTGGAAGGGCCTTCCATGTCTGATGAATCGCCACCATTAGTTTGTGGATGAAAGTATAATTGCTTACGCCGTTGCAATCTGCGAATTTCTTCTCTGATGTTGGCAGCCATTTTTTCTGCATAAGAATACATATGCAATGATATTTTTTAAAATATAAATATACATAAAATATGTAATATATATATATATATATATATATATATATATATATATATATATATATATACATGTGACGTAAATTAATGTAATGTTTCAATTTTTTCTTAAATATTCCTGTTTATTCAAACAATGTTTATTTAAATATTAAAAATTTCAGATATTTAAATATAAATCAATTTATTATTTATTATTTAAATAAATTATATTATTCAAATATATATCATATGCATAATATTATGAGATTTGAAGCATGATATGCAGTTTTCTATAAAAAGTTTTTTCTTTACATTTTCTTCTTTTTTATAACAATTTGTGTATATATCATGTTGCTCAAGTTTGTGTATCCTCTAATATTCAATTTCCTTTCCATTTCTTCCTATTTCTTCATCATAGTTCTTGCAGTCTATAATGTTCTGTATAAGTTCCTAATTTTTAACTCGCATATATAATTTATTTAAAATAAAAATTACAAAATAAATATCTGAATAATATGCTGTTGCCCTTCCAATTCAAATACACTTAATAATCATCCAATCACATTTCAAGCATGTCTCTGCTGACAAGACAAATGTCTCTCAACGCTGATTTTCCTTCAAAAATGAAACATCATTTTCAACATATATATATAACAATGTTATTTTGCATCACACGTTACTGTATCTATGCATCGACATAAATCCTTGTCACGTGCAGAAGACAAAATTCATTTCTGGCTGTACCTTTGCATTCTTCCTCGAAAAAAAAAAAAAAAAAAAAAAAAAAAAAATCCCAAGAAGAATGGAACGTAAACCCGAATATCCCTGAGCGCGTCCGTTACTACATTACCATATGATTTACGCGTGCCGCCCCCTTCCCTTCTTAAGGAGAGTCCCCGAATACGGGTTTTAAATCACTAGAGCTTTTTAACCGCCCCTACTCGCCATCCCTCTCTCTCTCTCTTTCCTTCATTCCTTCCCGAGCTCCGTCTCTTTTCCGCCCTAGATGTGCTTACAAGGGGCCCAAGAGGAGCGAAAGAGAGAGAGAGAGGAGGAGAAAGCGAGACGGAGATAAACACGGAGAAACGCCGATAAGAGCGACGGAGAAGAGGAGCGAGGTGAAGGGGGAAAAAAATGGCCGCAGCCTGCAGTGGTAATTACCAGGCGTCAATTTGCTCGCTATCTCGCCAAACGGCGACGGCTTCTGCGCCAGGGGTCCGCCCCGTGGCGACGACGCGGTTGCGCCGGGCGACGCGCACGACATCGGCATGCACCTCCGTCGCTTGCTCGGCCTACCGTGGCTGTGCACCGGGTCGAACTCCAAGGACCTCTTCAGTGTCGCGCACGCCATGGTGCTGTTTCTTCTGCTGGTGACGCTGGTGGCGCGGTGTTCTCGAGCTCACTGGCGTGCCGTGTACGACTGACACCCAGCGTTACGGGCCGCGGCTCCGAGGAGAGGGAGAGGGGGGGAAGGGGATGGAGGAGGGGGGAAGTATAAGGGTCGTCAACGGGGAGATAAAGGGGAGCGGTGCGACGATATCTGGCGCAGAGCTACGACGCGACGTCCGGGATATCCTCGGGACCGCGCGGTCACGCGTCGAGTTTGACAGCTCGGTTTGACAAATCGCCGTTTTTTTTCTCGATCTCGGCGCACGGCTTCTCGTCCCTCCCGATCGACGACAAAACAAACACTGCGCTCTCGAACAATATGGCCGATCCTACTCGCGAGCTCGCTCTCTGCTACGCGTAAGCGACTCCTCCCTCTTCTGTCTCTCCTGCCGGCTGAACAAGCTCTCTCTCTCTTTCTTTCTTCGTTTGATTTTAAAGAGCACGAAGTACGCGTATTATGCATGATGGCGAACTCGCATCCGCGGGTTCGACCAATGACGTTTCGAGTTTGACAGCTCCGCCAATAGGAGGACGCGGTTGCTAGGGACTTTGATCCCGCTATTAGCGGAACTGTCAAACTCGAAACGTCATTGGAGACATTTTTTCTTTTTTGGATGACAAATATCTCTTTTTATTGAATATTATTTATAGGAGAACAATTCTTCTGTAGAAATTTCATTTTTTAATAAAAAATTTTGTGGAGGAAAACTTTTTTAATATATGTCTGCTTAGGTGTCAAATTTTTAATTACTATTAATACTATTTAATTATTATTACTATTACTATTATTATTTATATAGCTATTATTATTAATTATGCGAGATTGGACGCATTGAAAATTGACCAATCAGAGGAGAGGATCTTAAATCTCGAATTCCAATGCGCAATCCGATACAAGCCCTAGCGCGTTCGCGCATGCGCAGCGCCTGCTTGTGCAAAGCGCACACCAAAGTGACAGTTCTACATCGATAATGTCAATAATCACGGCCGAGCGTTAATTTTATGCGGACGCGCGTCGCAGGTATACGAAAATAAATACATATATATATATATATATATATATATATATATACACGATGTCGCAATAAGGATAAAACGTCGAAGGCACGTCGCGTCAACATCCTCGGGGGCGCGAGTGATCTCCTCGTCGACGGCTCACCAGGTAGACCAAGGGGACACAAGTACGTATATGCGTGGGTTCGTCCGCGTACATGCGTGCGAGCGCGCGAGCCTCGCCTTCTTTCTCTCTCGTACTAGCTCGTGCACCACGTCGTCGTCGTCGCGAGACATCCCGGGGAGGAGGCGGGGGGAGGTGGGGGGAGGTACAACGGCGGCGGGCGATAGGTTATGAAAAAGTCGTGCAAATACTGGACGGGCGTGGGTAACATATCGACGGTGTGTCTGTCGAACGCGAAGCGCGAACGCGCGACGAGTCTCGGAGACGACAGTCTGCCGAGTTTTTACATGAAGGAGCAGGACATCCCGGAGTACCTGGAGGGCTGCGGGTTGACCACCTGCACCGCCACCGGCGACATGCCCGAGGACATGGAGGTGCTGCGCGACAATAAGGAGCACCCGGGGAACAAGGAGAAGAAACTGTCAACCACGTCCATCAGCGGTGGAGGTGGTGGCCAGGGTGACACCAAGAAGACCGTCATGGTGAAGCATCCGGAGTCGAACAAACCGAAGCCCACGACGAAGAAGAGCAAGCCGATCCAGGCGGAGCTGGATGTCGCCAAGGAGTTCATTCGCTGTCGGGACGAATGCGTGAAACGATTGGATCTTAGCAAGGCCAGCATCACGAATTTACCCAGCTCCGTCAGGGAGTTGACTCATCTGCGGGAGTTCTACATTTATGGTAACAAACTGGCGACCCTGCCACCTGAGATCGGCTGCCTGGCGAACCTGGAGACTCTGGCGTTGAGCGAGAACTCGCTCACCAGTCTACCAAACACTCTGGAGAATCTCAAGTCCCTCCGGGTCCTGGATCTCAGGCACAATAAGCTCAACGAAATACCGGACGTCGTGTACAAGCTTACATCGCTCACCACGTTGTTCCTGCGCTTCAATCGGGTCAGATATGTCAGCGATAACATAAGAAATCTGACAAATCTTACCATGTTGAGCCTGCGAGAGAACAAGATCAAGGAACTGCCCGCAGGGATAGGCGAGCTTGTCAATCTTATCACTTTTGACGTCTCGCACAATCATCTGGAGCACCTGCCTGTGGAGATTGGCAAGTGCGTGCAGCTGTCCACGTTGGATCTACAGCACAACGAGCTCCTGGACATACCGGAGACGATCGGCAATCTGGTGTCGTTGACGAGATTGGGTCTTCGTTACAATAGACTGTCCAGTATCCCCAAGTCGCTGGCCAACTGTAAGATGATGGACGAGTTCAGCGTGGAGGGTAATCAAGTGTCGCAGCTTCCAGATGGTCTGCTATCCAGTTTGTCGGATTTAACGACCATCACGTTGTCCAGGAACAATTTCACCGCATATCCGTCAGGCGGGCCGTCCCAATTCACAAACGTCTATTCAATCAATCTGGAACATAATCAGATCGATAAGATACCTTATGGTATCTTCTCCCGTGCCAAGAACCTCACCAAGCTAAACATGAAGGAGAATCAGCTGACCGCTCTGCCCCTGGACATCGGCACCTGGGTGAACATGGTCGAGCTGAATCTAGGTACGAATCAGCTGATGAAGATCCCGGACGACGTACAGTGCCTGCAGAGTCTGGAGATACTGATACTCTCCAACAATCTGCTGAAGCGTATTCCGGCCACTATAGCGAATCTGCGTAAGCTGCGGGTGTTGGACCTCGAAGAGAATCGGATCGACTCCCTGCCGAATGAGATTGGTTTTCTGCGCGAGCTGCAGAAGCTGATCCTACAGTCGAATCAGATCGTCACGTTGCCGCGCGCGATCGGCCACCTGACGAATCTCACGTACCTGAGCGTCGGGGAGAACAATCTGAATTATCTGCCGGAGGAGATCGGCACCCTGGAGAACCTGGAGTCGCTCTACATCAACGACAACGCGAATCTGCACAATCTACCGTTCGAGCTGGCCCTGTGCACAAATCTCAGTATTATGTCAATTGAGAATTGTCCATTATCGCAGATACCTGCCGAGATTGTGGCCGGTGGACCGTCGCTGGTGATCCAGTTTCTTAAGATGCAGGGACCCTATCGGTCCATGTAACAGATTAATTAAGGCCGCGCGTCTTCGCGCGCCGCTGAGCCACATTGATGTCGATTCTTAATTGCGAGAGAAAGGTAGAGGGAGAAGCGGTGAAAGAAATTGTTTTCAAGGGGAAGATATATTTGTAACATGACTATCTGTTGAACTTTAATTCTCACTTTAATGATCTCACTTTAAATGAGAAAACGTGTAAAACAATACTGAGATACACTGTATAAAAACGAATTAGATTGCTTTGTTTCTTCGGTGTCGAAAGGATATTTCTTTTCAAGTGCAAAACATGAATTAAGTGTAATGTTAAATTGGTGCTGTTGAATATTGTTCTTGCAAATGGGAGAGAAATATATATATATATTATGTAGATTAGTCTTCTTGTGCAATTTTAAAACTTGAGATGTTTTAAAGCTCATAATGTAAATTTCCAAAAAGATGATATACACTATACTTATATATGAGTATCTCTTACAATTAGTTTATTATGATATGTTTATCTGCTTTATCAAGAGATGTAATTTCCATGCTGCGTGTTGATAGTACATTTCAATTGATAGTTTCTAAAAAATTATATACACTGTCCACAGCATATTTTTATGTAACGCAATAAGTTGCTTATTTTCTTTAGATGCATAAAATATGAGAATTCTAAATTATATTAATTTGTTAAGTTTGCTAAAATATGATGCAATTGTTTCATTTTTTATTCATTTGATTGTGAAAAATATAAACAAACTCCCATTTTGTAAATTGCTTATAAACAAATGTAAATTAAATCTTATGTTGATTATGATAGAGAAAAAATATTTTATATAAAACAGATAACCATATATAATTAGTTCTCGTAAGAACTATTTTAATATATATGTTGCAGTTATTTTTAAAGCTTAGTAAAATATAGTCTTCATTTTATTTATTAGCAAAATTCGTCGATTAAAAGTAGCTTACAATTTTTTTAAATTATAATTATAACATTTATTTATATATACTATATATATATATATATATAAAAGAAAATTGTGCAACAGCGTATCATTATACGAAAGAATACAATATAAACGTCCCATCTACTACATAAGTACAAACACGTGAGACAAGATCTTTAATTTAGAAATGATAGAAGAAGAAAACGTGTTAAGAATCGACATCAACGGCATTGTTTGTTGTACTAAAAGGTTGAAACGTACTTCGTGTATATTATAAGCGAGAAAAAAAAGATATTTTATTAAAATATTAAATTGAGAAGTTGTGAATATAACGTGCACACAAAACGAACGTCGGTACACATAAGTTTCCATATACATACATTCTGATGTTATATATGCGTATATTTTTTTCTCATTTTTTCGTCGATGTGTATGTCACCTTATGAGGTACAAAATATACTAAGATCTTTCTACGGGAAGTCACACTCTTTTGAAACATGAAACATTATAGCTATATTTATCTAATTCAACAGGGCGTACCGAAGAGCAAATATATTAATTTTTATTTATGTTAATAAGCAGTGAAACGAAGAATACTATACTCTATTATGTCTGTGAAAGTAAGAATTATACAAAGAAGGAAAAAAATCATGAAGCAACAGAGTGTATGCGATATTGTATTAATATTTTTTAATTTTTATATTATTGTCAATAATTAGATTATATATTTTATAGAGATTCATGATGATTCATGACGGAGCGATTATAAGATGCATTATTGCCTTTTGTTAAAATATCTTTACTCTCATTAGATATAATATTTCTCTTTGTTCACTTCTTTGCTATTTCTTAAATTTTCTTAAATAGTCTCAAATATATATCTTACACATTCAAGTACTCTTCTTGTATATTTATTCGTATTTAATTTAAACAAAGATGCGATTATATTGTAAAATTTTGTGCTATTTTGTGCAGGAATAATTGCACACGGAGTTCGTCTTATAATTGCTCTATCATCGTGATTAAGTACAAGTACATAATTGTCGCTAATTATTGTAAATTATATAATAATAAATCTATAAGTTTTAATACGATATTGTACACACTCTACTGCTTCAAATGTATAAAGATTATTTTTCTTTTTTATATAATTTTTAAAGTAAAATAGGCCAAAATTTTATAGTATAATCCGCATCTTTGTTCAAATTAGATAAATATAGATTAGATGAATATACAGAAAGGAAAAATATCGAATGTGTAAAATGCATATTTGAGACTATATGTTAAACAAATTTGATGGTTTAAAAAAAGAAATTTACAAAACAGCAAAGTAAATGAAGAAAAAAATATACATAAAAATGAAAATATTTTGTAATTGTACAAAAGGAGAAAAAAGGAAAAGTTTCTCCGTTTTCGTTTATGTAATAGTATGTATCTCTCGTGCGACAATTAAAGCAATGAAGCCACATTGTATACACAGCATCAGGAATGTCTTCTTGCGTTTGACATTTTCAAGACAGACACATTGTGTTTAGATATTCATGTAATAATTATATTTCGATTTTCAAAAGAATTAGCAAAGAGAAGATGAAGAAAAATGTTATATTTTAATTAGTCAGACCATTATTAAATTAGTTATTGTTGGAAATTTATCAATTTGTCTTAGAGTCAACACAGTTATGATGCATGTCTGACTAATAAATCTGGAACATAATTCGAAAATGTCGTAAGTCAAGACATTCCTGCTTTCTATACTGTAAAGTGTGCTTTCATTAGATTAAAGAAGATTGCGCTGCCAAATGTAAACGTAAAAGAAGAAATGGAGTACGCAACATATATTGAGCATTTTTTTGAGATTATATTTTGCTAAGTTCCATGATAATCGATCAATTTTGCTTGCTACATCTCATTTCTCTCTGTCATCAACGTTGTTGTTCTGCTCTCAACTCTGCACAAAGAAATAGTGCCAATGTAATTGTAAAGTTACATGTATATCTAACATACATACATACATACATACATACATATATATATATATATATATATATATATATATATATATATATGTATATATATTATGTATGAATATATTTATATGCGCGTTACATATATTATTATAATTATGAGATAAGTATTATTATATCTATATATATAAACAGGCTCGCATTTAAAAATGTGCCTATAAATCTATAGATTTTTAGTTCTTTTAGAATCTTTGTGGCTTATCAATTTCTTCATTCTCGATAGTCTTCTCGCTTGTGTATATGTTATTAGATTGTATTTCTCTATGTATATGTTAAATAGTATAGTAGTGTCATATAAATTAGGCTATACCACATTATTTGCGAATGCAATTAGCAAATTTGTTCTCATCGTCAATTTTAATGTCTTATGACTTACTTAAATATTGGGTCTCTATACTGTTATTGTGCATTTAACATTATATGTAATTTAATTAATTAAATTTTAATTCAATTAAGATATATATTATAACAAGTATCGCAAGGATTTGGATTCTCTGATGATTTAGATTTTGATTTTTCTATCGATAATAATTCACTTTAGAAAAATGTTATATATATATATAAATTATTTTTTCTTAAATTTAGAATCTAATTTACATTCAAAATCATCAGATTTCTCTTATATTTTCTTTTAATAAAAAGACATTCGTCAAAAGTGATTTGTGAAATTTTGAAATAATTTATACATGTTGCTTTGTGTATAGTTTGCAAATGCTTATTCAGTAATCGCACAGACATATTAATTATTAATGCATTTTTAATAATTAACTAATGTCTAATACTGTAAAAATCTCTATATATCACAATTAAAGTTGTTAGTTCTGCGAAAAAGAAAACAGAAGCTTCTTTCGTATCGGAGTAATCTATTATCTTATAAATGATTACGATAAGCGTATCTTGTTAAAAAAACCTACAACTATCATATAGTTGTGGCGAGGAAATCTTTATTCAAATGCTATAATTATCCCTGAATATCAATTATCAGTTATTGTAGCGTTTTTCCTTCTTTTATATATCTATTTGCAACGAGAATCTTATGTTCCTATCTTTTATTATATACGCAGCAATTATAATTATAATTGGGAAACATTTTCTTCTACGTAACTAAAAATGCTTGATAATCTATATTTGCGATTATAAATGTCATCCCCTAATTTTTCTTCGATCTCTAATGTTACAAAGTGTTTGATATTGCTGTTGTAATTTATGGTTTAGCATAATTCTATCGTTACACATTAAACATGTCTCGCGCAATTTATTAATTATATGCTATCTCTATACATTCTCTCTTTGTATTATCTGTTTGTTATTCCGTGCGAATTGTAAATCTCGCGTGAACAAAGACATTTGGATTTAAATCAGAAGATGGAACTTAGCAAATTCTCTGTTTAAAATATTTTTTTCTCTCCGTGTTAAAGTTTAATGTGTAATACGTTGCAAATTTCGCTTTAATATGAGTATATAAATATATATGCATATATATTTATATAGATATATATTTATATACACTTTATATGTATCTATTTGTGTCTGATTATCGAATCTAAGTTTTAAGGAGATATCAAAGCGTACATATTCGCACCTCGCAAATATTGTGTAAAATTTGTCTCTGGCTTCCTGTTTTAAAGTCGGTAAGAATCTTTGTCGTTGAGGAATTGTCGTGATCGAGCAAAAATAAATTAATTTACAGAGTTTCTCCATTAGATTGTACATATGATATTACATTGATGATTTTAACATCGTTAGATTTTATTAAATTGAAGATAAGTAATTAGCAAGCGTTCTCGCATTTTCATATTATTATTTTGTAATCTATCACGAATGAAAAATCACGTTGTGAAGGAGAATGTATTGTAAAAATTAATTAGTGAAATTCAACAGTGTGCACAACAGTACGACAGAACTACTTTGCAAAGGTTCTTGCTGATTAATTGAGAATATGTCGAATATTAAATCTGAAAGTGAAAATTCCTTTCATTGTATTATATAGGATAAAGGTTGCAGCGTAACGGTCGCCATGGGCTCCCACTTACAGAAACTATTAATAGTGAAATACGTCTTATCGACGTCGAAAAACGTCAGCGGTTTTATCGGTATTAGAAAAAAGATTTATTTTAAAAAGGTATCATTATATATATATATATATATATATATATATATATATATATATATATATATAATTTTATCTAGTGTTATTATATACGTAATGTTATGTAAGGAACAATAATGTATTGCGTGCATTATATTTTTTAGAAGTCTTTGGATTTTAGTATTAGTATAGTGTTTTATACATCTATGCTAGCATTTCTTTTTTTAACTATATATTGTATCTATGCGCTCGTATTATGTTTATTTAGAGATTGCAAGGATGTATATTAATACTTTCGCAATTATCTTATTTTAAATATTTTGATTATTATTAAGTTCATTGTTGTTGCAAGATGAGATGTTGAAAAAAAAACACGATATCAATATATTGAAATTAAAAAAAATCAAAATAATTAAATTTAAAGAAAAAGAATATCCAAGCTTTCAAAATCTTGGATTGCATTTTTAATTAAACGAAGGATTAATGATGAATTTTGGAAAATTTAGCCGTAACAGATACGAATATATCCTATACATACGAAGGCTGGAATTTTAAAGATTATTATTCGTTAATTAGAGAGATTAATGTTACGAGATTATCTAAATGATATAACGTGGCGATCGTTTAACACATTAGTTTCTAGATATCGTAATGAAAGTCTTCACGTGTGGAAAATTCATGGCGCTATTCACATGTAAGTTGCCACAAAATCGGTGATACAATACAATCCGTTGTGATAAACTGTTAAACAGTTTTAAAAAAAGAAGTAAAGCAAAATACACAAATCGATAGACGGCACATAGTCCCCGTGGTTTGCAAGCGATAAATTTACGTAACAGTTGCAAACGCACAATACGCTATTCTGAGATAATAAACATTTATCGAATAGTCTATTGAGCAAAATACACAAAATATTGTGTTATGTGTAATATAATTCCAAGAATGTAATATTAAATGTAATTCAGTGTACATTACGTAATTATATGAGAGAGACGCTGTATAAATATTTCTAAATATACAAATATATTATGAAATATTTTCCCGAAATTCATATTTTTCTGCTTTTTGCACAATTTCCTTTGAACTTTTAGTAAAAATGTTTAAATTGCTAATACAATTTTTTATGTTTTAAGTAATTTAATTAAATACTAATATAATTAAAAATAATATTTTATATTATTACTTAATGAGCCTTAACATTAATGCCGAAGGCAGTTTTTATAATAAACAGATTATAATAAAAATTTAATTATTTTTAATATTTAAATTTATGAAAAAAGTATGTACATTTATAATGTAATTATAATTATTAATTACATATGTTGACGATGTTGTTCAAATTTGATAGAAATCTCACTGCGTTTCTTTAGGGTAAAATTGTCAAATTTTTCGCTGCACGTGGACTGTAATCATTATTAAAATACCTTATTATTATGATTATTACAAGATATATATAAAGTGATTAATAGAAATAAAAGGAAATAATTTTATATACATACCTCTTTAGATACATTCGTCATTGCTGGTGTTCTCGCAGTAAGCACGATACTCTTTTGAAGAGACAATTCAGGATAATTTTTAAAAGACGCTTGTCGACGAATTGTTACTTTTTTAGTAGACCTAAAATTTGTGTCTTTTTTCAGGCACAATTTATTTTTCACATCTTTTAACAACTCCTTTTGATTGTTGCATGTTTTCTTGTTCATCGAATCTATAAAATGATTGTAAAAATAATGTATTATATTAATAAAATTATAAAAATCAATTAACAGTATTGATAAAATTAATATAGTCAAGAAAAATCATTTACTGTATTAATTTATCATAACAGATTTAATATATATATATCTTATATATAATTTATCGCACTAAATTATACTAAAATAATAAATAAAAATAAAACGAAAAATATATTAAAATAATAAGCTATACTTTGGCGATCTGAATCACTCATGAGTCGTCTGATTTTATTTACACCATAAGGAATTATTTCGTCATATATTAATATTGATGTCGCAGGTTCGCATGAAGATTCTGAAGGATTTATCAGCCTGGAATTTTAAAAAATGTTGCAAAATTATTATAATTGTTACAATTATAATTACATATATAAAAATGTTGTAAAACACACCGCAGTAATTCGGTAATATCATTTGCAATTAATTGTAATTTCCATAAGTCCATCAAAGCACTCTCCACCTCTTGTTTGATATTTTTTTCATCACGATTAAAACTAATTATTTCCGCTCTGATTGTATCAATTTTATTTATGAGATCAGTCACTTCCGAACTTTTTTCGACATCTAAAAGAATTATTTTTTCTTTGATGAAAAAAATCAAATCTAAATTTTAATTTTTAATTTTTACTGCGTTAATTATTCTACCGTCTTTATCATAGTTCCTTATTTGCTTTGTGCAATCAGTTTCCATATTAAAGAAGGGATAATATTTAAAGATACCAGACAAATTATGTTCGTGAGAAAATTGCCATACTTGTTCGCAAAATAAATCCTCTACTAAGGACACTTGAGAATTCAATTTCTCCTAAATTAAAAATTTACGGTATTTTAGAAGAGCACAAGTTAAAAAAATAAAATTCCAAGATTCATTATTTTTAATAATATTGCAAAAAATTCTCATTAAATTGAATCAGTAAATTATACATATATATAATTATATAATAACCTATAAAACTTAACCAAGCTTTTTTCGGACAATTATATATATATATATACATACCAGCTTTTGTTGTTCCTCTTTTAATACTTTTTCCTTTTCCAAAAAACTATTCTGATACATACTTATTGTATCTTTTATCATCTTCAATTCTACTCTTTTATTTTCATATGCGATCAAAAGAGAATTCGAAGTAGTATTTTTTGTGTTATTGTTTGTGAAAGCAATTTTATTCTCCAAAATATTCATCCTCTTATTATTCACTTTATCAAAATAATATAAAACGCCAAAATAATTAATATAAGATATATTTTAATTTTCGTTATATAACTCGTTATATAGCTTACCATAATATTCTTTAATTCAAGATTCAAATTTGGGATATCGAAGTTTGAAATTTTGGATATCGTCAGTCATGCCAACATATAAAAATGAAATTTCCCTAGGTGTATTCTAGAATGGAAGAGCAGCTTCAAATAATTCATCCTGATTGTTTGAACCGCGGACCAATAAGAAATGTGCTCCGTTCCTATTGGTTGCAATCCAGCAATCAGCATCGACCGATCGACGCTCTAAGCCAATCATAACGCGTAATTAAAATATATTCTCTTAGTCATTCTGAAATAAATTTGAACAAACTTTACAAGCGATACTAGCTACACGATACTATCCTTCGTGAACTGAATTATCGATCCCTTCGCAAAATATAGTCTCCTGCTTGATAATTCAGAAATAAATTTTCGAGAGATTAGAAACCACGTGTCATATTGCACTTTAACCCTATTACTGGTCGTATTAATCATTTTATATTATTTTATGGGATTATAACATTTATAATAATATAATATTATAATATATATTATAATATTATATTAACAATATAATATAATTGTAATTATTATGTTATTTTATATGATTTTAAGTTATTTTATATTATTATATTATATATGGTATTTTATATAATTATTTTATTAGTTTATGTTATTTTATTTTGTTATTTTTTAATGAACAGATTTTTTTTCGTAAATTTTGTCAGGTTATATCATGCGAATTCTTCCGATGAGATTGCAAATTTAATAAAGCAATAAATTAATTGTGATTGCTGACCAATCAATCAACGTGTGACGCCATATGAAAATTGCTATAACGCGCATTGGAAACTGCAACTTTACGAACATTTGTGAATATACGAGATTCTTCGACATATAAGCAAAATTTGGAATACGAGATTATAGCAGAGATCTCTTTGGTTATGCCGATAAATTAATCATGAGTTCGAATGGTATAAAATTATTGAAGAAAGCGTGAGTATACGATTTACGAATGTAAAAGCAAAACATCGCGATACAAAGCAATCTAACGCTTAGAATGTTTCTGATATTTTTTCGAATTTACAGAGACCCGTTTCCGCAAGGAGCTCGTTGTCAAAAGTGCCTGGAAAGGGGACACTGGACTTACGAATGTAAGGGCAAGAGGAAACATCTGCACAGATCTTCTCGCACTTCACAATTGAAGAAGGCTTTGCAACAGCAACAAGATGGCAATACGTATGTGTTTGGAGATCTTTTGTTACGTATATACATTTGTCTCTTTATGAATCACAATGCATCTTGAAATATTTGAAAGATATAATGTTCTTCAGCTTTTAAAGGGACAAAAATGTTTTGATATCATCCAGGGTATTATTTATCAAATTGGATTATTTTAGACAGTAATGGTTCTTTTCTTTCTCTCTCTTTTTTTAAAGATATATTCATAAGAGAAAATGTGCAATTAATTACATTCAAAGTTATATATTAAACACTTTTAATCTTCAGATAAAATGTTATGTACATTTGAATTAATTTAACAAACTTGAAATATATTTTTATTTTTAGTCAAGTGCCAAATAAGGAAACAAAGAATCATGTCAGAAAGAAAATGAAGATGGAAGAATCCAGCAGTTCGAGCGATTCAAGTTCTTCTAGCAGTGAAGATTCTAGTAGTAGTGAAAGTAGTAGTAGCAGTTCTTCATCAGATAGCGAATCAGACTCTAGCGACAGTGTATCTAGTAGCAGTAGTAGTAATAGTCTTAGTAGTAGCAGTTATACTCCATAAGAAATAGCATAAATCACGCAATAAACCAAGAAGAAATTCCCTTCTGGCTATTTTGTCATGATATATTTTTTTATACAATAGTTATTGTTCACCTCAAAATCATTTTATTACCTAATAAGTTTGATTTGAAAAAAAATTAAAACAAGAAACATGCAAAACTGTGAGAAATTTTTATCTGTTGAGCAAATATGTAACACATAAAATTAAATTCAGGATGGAAATGGGCTATTAAGAGCCAGATATAGAAATTAATCAATACTTACTAGTATTGATTGTCTTATATATTAAGACCAGATCTGCTGATGATGGTCTGCAAAGGAAGAATTAAAACAAATTAAATAAAGAAGAAATGAAAAACAAGTTTGTTGCATATGGTTCTTATTAGTTTGCTTCCATTCTAAATTTATATTTATATATCAGAGCCTTTTTATTTTTTATTATTGTAACATTAAATATTTTTTCCTCGATTCAATCTATGTAAAATGTAGTTAAAATGAAATCTTTTCGGTAACTTTTAATTGCATAATACTATCACATTAATGATTTGTGATACTAATGTAAAATCCATTTTTATATGTTTTATATGTTTTGGAATACATATGTATTATCTTTGTATAGGTATAATATATGTACTGAGTATAGCTTATATTATTTTTTTATTATAAGGTACAAATAAATTTTATTGTATTACATTAGCATTTATCGTGTTATTTCATAAAACTTAAAAAATTTGATATTGAATGTAATTATGAAAATCTATCACTAGTTATATAGAATAGAATTTAAATATAGTGCATTATTTTTGCTACTATTGCTTAAATATAACAGAATAACGTTTGAGTTTATTACGAGAATAATTTAATGTATTTAACGACAGAACATCGCAGTAATCATATGTAACAATGTTCAACAATAACATAGAAAAGTAATATAGGAAGATAATTATTATTGTATTTTAAGTATTTCAATGTAATATACAAATTTTATATGAAAGATAAAAGTTTTATATTATTTAAATAGTTATGTAAACAAATTAATGCTTTTTTCCAATTCAATCTTCGATACCTTCTGGCAAAGTCTGCACTATTACTTTCCTTCTTGATTCGTAAACGAAATTGTTTGTCTTGAATATGTCACTCTCATAAAATGTGAAAGAACATTGCAGTAATTATATGTAACAATGTTCAACAATAACATAGAAAAGTAATATAGGAAGATAATTATTATTGTATTTTAAGTATTTCAATGCAATATACAAATTTTATATGAAAGATCAAAGTTTTATATTATTTAAATAGTTATGTAAACAAATTAATGCTTTTTTCCAATTCAATCTTCGATACCTTCTGGCAAAGTCTGCACTATTACTTTCCTTCTTGATTCGTAAACGAAATTGTTTGTCTTGAATATGTCACTCTCATAAAATGAATGTAGATTATGTATGTCAATTTGTTTCGCCTGTAATCATAAAACGTTAATATTAGCATAAAATAAACTTTATTTATGTAAAAAATTTGAATAAAATGTAAATATCTGAATAAAAAGATTCTTATATATATATATTTGTGATATCAAAAATAATGAAGTTAAAAAAAATTTTTTCTATATAAATATTAGACAATTAAAATTTAATTTAAATCTTTTACATTACCCGTTCCAATAAATCTTTCTCTGAAATTTCGACAGTCGTGATACGTCCGCCATGCAAAGCTTTTTGAAACGCCAAAGTATCTAAAGTGATTTGTCGTAGTATGTAATATAAGAGTTCACTATGATCTTTCTTGTATGATAGATATTTCTGGAACGTCTGTAAATGAAATTTACATGTGTAAACAACATGTTGAAACAAGTTTAAATCTTTTCGGATTAAATACAGATTGAAACTACATATGAAAAAAGAGATACCTGGCGCATAGATTTCATAACAGAATACTTTTGTGTATCCACGAAACTATCGAGAACTATTCTGATAGCGAGATTCATATCGTTTTCTTGAACATGATCTCTCAAATGCATTTTAGCACTAGCTTCTGCCATACGAATAATACTTTCTATATGACGTACAGTAATCGGCAAGCTTCCAGTCGCCTATAATGCAATAATACGTGACGTGCAAAACTTTTAAATTTGTATTTTTATTATTAATTTCAATTTAAGATTAATATTTATAATATAGATTTTCTTCTCAAAAATTTTCAAGAATATATATAAACAAGTATTCTTGTTTTACTCACCAAACTTTCCTGTCTCAATTGACTGTACAATTTAGCGACTTTATCCTGATCAATATTAGCCAGCTTTGGATGTACATTCTGTTTTGCATAAACAATATACTTTTTCAGAAGGTCTTGTGGAATGCATAGACTTTGCGTGACAGGGTCCAATTCTACAGCCTGTGTTCTCTCCGTGCTTGTCGGATGATGTTTGATGTGCGAGTTAACGACAAATTTGGCCAAATGCCGATCCTGCATAGGATCAACTTCATCCTTGACTATACACAATACGTCGAATCGCGAGAGAATCGGTTCCGATAGATCCACCTGCAAGAAATTTTATAAATCAAAACTTTGTATGAAAAAGTAGAATTAAAAAATGTATAACAAATGCATACATTTTCTGCAAAGGTCATACTGGGATCATATCGGCCACCGATAGGATTAGATGCCGATATCACTGCACACCTTGCATGGAGAGATGTAACGATACCGGCCTTCGAGATAGAAATACTTTGTTGCTCCATAGCTTCGTGAATAGATGTCCTATCTTGATCATTCATCTAAGAAAATAGAAATTACAACGTATTTTTAATAATTATTCTCATTTAATTGTGGTATAATTTTTTTAAGTAACTTATAATTAATAAAATTTTAATTTATATATACATATATACATGTTTAACATAATTATGTAGTATATATAATATATATGTTATGTGTGCGGATATTAAGAATTATAAATTAATCACTCACAACAGTTATTACAATATGAAATATTTACAATTACATTTATAATGTTATCAAAATGTTGATATTAGCGTATGTTGCTGCAGTCATTTAAAAATTTAAATTATTTAAATACGTACTTTGTCGAACTCATCGATGAGGCATATTCCGTGATCGGCAAGAACCAAAGCTCCAGCTTCCAAGGTCCATTCTTTACTAACGGGTGATCTCCTTACATAAGCAGTCAAACCAACAGCTGAGGCGCCTTGACCCGTTGTGAAAACCACTCTAGGCGCCACTTTTTCCACATATTTCAAAAACTGTGATTTAGCAGTACCAGGATCTCCACACAACAGGACATTTATATCGCCGCGAACTTTGTGCTTGTTGCCTACGTGCCATAATATAATCAATGAAAGAAAATATATATTTAAATTGATAAAAGAATTAGAATACAAATAAAGTACCAGGATTCTTTGATTCGCCACCAAATATTGCCAGTGCCAAAGCTCTTTTAATGTTCTCGTGTCCATAGATCGAAGGCGCGATACTCGCGACGATGCGATCCGCGATCCGCTGATCTTTACTCAGAGCGAGTATACTCGAGATGTCCTCTTCCGTCAATGAGTCTACAATTTCCTTCGAATCTTTGACAAATAAATGATTAGCTAATAATACGGTGGAGAAAACTGGGAAACCCTGTAAAAATATAATAAATTGTACAACTTCTTTCTCTTAGAAAAGTTACAAGGAATTATTTTTCTAAAGAAAAACATAAAAAGTAATTAAATTAGCTGTAATAGCTAATACAAGTTTTATAAAAATTTAATTTTACCTGTTCAGTGTTTAAAGAACCATCATAATTATTGGTGTAAATAGCGGTAACGTCTATCTCGTCTCCAGGTTTACAACGATCACAAAGATCAGATAGTAAAATGCAATCTTTACTACGCGGAATTCTACCAGCAGGAATTCTACCTGGAGATTCTTGTACCGTTATCTTCTGATAATTTCTGTAGATAGTTTGCTCCATATTAATCTGAAAGACAATTCATAATTATTATATAAAATTAAATATAAAAATAATATAAAAAATATAAATATAAATTAATATATAACATAATGTATATAAAACATATTATAATTATTAGACGTATTTATAATTATACACAACTAAGAATATGTTTTAAATGAAATAGCAATGTAAAACTTTGATTTACCATGAATGGACCAATGCTTTGACACTCGGGACACGAACCCGGTTTGACTTCTGTGTTTTGAGATTGAACGAATGGCCCGAGAACGTAGCCGCATTTTGTACAATCGTATTTCACCACCGATAATTGTGGTAAGACACCCGTAGTCGCCGTTACAACTCCAAGAGTTCGTACTAGTTGATTCAAGTGAAGTTTTCTATTGTAAAAGTAACATTATTTTAATATAAAAAGAGAATAAAGCGAGTAAAAGCAACATTTTAATGTATTATTTGCATTATGAGATTGTGCATAAGCTAAATAAAATGATATTAATTAGATGAAATATACAAATATCATTATTACCTGAATGTGCGTAATTCTTCGATCAATGGCAATTCCGATATTCTCACGTGAATTTCTGATGTGACTCTCTCATAACTGGGGAAAATCGTCAACACTAGTTCCTTTGCAACTTCGTCGAATATCTCGAGCATTTGAAATGGTGCCTCTGGTAAAAAATAGGCCAAAACATGTTCCTTACTGGCAAGAATGGGAAATTCCACTATGAAACTGGACTATTAAAATAAAGAAAAACAAAAATCTTATGAAATAAAAACTTAAATAGATTTGTGACCATAAAATCATAACAAAAAACATATTTTTCAAAAAGAAAGAAAATCTTATTTAATAAAACATAAATATAAAATATAAATATAAAATAAAAATATTCCATGATTCCAAAGTTTATCTCGACTAAATTAAAAATAAAATAATTATTTTAAATTAAAACTTTTTTAAAAATGATATATACATATCTATATGTAAGATTTGATACCCCATACCTGATTACTCTCGCACATATGGCGAATACGCTCTTTATACATATATTGTCCCTTAGAATTTGTATGAGTGCGAAGAAAACTTTTAAAGCGATTTGAAATTTCTGTTCGTGGTCCTAGCATCATGACCCATTCCTTTACTGAGTGTCCTTTGGTATCCTCTAAATTTTCAATGGATTCAATCATCTAACATAATTAAAAAAATAATATTAAATAGTTATAATATAAAATACTTGATACTATATATAATATGAAAAGCTAATTACTTCTGCATCTTCTATTATGCCACCAGCAGCTTTTTCAGCCATACGTCGTTTGCGCGCTTGCACATCTTCTTCATCACTTTCATCTAAAAACATAAAAGAAATGTCCATTATTAAAAAATATTCTATAACTTTATAAGTGTATAGCTCTAGCTTTTATGCAGATATTAATATTGTATTATTTTATAATTCATAATCTCATTGATTTGTTCTTTGTTTTGAATAAAAAATAAAAAATTACCATAAAGTAGATCACGGTCATCTCTTATGATACCAGCTGCACGATCTCTTTTTCGCATTTCTGTTTCCGCAGCTACACGTTCACCCTGAGACATTTCTGAGTATTCTGAATCGTCAAGTAAATTGGCATCATATCTATCCAATGCTGACATAGGCCGATAATCCCTATTATAAAAAAGAATAATTTTATATTTGTTATATTTTAATATTTCGTTTACACATAAAATATATGTAATACAGTTTTTAAATACTTAGTTAATTCCTTTAAATATTAAGTATTAATTTATGCAGTTATTATTTTCCCGATGTCTGTTATATCAAGATTTATATTTTAGAAATGTCAAATCCTTACGCCTCCATATTATCTCCAAATAATTCCTCTCCCTCTTCCTCTTCCTCATTATTAACATTATCTCCATCAAGTAAATCAGATTCATTTTCAAATGGTTCATCTATATTAGGTGCAGGAGAGGTCATTGCTTCAGTCTGTCGTTCAGAATGTACAGGAGAGCTGGGAGACTCTAAATACACATAAAATTAAATGTTATCTCTTTCTCTCAATTACAAAAATATATTGTATATTATTCAATATATACATATAGATTAGATATACACATATAAATAATATATATTACATTTATACAAAATATTTTCTTATATAAATTCATAAATATACTTTTTATTAACTATATTTTATATTTAATATATATATATCATTTATATATATATATATATATATATATATATATATATATATATATACATATGAAACATTTTATAAAGATCAGAGAAATGTTTTATTTGTATTTTATTTGTATATACTTTACCATGTTGTTGGTTACGATGCTTCTGTCGCAAGAAAAATCGTTCTTTTTAGATTATTATAAAAAAGTTAGTACAATTGTGACTGATGCAAGGGTTTTCTTATTTTTGTAGTTGCTGTAATAAAATTAGTAAACTGTGAATCAAATCGCTACATCACACAAATTACAGAAGCCATCAACATATGGCCGAAAAATATTTGGCGGGAAACACATTAAAACTTTGTCATAGACTTTCAGTGACAAAGAAAGGTATGTGAGTTGCAATTTATTCCAACCAATAGAATGTTTATGTCCAAAATTGACGAATCAAATTTCATTTAGCTATTTTTAAAACTCTGGCGTAAATTCAAGATCCATAGATGAACGACTTTCACGTTTTCACTTTAGAAAATTACAGGATCGAATTACCAAGAATACAAAAACGTCATTTTTCAATTTTATATTACAAAAAATGTTTATTTAAATTTGAATATTTTTGACAAATCAGTTGATAGTTGATATATTATAACATATATATATAATTTTATGATAAAATAAAATTAATGAAATAACTTTTTGGTCTTAAATAATCTTTACAAATAATCATATATAGTTTACAAAAATGAGAACAAATAATTTTAACAAGAGATAGTAAGTGACCTTTGTAATAATAAAATTTTTTAAATTCTAGGTTTATATATACATATCTACGTATATATAAATTTTATTTTATTTGAAACATACGTATTTTTTTTTATAAATATATGCATACAAAAACTGTTTGTTAAAACATGACATAATATTACAAAATATAAAACTTACAATATCTAATAAAATTTGTATTTAATTATACATTACATTATACATTGTTGTAATGATTGATATAAATGAGATTGTAATCAAATTTATATTAGAATATTTCAGAAAACATTCATTGCATCATTTATCTTCAAAAAAACCAGCTTATTGATATAAAAAATGTAGTTTGAATGCTGTAGTTTTACAATTAAAATAAAATTCAAGCTGTATCGTAAAAACTATTTACGTATATTTTATCTTTCATTCTTAATTATATAAAATCATTATTTATAAATCTCTGACACAAGAGAGCGTGATGTCTTAAAATCATAAAAATAAAATTATTTTCTACGAATCTGTTTAGATATCTATATTAATAAAAATACAAGGTTTTATAATACCTCACAAGATACAGCCTGATAAAGTTATTATGTATTTGTTGTCTCTTGTAAACTATATTTAGATACCAATTTATAATTTTTTTATATAGTTGGAAAACTATATCAATCATAGTTTTTAAAGATAGTTGGAAAACTATATCAAGATTTAAATTTATATTGCCAATATATCATGTGTTTATATCATGTTTCAGGTTTTTAATTATGAATTATGTAAAACCAGAGAAAGATATGTCAGATTAAGAAATGGAATGAACCAAAATTAATTTACAGTAATAAAACTATACTCAAAACAAGGCATTAAGCTCTGACATATTACTAGCGCTTCTACTTGCGTTACTAGATAAGTGTAATTTTGACATTCCCTCCAACATATAGTCATCATCTGCAACATATAACAAATTTGAAACTATATATAGCTAATATATATTTTTTATAATGTTTAATATAATAAAAAACTAGATGTAGTTCCAATATATTAATTATTAATTTAATATATATTAGATATATATAAATTTAATATTTTTATTTTTCTATATCTTTCGGATTATCTCATTGTTACCTGATTCATTATCGCTCAGTTGACGAGGTGAAAATTTACATCCTCGTGCTACATAATATTTTAGTTTGCCTACACTAGCTAAAATTAAACCGAGAAACGGTGGTGAGGGTTTTAATGGTCTCGATAGATACTCGGGATGAAATTGTGTAGCTACATAGTAACTATGTCCTTCCAATCGGCGATCTCCATTCGTATATTTTCATGATCGTCACGACCTACAAAAAGATGTTATATTATGTATAATTATGTATAATTAAGATTTTGTATTACATTTAGTAGAATTGTAACTTCATTGTGTGCGAAAAATGTAATATATAACTCACCTACAAATTTTAAACCAGCTGCTTCTAAATCTTGAATGTAATCCGGATTTATTTCATACCTGTGCCTATGTCTTTCTTCTATGACATCTTTATTGTCATACAATTTCTCTGTAAAAAATATGAAATATATATATTAAAATATATCAAATAAATATTGCCTAGCAAAAAGAAAATTTATTTCGAGTTTAGAACATGGATTTCATTACTCACTTATGATAGAATTATTACTACAGAAACGAGTCTCTCTTTTGCCGAGCCTCATAGTTCCTCCCATCATTCCTTGATTGTGCTCTGGCATGTCTATTACTACAGGACTACTAGTATGCGGATCAATTTCTGTAGAATTTGCTGTTGGAAGATTCAATACGTTTCGCGCGAATTCAACGATCGCCGCTTGTAGACCCAGACAAATGCCAAGGAATGGCTTATCATTTGTTCTGCACCATCGACAGGCCTCCATCTTTCCTTCCAATCCTCTTTTACCAAAGCCACCTGGTACAATAACACCACTAACCACGACAATATATTTTAATTTTGTATTAGTATATATATTTATATATTTAATATTATTTACATTTTATTTATTATTTATATTATTTTATTATATTAAATATATAATATTATTAATATTATGTATTTAATATATATATATATATATATATATATATATATTAAAATTGAAAATGATGAATATAAGAAATACAAATATATATTGAAATACTTACTTGCTTTTGCAAAGTTGTTGCCAAGCTTCATGATATAAGACTGGATTTTCTATTAATGTAACTTGCTCCAGATTAGCAGCTTCAATAAACTGCAATAATAATACTATTGTATAATCATTCAGAAAATAATAGTAGAATTATAGTTATATAATATGTATAAAATTATATCTCAAATAATTGCGACACAATTATTGCGAGATAGTACCGTCAAATTCAATTTATAACCGGCCTCAATGGAAGCATGTTGCAACGCTTTTGTAACAGAAGCATACGAATCTTCGAGTTTCGTATATTTGCCTACTAGAGCAATGTTGACATCTTTCCGCAGATGATCTACGCGATCAGCCAAATCCCGCCATTTTCGCATAAAGGAACGAGGACGTGGCACTCCGATATTTAATTGCAATCGATCATTAAGAAACTCTATAACGCCCTGATGCTCCATAAGAAGTGGTACTCGATATATGGATGTTAAGTCATGAATAGTGATGACCTAAGTAAAACATTTGATGTTATTTAATATTGAGTTCTATTAATTATTTAATTTTCAACTAATTTAATTAATTAATTTCCTTATAACAATAATATTAAGAATAATCTTGATAATTACTTGTTCCGGAGCCACATGACAGAAATTTGAAATTTTTTCCTTGGCGGAATCACCAATAGGCATTTCTGATCTACAAACTATTAAGTCGGGTGATAAACCTAAGCCACGTAACTCTCTTACACTGGATTGCGTTGGCTTCGTCTTGGGTTCGCCTGTTGATCTTGGCTAAAAAAAATATTTCAATAATAATTCATTGTTTTCATAAAAACAAAGTTCATAAGTTTCACAAAAATTGATTATGCATTTATTATTAAACAAAATATAGAAGACATATAAACAATGATATAATTGTATGTAAAGATTGTAAGCATGTAATGCAGTTACCTGTGGTACTAAAGACACATGAGCAACACAGAAGTTTTCTTTCTTTACTCGAAATTGAAATTGTCTAAATGCTTCTACAAAGGGCATCCCCTCTATGTCACCTATTGTGCCACCCAATTCCACTATGCAAACCTGTATAAGATTATTAATAAGTTATATAATTGTATCACAAAGTTTTATATATATAAATATTACATAAATTAATTTTATATCATCTTATTAAATTTTTTTATCTAACATTATTATATAATAATTCATATTAGCAATACCTCTGGTTGAGCTCCATCTTCTGTTACAGATTGATTTGCAACTCTCTCCACCCACTCCTGAATAGCATCAGTAATGTGAGGTACCACTAGAAAAAAAAAACAATATCGATTTTTATTAATTTATGCAACATATTGTGTTTCTCTTCTTTCTCTTTCTTTTATATACATTTATGTGCAATACTAAATATAGATATACCTTGTACTGTTTTTCCTAAATAATCGCCACGTCTCTCTTTGGTAATAACATGTTGATAAATCTTTCCCGTTGTTATATTATTATCCTTATGAAGAGTGATGTCCAGAAAACGCTCATAATTGCCCAAATCAAGATCAACTTCACCGCCATCATCCAGCACATAAACTTCTCCTAGAAGGATAAGATATAAGAAAATCTTTCAGTATAATAAGCAAAATTAAAAGAACAAGACTGGTAACATAAGTAAGATGTTTCTTTTCGAGGAATGCTTTTATCGCTTACTTTGCTGAACAATGGAGCATGATGATAGCATCAAGTTTCATTGGATATTAGAAACCATCTTTGAAGAGTAAATGAAATTATGCAAACATATACTTGTGAATGTACAATGCATACTATACATTCTAATGATTAAAATAATTTGTTGATCAATATTTTAAATATATTATTAAACTTTTCTATCATAGTTGAAATTATATGAGAAATAATTTAGTATTAATTTGATCCTATATGTAATTAATTTAAAATAATATATAATTTCACAGAAAAATATTAAGGATTTGTTATATTATTTTTAATTTAAATAATAATATATAATTATATTTAAATAATAATATATAATATATAATTATAAATATATATATATAATTTTGAAAAAATAAGCTTACACATAAATTTCTGCATCAAACTTTAATGTTAATTTTTTAAATTGTGCTTTTCTCTCTAGTTCTATTCATTTTTGAATACAGGAAATACATGTATGGCACTGGAAGTTGCTTAAAATCATGCAGACACAAATTTGTATTTTTTTTTTAAATAAATTAACGAATAAATTATAATTGGAATAATCTTCTATTATTGGGGCATTTTAGACATGAATATGCGCAATAGATTTTTTGTATACAAATATTTTATGTGGTTATAAAAAACTCTCTTATTCAATAGACCAATTAATTGTAACGTGGTAGCAGCATGCAAAATGGCGCAAGCACATGGCCGAAAATTTTACCGCCATAAAGACCCCGTCTGCCGTGACATTTAGAGATTTTTATTTAATTGTTTCACACAACTTTGATTCAAAGATGACAAATTTTTTAAATCCGCTTTCTTTTCCATCTATTTTTACAAAAATAGAGAGACAGAGACAGATGCCGGCACAAGGCGATTCAATTTAAATCTCGCGAGATATGTATATGTTTTAACGAATTATTCAATAAAATAATATATTCAATAAATATATTCAATAAAAAAATTATAAAAAAAAGGAGAATTAGAAGCTAAAATCGTGGAATAAACGATCTTTGAGCAGATGTTACGATTAGATCCATTTTCTCGTATCGAAGGTACAGGAAATTGAACTCAATGTCAGAGTGATGTCAATTCATTACATCAATTTCGATGTTTTTTTCGGATATGTCACAAATTAATGTCACTCGCTCACCATGTTCATACGGCGAGAAGGTCCCGGCATCAATGTTGATGTAGGGATCGATCTTGATGGACGTTACACGAATGTTACAGTGCTTGAGGATGGTGCCAAACGAGCTGGCGATGACACCCTTGCCCACGCCGCTGATCACCCCGCCGGTCACCAGGATGTACTTCATGACTCGATCAGCTGATTCTCCGACGATATTCGGGGGGCGGTTGACAGCTGTCGTGACAATTCGCGAACTTGGACGAGCTTTGCGAGTCAAACCGAACCCGGATTGCGCCTTCGCCTATGTAAAGCACAGCACCGTATGTAAGTATGTACGCTCTGCTGGATTTTTATAGGTAGACCGGGTCCCAGGGCAGCTTCGAGCGTAACGGGTCCCTGAGTATCTCAAATTTATATTTTCTTTTCCTTCTGTACAATTTATAGATATTATTTATTGGTAAATAAATAAAGAATTGTGTCAACTGTCAACAGATTCATCTCTCTATTTTTTTATCTTCTCTTTGTATATTTATCTTTATATATATATATATATATATCATATATAAATTTTATTAAATTTTATATATGTCAAATTTCATATATAAATTGTATATATATCAAAATTTTATACCTGTCTCAAATTTTATATATATATCATATCTTTTTTTTTATTTTCCTGCTATATTTTTATACTTTATTGTCCAAACCACATTGTCTATGGCTAAAAACTGACTTCGGGAAAAAACGAGCGTGGCGCTTTCTATAGGACATAATTAGAAACTTTAAAAAGTCGTCTTGCTCGGTAGGTAACGTCAATTTCGTCTAATTCCGCGTAACCATATGATTATCTACTCATCTGTCACTTTCGTGGCTGACGCAACGCAACGCGTAGCGTGTGCTAATATATATATTGTAGCTGTGTATACAATTGTATACAATACAGCACAACACAGTGAGAGAGAATTCTCGAGTGACTCGCTCGTGACACCCTCGAAATGTCAAATTCGGCGAAGATTCACGGCAAGTATCAGTCGCCCTCGATATAAAGGATACGCCCATAGATAGATTTCACAGCTGCATTCGCCCACTCGTGTCTCGCGAATGTAAATATTTGCTAAGTGAAAGTACACAGCGTTCCGTTATCAAGTACCAGAATCCCTTGAAGAAAAGCAGGAGGAAGAGAGAGAGAGAAAAAAAATCTCGTATTAGAATTTGGCCACCTCCTGCCTTCCTATAATAACGTAAGGATCCGCGATTTGTTTCGTAAAACTGTACTTTGCCGTGCTTCCTGCATATTTATGAGACGGGAAATAGGGCTTAATTCTCTCTCTACGTGGATGTTTAACTATCGTAACTGTCAATTGCGAAGTAAGCGTAAATAGGTACATATGTACGCTATAAATGTATGACGTTAAAACAATGTAAGATATATATATGTGTGTACGTTTATTCGACGAATCGATGTTAATTTTCGAGTGTGCGAATCCGATAAAAATATGTTGAGATAATTCGCTGATAACGGAATTATTTCGACATGCTACTTGCGCTGTTTCCGGAAATCTTATACATTTTTCATACAATATTATATGTATATTTGTGGTAATATATTTTATGTGTGTATCTGTATATGTGTTTGAAATATTATACAGAATTTATATATTATATATTGTAACGCTAGCTACGATTTTTTTTATTACATTAATATTTGATAATGACATAAATATATTGAAAATTTAAAACAGATACAATTATACGATATATATTATTCTATGCAATTGATATGTTCATTTATATCTTTTCAATAATTTTATTCAATATAGAGGAGTAGGAAGATGCGATGGCTGCCTCAGGTGCATCACGTAATGAAGAGGAGGAGTTGAACGGGGAAACTGAATCAGAGGCCAGTAGTATATACCAATGTGGTTCGGTGATCTCCACCGTACCTGATCGTCATGGATTCCTAGGTGGTTCGCAATACAGTCCTGAAAGGTACATACAGTTAATTTTGTAATATAAAGATAATATAGGATAAATCTTAACAAGAAAGTTATCTTAACAAAATGCTGATTATAGGAAGCAATCTATACCACCTGATGTGATACTGCGAAGAGAAAGAAAATGGATACAGATGCTGAATAATTGGAGCCTTTTCATGACAACGAATTATCGCAAAGTCCGCGAGAGATGTCGCAAAGGTATACCGCCTTCCGTGAGACTGCGCGCCTGGTTGAATCTTTGTGGTGGTCAGCTTCTAATGAACGAGAATCCAAACTTGTACGAAGAACTGATCAAACGTCCCGGCGATCCCAAATACATAGAGGATATAAAAAAAGATCTTCATCGTCAATTCCCGCATCATGAGATGTTCGTCGACAACGCACCTGGGCAACAAGAACTGTTCCAGGTCCTCAAGGCGTACTCCATTCTGAATAGTAAAGTCGGTTACTGCCAAGCTCAAGCGCCTATCGCCGCGTTCCTACTGATGCATATGCCAGCAGTGCAAGCATTTTGGTGTCTCGTCGCGATATGCGACAAATATCTCGTCGGCTATTACAGTCAGGGCATGGAAACGTTACTGCGTGATGGAGATATTCTGTTTGCTCTTCTGAAGAGAGTCTCTCCTGTCGCATATAAGCATTTAGTTAGTATGAGTTATTGCAAAATTTTTTAATACAATTGCAAGTGTGCAAATATCTATTTAAAAAGTATCTATTTTAAAAATACATTTTATATATAATTATATTTATTTATTAAAATAAATTTTAATTATGATATTTTAAAGAACAGTGTATAAGATGTTAGTAAGATGTCTGAAATAATTGATTCAATTTTATTGTTATAGACTGATTATATAATCATAGATATGTACATACATAGATAATTAATTAAATATTATTTCAGAAAAAACAAAAAATGGAGCCAATTCTGTACATGACGGAATGGTTCTTGTGCGTTTACACGCGAACGTTGCCGTGGGAAAGTATCTTGCGCATATGGGACATGTTTCTTTGCGAAGGCGTGAAAGTGATTTTCAAAGTAGGTCTGGTATTGTTGAAGGGTAGTTTGGGTCGTTCATCCCTTGTTAAGCGATGCCCGACGACATACGAAACCCTCCAAGTTCTAAGAAATCCGCCGCAACATATCATGGAGGAGGAAGCTTTGATCTATCAAGTAAATATTAATTTTTTTTGTAATGAATACACATTTATAATAAATATTTAAATATGCATGTCATTGTGGAAATCTTTACAGAAAATATTCGTATCATATTTATATTTGTAATAGAAAATAATTTATATATAAAAAATTTTATTATATTGCTAAAATTTAATGTTATAGATTCAGAGGTTGAATTTGAGCGAGGAGGATTTCGAGTACGAGCATCAGAGGCAAATGTTGAAAAGAAAGGCAGCGGAGAAGGAAACTGTCAATCGAACTGACTGACAATTAAGTATTTAGTTAGATGGAAATATGAGGGGCGAAATATGTATTTAACGTATATAACGCCCCAATATGTGCCTTCCCTTCCATTCTTCTGATACTGTACAGAATCGTATCTCTTCCTTTTCCAAAGTTGAGAGATATAGCAAGAAAACTGATAGGTACGTATATTTACAAAATAGCAATTTTCATATACTTCGTCCATGCATACATACATACATACAAACGTCCACATTCCCCGAGCAATCAGAATGCACTATTTATCTCTATTTCCTTTATCATTATTGTATTACAAATGAGAGCACAACATTTATAGACAACTCGCATAATACTATTTAATATTTTCATTATTGACATATGTTTAGTTTACTGATCTTCGGTGGTCTTTAATATTATAATAATATTTATGTACAAAAAATTATCTCATTTTTTAAATATAGTATATGATAATGTTATACGAAATAAATTATCTTCCGTTAATGTCAATCTTATATATTAATTTCATATATTAATCTTATTCGATTAAGTATAATATTTTAATTAATCTTAAAACTTTTCTCTAAGACATGTTTATATAACTATATGTATTTTTTCTAACAAAATACGCGTTACAGTTTTTGTCTCTCACTAATATAATATTAAGACATTTCATATATTAATATATACATAAATTATCGATTTAAATATTATATTCGCGCAAACTTTAACATATATGTTTGCTGATAATTTCCAGATCTTTCATGTAAAAATGCGATAATTTTTATTTTACACGATATCACACGCATTCTTAGCTAGCTGTGGTGAAATTCCCCCAACGGTTGCGTCTGTCTATGGCATTCATCACGAAAGTCGTTAGACGTGGAAAATCGTCGTTGTCGGCTACTCGCGCGTTAAAAGCCAAGTGCGGCAGTTTCGGTAGAAATAGCACACCCATCATGAACAGAAGAGCCATGCTGATAAACGTGCCGATCGCTACAAAGAGCGGATTCATAAGCTGCTTCTGAGTGTTCTCCGCAGTTTCCGTGGCTGCGTACATTGGAACGATCTGAAAAGAAAATGCGAGCGTATTCATTCCCAAGTAGCAAGCATATGTATCAGTTTGCTACTTGGGCTCTGATTTTTATACGAAAATTTTGGTATAATAGATTCAAAATATAGCATAATGAAGAACATATTTTTTAACAAATGTTGGAGATATATATGCATATATAATTTAATGATATAATATGCAAAGAGCACGCAAACATTTGCGTCTATATTTTTTTTTATATAGTAATATATAATTATCTTATAATTCTTTGTTACTATAAATTTTATTATCGCGCGTCGACATTCCAATGATTCCTAGAAATTTCTCGCGACGGCGATTCTCGGAATGTTTTGCATATCACCGATAAATATGCTATATGCTCGCATAAACTGCGTCTGCCTGTGTACCAGGTGGTCGCAAAAAATCGCGGCTGATATACCTAACGGCGCAACAGGTTCGGGGCAACTCTCCCTTACCGCAGCCTGCTGATGATGATGATCTCCTTGCAGTTCGGACGCGAAGCTCTTGAGCGGAAAGAAGTAATAGTTGTACAACGGGTATTTAACCGGTAGCTGCAGGTGACCGACCTGCGGCGTCGCGTTGCCGTTGCCGCCTGCGGCATTCAGTGCCTGCGTTAAAGCCGCGACGCTGATCGCTGACCCTTTTTCCAAGGCCTGTTTGTACATCGCGGCTAGCTTCGCTCGTGTCAGCACCAGCGGCTCTTGTGGTTTTACCTTCGGGTAACTGGTCGCGGGGACGGAATCGCGCACCTGAAAAATTTGACATTTATTATCTTGATAATTAAAAAAGGAATAGGAATATTTTGTAGAATTTCATATATATATATATGTATATATATTAACATTTTGGAGAATTACACACCTAAATAGAAGAGCCCAGATAGCAAAAGTAGTCATTTTGACTCCAAAATGATGTCATAATAATTACTGCGGCTATCTGGGAGAAAAAATAGCTAGGAAAGAGCAAATAATTATGTAAAATTAAGAATATATTCAAGTACCGCATAATATTGTACTATATTGTTCGCAGCAGACTGAGCTTGATCGGGAAGTGCGTTATTATTTGCGGACGGTTTTTCTTGCTGCCGGATGTCCTGATGAGCGTTGCTGGTGCTGAGCTTGCGATGTGCCTTGTCCTGGTTATAATTACCTTTATAACCGGCATACTGATAATGATTCGCCGCCAATCGATCATGCATCGTGATGCTGTTAGACGGCACATTTAATTCCTGAAGCTCTATCATTGCCTTTTGAAGATATTCCCCACTTGTTTCGGCGCCGCACAATCGAATGTTGACAATGATCAACGATATTAACGCGGCCAGCCGTGGGGACGGCTTTGATCTCCGCGATAAATTCATACTGAATCGCTTTTATAAGCTTTTAGCATCTGTCGAGCCTAAAGATTTATGATTTAACGGTTCCTTAATTAATGTCACTCTTCCATCGTTCGTGTAATCATTTCTCGGTGAAGCATTCGAAGCGTATCTATTTATTTAAACGTAACTATTTAATTATCAAGAATATTTCAGTTAATTAAATTTTTTATATAGCACGTAATATATAGTAGTTATACTTTATTGCAACATTATTAAATCAAATATTCGAAAGTTTCATTGAATCAATTAAAATTGATTAAGGTTTAATTAACGTTTGTTCTCTATCATAGTCTTACGTGCAGAAAAATTCTTTTACATACCTATATAATAGAAAATCTTTTAATGCAGCAGAAACACATTTTCATGTTCGAATATCACTGTTTGTTTCACAACTCATTAAATCTATGTCATAGAAATGTTAAAAAAAATTTTTTTTCTTTATTTTTGTAGCACATATCTTTGATTATACGCGATTTTCTATAAAACAGAATCAGATACAAAAAATTACACAGCTGCTCGAGTATTATAATATAATATTGAATAATAAATAATGAAAATAGATTATCTTCTGATAAACATTATTTGTAATAGAGATACGATTTCTGCAAAGACACATACCAGGTATTAAATTCTTCCTGGTAAAAAGAACAACACACACAAACGACGTATCGTTGGAATGAATTTACAATTCATTTACACTAAGATAAGAGTTCACGGCACGTGGTCTGGCATAGCGTGTGTACAGCCGCCTGCGATAATCAAAGGGTTAAATAAATCAACCTATGTCGCAAATACAGTTTGAATAAATTGCACATCCGGTCTTCTTTCGCGGTAGACACATGATATCGTATCGGATCGAAGAAACGGATGCGAAAAACTCGTATGCTCGACCGAGGTGGATTGTCGAGCCCGTTCGCGAAGGTATACTACACCGTGAATGAACTGAATTAACTTCCTTCACCCGTACGTCAAGTTCCCCCCCATATATATGCATTCGGCGAATCCTCGTGAAAAAGCGGATCATGAAGATATATGGACACTCGACGAATACTAATCATAATAATTTGATTTTTACAGATCTATTAGATATCCTCCATGAATCTGTTAATTAAAAGAAACTTTTTAGGATAATTTTATTTTTGAAACTTACATGAATTTTATAAGTTTGAAAAAAGTTATAATCTTTTTATACTTCAAGAACTTTTAAATTTTAATATTTATGAAACAGTTATTTTACTGTTACATTTTAATTGGAAATATATATACAGTAAATTTTTGCGTTTTTTCTCGTAAGAAATATTGGATTATTATAGGATAACTATAGAATATAATTATACAATAATTATAGAATAAACAATTTTCTTTTAGTTTCTTTTAATTTATTGTTTTAATGGCATTGAAGCTTGGGAAATTCCTACAAAAAGTTGCAATATAACAAAGCTACTTCTTTTAAAATGACCCACTTGTATATATATTTATAGTATTGTATTCCGGCTTTGTCAGACCAGTATTTTATTCTGTTGGGTGTATGCAGGAGTAAAAATAACGGATGTACCCGAAACCCTCGGGACCTAAATCGTATGATCCGTGACGGTTCGCATGTGATGGTCATCGCTTTATGCAGAATATGTAAGTGAATTGCATAAGTAAATTTTTGATTAAATCTAAATCGCTTATTTTAATGTTTGATCGTTGATTCAGGACAGTTATATCCTTCATACGTGCCCCTAATTTCCTCAATTATGAATAGAGTCCTGTTTATAATAGTCTCTCATAAAAAATCATTCTCTTTGATGATGATTGCACAGTAAATTAATTTTGTGAAGTTTGACAGAAAAGCTTAATTTACAAAATAGGAAATGAAGATTTTTATTTTTAGAGACAATTTAATTTTTTTCTATCATCAAAATATATATTACTGTTACTGCTCCAAAATTAATAATGAGAATATTTAATGTCATATAATAAGAGATATATAAATTATTTTAATATTAAGAAATAAACTAAATTTTAATATCAGGTATACAAGTTAAAAAATTCGATATAATTTGTTAAAGTAAACTCATTAAAATACAACTGATCAATCTTGAGATACCGAAATAATTTACATTTCCAATTTGCAGTAGAAGTAATTACTCGCAAATTCTAAATATTTGATTAATTCCGAAGTAGTATGAAGACACAGCAAATGTGGCTAATTAAGATCAAAGAGGAGATGGAAGAGTTTATAATTTACGAGGCATCTCGCCAATCTTGTTCCAACGCAAGCAGATGGGATAAGTTTGCTTTCGGAATTGCGAATGTATGTCGCTAACCCGATTTGCCTCACGAATCTTCATCGACCGTGTCAAACTGAAACATTTTTACTTCACACTTTGTTATTATGAAAGAAACACGACACAAGAGTGAATAGATAAAAGAAGAATCTGATCTTTGCTGATTTTTTAATCATCCATGACACAAAGAAATACGAGTTTTAATTATTTTATGCACACTTGTGATATTTGAAATTTGACTTAAACAACTTGTATTGTTTTTGGTGACCGATATAGTTTAATTTATCATAAAAAAAAATTCGCATTGGAGAACCAAGACAATAACGAAACTTGCAGGAATCGCGGTTCGTTGATCGATACGAGCCGTTAAGTGACAGACACTGTTGATTATCCGTGATTATTATTGTTGTAAAGGATCTTCCGTCTCCATGGACTAGAAATCATGATACACTTGACGAACACGATATAGATCCGTTTCCTAGTGAGTCTTTCGTTATAATTAATTATGTCACTGTAAAAAGTAGAAAAATTGAAACAAAGATTAAAGAAAATTTTTATTTCTGTGAAAAATAAATTTTTAAAATTGATTTTAATCTAATTATTTGTATTTTTCTGTAGTGCAAGGTCAATCTTGATTTGTCTATAAGCACAGATATTTAAAAAATATTGTGCACACACAATCATTGATTAAAGTTTTAGATAAATTAATTTGATAATAATATTACATGTGTGACATAAATAACTCAGTTCCCTATTATCTGATTTTATTATTAAAAATATATGCATTGAAGTATCTGAGTTTCTTATGTAATCTTTCGAAATTCTTAGAAATATCGTGCGAATAACTGCGATCCCCCTAAATAAAGAGTACTTGTACATGCAGCATTTTACTGCAGTCAGTGAACCGTTGCTTAATTATTGCTAACGATACATATGACCGTTATAGGGTCATTTGTCTCTACTCGAATAGAATATTATATTTTATACGATACATTTTCCACTAAAAAATTATAATTATAATTATTTATTCTATAAAAAAGTTACTATTAAAAAAATTTAACAAGAAGCATTAAAAACAAAGGAACACAATTTTCAACTTTTTACTAGTTTATGACACATGTACTTATATTTTTCTTAAATATGTGTAAATTGTTATTTATAAAAAATAATATTATGCGATTGCAACTTTTACCATATTTCATATTTATAACTTAAATTTTTTTTATTAATTTTATAAATTATTTTCAGATAATTAAAATTAAATAAGATTCTCTTTTTTATACGGAATTTAAAATGATATCTCTTGCCACGTGTTTTTCTGAATATTATTACGTATAAAAAAAAGAAATGTAATTGATAAGAAACGAGAGATAGTGTACGATTCATTATTGTGTCATGTATTTCCTTTCACATCGAGTGCACTGTTACCGATATCGCTTTACAATTTTTTCATACAAAAGGATGATTCGATGATGAACACCGTCGAAGATTCGGCACGCACTCTCGCGAGTTTTACTCTTCGAGAGTGCGAGTCTCGACAGTGAAAAATCTTGCGATTGTGCGTATATTCGGGCGTCTGATTCTTTCGATCTTATTAATCTCGAACGCGTTTATTAATTACTCGATCGCTCGCTTGATCAGTACACTTAATATCTCACAGATATATATAGATCTTTCAACATGATCCACCTTTCTCTTCCCCCTTTGTGTGTGTGAATATCATACAAAATCTAAGACTATATATGCAAATGTCTCTTATAATTATATCTTGTTATTATGTACGAACTGTAATTGTTAATGTATAATACGCGGCGGTGTTTCCTCTGTGCTATCTTAATTATTAAGTTAATTTACAAAATTCGAGCCTATCAATATATAGTCGACGAAGACGGCGGCGATACTTTGTATATTTCTTTGCGAGGGCCTAAATTTCCAATAAATTTCTTGAATTTTACTTCTATATTTATACAAAAGAAAGATAGAGAAAAAGATGTAATTATAATCTTCTCACATAACATCGGTGCAACTTAAATCTATAATTAGGATATGAATTGTATTGCAACTCGGACGTGCACCGTTGCTCTCGGGACGAATTTAACGTCGATGTAACATCGTTCTTGGAACATTGAATGATTTAATTTTTTTTTGCATTTAACCGCCGTCTCCTTTGATCATTACGGATCTCTTAAACACATAACACGTCACGCACACGTCCTCACATCAGGGTACTCTCCTCTGTCATTCGCGCAACACGCTCCAGCCGATTACGTCATGATGCGCGTGCACTTCTAATATACACCTTGAGTTATCACTTAAAAGAAAATATCTCGAGACAAATAGTGAAATATTAATTATTTAATTTAATTTTCTTCAAGAAACACTCTTCATAATTTTCTTAAAAAAATCAATTCAAGCTATTTTTAAAAAATAACGGATTGTTTTTCTAACAATAAGATGAGAATGAATAGGTAATCAAGATAGAATTAATGTGTAATTATTTTTTAAATAATTTATAAAATATTTTACGATTTGCGATTCGAGATAATTCTTGTGTTAGTCAAAAATGTGATAATAATAAAAAGGCGGAAAGAAGCATCATTTTACGTTATTCATATAATTTATCATATTTTTCATATATGTAATCTGCAAAGAAATAAAATTATTACGCACAGAGAGACGCATAGATTCTATTATATAAATAATTAAACGTTTTTTTCAATGCGTCATTTATTCACAAGAGAAATTTTGAAATTAATAAATCTTTTATTTTAAAGATGTACAATAAATATATCGCTTATGTGACAAGAGATTGGAATTATTAGCGACATAAAGTGTTTCGTTTATCTTCCCAGACTGTCATATAAATTGACGATTTGCCGGAAGCGAGAGCAAAGAATAAGCAAAATGACTTATCAAAAAATTCTGTAGATTCTCTCTTATAATGAACTTCTTCCCATTTAAATATAACAATGTCTAAATGAATTATAATATAAATAAAAATTTATATATTTTTATTTTATTCTTTGGAAAAGTAATCTTAAAATTATTGCGATTTTAATTAAAATATTGCAAAAATGATGATACAAAAATAAATTGTCAACTAAAAATTATTTCAATAATGTTACGTTAATGTCATTTTAATCGAATAAAAATTATTCCATTAAAATTACCCTTAATAAGAGAAGAAATATACAAATTGCAATTTAATTTTTGCAGAGATAAATCAACTGCCAAAATAAACATAATGGATCTTGTTCCATATTTGCTCGAAACAGGGAGATTATAAGAGACATTTTTCGTCATATAAGAGATAAAAATCTTTCGTTACATAGGTGATATTTTTAATCTGTAATATTTTAAGAGTGTATCTTTGTAATTAATTTTACTAAGAAAAAAATTAGGCCATGTGTGTGCATATATAAATTAGCATATACATTTTAAATAATAATTTTTAATTATAACAAATTATGAAATAAAGCATATTATGCGAATATCGTTAAAATGATGCAAAAATCATTAATTCTTCCCCCTTTTTCTCTCGCATTCATAGGCCTCGGATTGTTAACACAATCTTTCACGCATGCGATATCAGTGGAAACTTTACAGTATCAAGTTTATTAATTATCAGTTGCACATAGCTGAGCATATTATCCTCATATCGAACCTCATCGCATACAATTAGGAATAAAATTCGACCCTCCCTGGCCACAAGCGAGATCCGGTGAACCACGAAAGTGAACAAACCGTCGCCTTTACTTTAGATGATCAGTTTCGTTCTGTCTTTGTCTTCCGAATGTAAAAATCGTAAATGTAAAAATAGAGTTACATTTGTGCGGCAATAGTCGACGCGTGAGATTTATCGGATCTCTGCGTAGTGACCAGGAAAGATCGACGACGTCGTTCATTCGATTTATCAAAAGGAATTGTTGCCATGTTTTAATTAATGGCGACGCGATTAATATGTATTTCAATGTGTAGTCAAATCTTACTTCTTACAAATATTTTCCATTCATTTTTTTGCAAATTTACGTTAGTCGACGGGACATTAGTTCCGTTATACTATATAGGCAATAAAAGAATATTATTCTCATTATGCTACACTCGACAAACATCATTTACGAGTCTCGTATCGTGTATAGTAGTTCTACCTTGGAATTGCGTCGCAAATTCGAGAAGAAATATTAAGTATTTCCAATATGAAACAAAAGTGATGTTATGAAATTATTCTTTTTTATATCAAGAATTTTATTCTCGATATGAAATAACTCGCACGCAATTTACATATAAAAATTACAATTTGTTAAATTGCATGTGATTTTATAAAAACAAAATATAGAATATAATTAATTAACAAGAGCTTCTACATAAATCGAATTTATCTTGGAGTTCAGAAATTGTACAAAAATTTATTTTATTATGACATATTTTAGAATATTTATTACGGAGATTTATACAATTATTTTTAATTTCGTTAGAGAGTAAAATAATTAAAAATGAAAAGAATAAAAAAATTAAAAAAAGAGCTATAGACCAGCTTTGTAACTTTACAGATCGATCTACCGATCACTCTTGATTCGTCTATTTTTTGTTGTGCGATCTGACGTTAAAAATGAATATGAATCTCCTTTGCACTTAGCGTCGTCCACATTTACAATATGTCCCATATCATTCATTAATACAAATTTACTCTACGCTTAACTAATACTTTTTTGCCGATCTATTTAAATAGTAGTACGTCGGCTGGATCTCATGTCTCATCAAAAGATCTCTGGCGGAATGGTCTCTCTCGCTTATTTCTAGATTGAGATTAAAATGACTACACACGAGAATTAATAATGGTCAATATATTATAGAAGAGATACGCTTCAGAATTGAACCGAACGAAATTCTCGTGATAAAACATACATATTTTATACGGATTACAAAAACCATGTATTGCCAGCACAGAGTTCTGTTTCTTAAGAATCGTCTTCTCTTTAATCAATCGCGTCTTGTCAATTAGGCATTCTGAACTATGGTCGATCGCAGGTCGAGGTCCTTCCGTCCGCGTGACGTGTATTGCAACACTATTTATTTATAAAAACAAAATGTAGTGTAATAAAATAAAATAAAATACTACATGGAAGGTACGTCTCTGTAATATGCTGCAGATAATAGGAAGCTATGATTAACGAGTCATGTAAATAAATGTGTAGTAAAAACGAAAAAAAACATCAAAAATCATATTTTATATAATTTATAAAATATAATATATATTATAATTCTCATTAATATAAATAAAATTATTCAACTTTCATATAGTCGTATGAAAGTATTTTGTTAGTAAAAAAGAGATTATGTCAAATTCTATGAAAACATATGCGCGTAATAAAAGAGAATACTTATTATATAATTATTTAATTAGAATACTATTTATAACTATATAAGTATTTGTCTCTCACTTTTATTCACATGGCTCTTGATTTTTGCAAGCGTAATTTGTCGCTGCTGTTCGTGAGCTTAACTGAACAAGTACAGAACAGTTATGTATCGGTTATTAACTAAAAATGAAATGAAACGCGTGACCCTGCAGAGAATGCACGTTTATAACAACAAGGTATATCGAGGAGAGGAGGCATGAAACAAGAAGTATTGTCACACCATTCATCGATACAAATAGCAACAGCGATAGGCGATAGTAACAATGTATATATATATATTTATAAATACAGGCAGCGAATATCCTAACTCTTTAGAGGCTCTCTATCAACTACAACATAACTGAAGCGAGTTCTTTATACGGTAACGACTAAAAAAAATTGTCGCGTAAAATAAGGCGGAACACTCAGCGCATTTAACGTAAAATGAATCCTCCAAAGTGAGTCACGAAATAATGTCAAAGTCAAAATTGTAAATTCTTTTGTAAAAAAGGATATAATTATTTTTTTGTATTAAAATAATTTTAAAAAAATTTCATACACGTATATAAAATTTTGTTTGCACTTTATAGTTTTAATTTTAATTGATTGCCAATTTCATTTTTTCTTCCTTTTGGAAAGTTTTGGGGAAAAAGACTATAATTCATGTAATTATTTAACTATAATTATTTGTTAATGTTTAAAAAAAATTTTTTTAACTTGAAATTAATTTTACTTAACTATTTTACTCTCCATATAATTATTGAAATGTAATCTCAATTTCAAGATGAATCTATAGAGACTTGTAACATTTCGTGTCACTTATCGGAGATATCGTCCGATTAAAATGGAATGAAATTGGCATCTGTGAAGAAGGAAAGAGAAAAAGGAAATAATCGGACGACGCGATGCGAATCGTAATTAACATGATTGTCTCCTGCTTCTTGCAAAAGGCTATGGCTTGACAACGCACGTGCTGGAGTTTAAACTTGACTAGAACTGAATGAACGTGCGAAGGAATTAAACGTATAATTCTATCCTTCACTGCTTTTAATCTAAAATTTTATCTTTTTTTTCCTCGACATTTTTATATCGACATCGCCAATTTTTCCGCCGTCGTCTCTTCTCGCAGGGCCGGGCGGTTCGCGAACATTTTGCAAATTATCAAATATATGTATATATCAAATATTATTTTTTTGTGCTAAAACAAGTCTTCAAATACTATATAATGTATACTGAATCACTTTTCTCGTTTTCAAAATATGTGTTAGAAATATTTTATAATTTGTATTTTGCGTTTAGGATAAAATTTTACGATATACTTTGCTCAGCCCTTTTAGTATTCAACTTCGTGTCGAGAATATAGCCCTTGTGTCTCGTCACGCGTGAAAAAAAGTATATCACATATATATCTATATATGTAATAAATATAATTTTCCCCCAAGTATATATGAAAAGTAAAAAGTAAAAAAAAGAATATCTTTGTCATCCACTCCCGCCCCTTATAGTCACAATATTATGATTCACAGCGAAGTTTCAATGTTGTGCAAACGAGGTACGTGCCTTAAACGCGTCGTATTTCGAACTGAATAAGATTATCAGTCTTTCATTTTAGAAGAGAAATCAGCACACGCGTGATACGCGCAATACATACACAATAATAATGCATCATCGTCGAAGAACATATAAACTTACGCAACACGCGCGCAATCTTATTAATTAATATTGTTCATTATGACAGATCATGAAATAGCGATATCTCGTATCATTGCAGGAAACATCGAAACGATGAACAATTATTTTATTTAAGGCTCCTGACTCCTCACCGACTATGATGGACTTGTGACGTCACAGGCGAGGATCCAGGGGCCTTAACTTCGTTTCGTTTCCTTTGAAGGAGAAGATTCTGTAGCAGACGCAGGGAAAACGTGCGTTAATGGAAATCTCGGAGAAATTTTAGAGACCGGGGTATCGATTGTGTAACTTTTTCTAAAGCTAAAACGTGAAGAATGAAAAATTTCTTCCAATCACACATCGACTTTATTTTAAAATCAATGCGTGATTGGCGGAAATTTTTCATTTTTTACTTTAGAAAAAGTTTCACAATCGATACCCGGTTCTTAGATTAATCGCGACATCGGGGGCTTCTCGTCGTTTTGTTTCAATTCAAGCTTCTAGCTCTAGCGTTATACATCTATCAGAAGAATGTATATGCGTAGACATACCTATAAACTCGTTCATATTTGTGACCAATCCCTCGCTGTACAATCATACTGACAATTCCGACGAGAACGTCGGGTCACGAATTTATTTCAAAAACTTCGACGCACTGTAAATACGTTACGCTCTGATTGAATTATTAGACTATCGATAAAAATAAGCTTCTGTAACGGTTTCGTGATGTCGACACGCACTGCACTTTGCGATTCTCACAGACGTCATCCACGTACAATAAGACGAACGATGAAACGATTTCCAGTTAATCTCCGCTTGATGCTCCTCTTCCGATTTCTCTCTTCAGAAGTTAACTTATGATCAGCATATGCAAAATCTGCTGATGTTATTATGTACAAATATAGTCTTCAGATTCGCGTGCGAATCCGCGTTGTGCGTCGTACTTAGCCTGTTTTAATGGCGATGATAAAGATGATGAGGATAATGATGAGAATGACGTCAATGATGATTCTTCCATCGAGTGCTTGTTCATCTTTGGTTGGGGCAATGTACGTTTGTTTGAATGTTCATGAATTCTCAGACACTCGTCACAAGAACTCGTCCTCGCGCACATGACCGCCCAAAACAGAGTATTTAGAACAATCTAATTTTGCTTCCGCTTACGTTTCCAAACATTATGACACAGATTCGTCGTCAGCCAAATTGTGAAGATCCGAATAATTCACGATGGCGCGATGAAGAAACTCGTATTGCGCCTGTAACATGTACATATAAATGTTACAACGTTGAAAAATAAATTACGATATATAAGAGAGATATTTAATTACAATCATCCTCAGATCTGTAATCTAATAATCGCATTATCAGTGAATGAATAACAAAGATTATCTGCTCGATTCTATTTTATACATAATGTATATCAAGGTAATTAATAGCTTACAAAATTAATTTAATTAGGTTAAAAATTGCATAAACAAAAACTAATTTAATTACAAGTTAAATTAAAATTAAATTAACTTAAGTTAAATCAAAAGTATATTAATTTTGAAAAATATCTATATAAAATTAAATGTTCTAACTTTACAATTTTTTAATTTAATATTTTATTTAATTTATTAAAAAATGTATATAAAATAACAAAATTACAAAAGTATTGTTTTCTATATATAGGAATATTTTTTCTTTGTAATTACAATTATGAAAAAAATAAAAACCAATAGTACTTTCATTTATTTCATATAATACTTGTAAAAATGATATACATCATAATGATGCTCTTATTAAAATTTAATCGCCACTTAAAAATTGTTTAAAATTATTTGTCTAATGTTTAAGATTCTGTAGAAATGAGATAAAAAAATTGTATATATATAATGTTTAAGATTCTGTAGAAAAAAATGAGATGGAAAAAATTATATATATATATCGTAATTATTAAGAGAAAGAAATCATCATCGAGCTACTTACGAAAGTACTGATCATGCCGTGTCGCTGAGAGCGCAGTTTCTTCGTCGTCGTGAAGATATCCACGCGTTTCTCAGTGCGCAGCTGCTGAACCAGTATACTGAGCGCAACGAACATGGAACTCCGGTCAGATCCATAGCTGCAGTGCACTACCAAGGAACCACTGGTCTCGGTGTCATTCGTCAACGTTTGGTCCACCAGCTCGATGAGACCGCGTGTTACTTCAGGTACTTCGCCCTCCACCGTTGGCCAGCCATGGTACTGATACTGTTTCACGATCCCACTCTCGTCAGTCTTAGTGTTTACAATGTTAAACTCGCGACGCGTGTAGTACGGACAGCTCTCGCTGTGTATGTAATGGACTTTTATGTGATCATAGTTGGTCTCGTCGTCGGGCCAATAGCGCGGACATTTTCGTGGACCTTCGTTTAACTGGAAAAGATATTAGTCGTCTTATATGTATCCTATATCCACTTAGATGATATGATCTTACAATCTTTTATTTAGAATCTAATTCTTTTTTATATAGGAAAATATATACATTCATGATTATATCCTATATTATTAAAATCGGGGACTCTGATGCCTTTTTCACCCGATTGTGTAGAATTTTATATTTCTAATATCGTTATAATAATAATATTCAAGTTATTTTAATTTTAATAAAATTGTTATTACAAACAAAAATGAGAAAAGTACATCATGCATTAATTTCTTAAACATCTTTTGCATGATACTGCGTACCAAATATATCATATTAACGCAATATTCATACATTTATACAACTTTTATCTAAAGATTTGGCAAATCTGAGTGCAACTTCTTTCTGTTAAATACCACAAAAAATGAAGAGAAAAATAAAAAGCATATAATATAAACTTACATCAGATAACATGACTATTGTGGAAATGCACTGTTCCGAAATCATTCGCCAGAAATCTGCTACAGTGGTTTCTAGTGGATCCTGCGTAATGACAAACGATTCGGAATTATCGTAACCTTCGATGAATGATGCGTTAATGTACGTTGAATGTTCCCTGCCAGGGACTGGGGTGAGAATCACGCGATTTCTATCGTATGGTATCACCAGTTCGCTTCTGTTCTTCGATCTATTCTCCTCTCCACCTCCAACGGAGAAAGACTTACGGTCTTCCAATACGGAACTGATTTTCTGCAAATAATAATCGTGTATATTATACGAGAAAAAAACTGTTTTCAATTGTATTAAAAGAATATTTAAAACTAAAGCAGCATTGAATATTTTACATGTCAATGTCCATATATATTTTATATTTTATATTTTATATTTTATATTCTATATTCGAATATTCTACATATTTATATAGTCTATTATATGTTTGATTAAATATTGATTATATTCTTTTGGTGTATGAGGATATCAGAACCATATTTTTGTGGACAGATCGTTTTTTTAGTTTGTCCAATACACAAATATAATAGGCTCTTAAAGCAATTGAAAGCTCAAAACAAATATGAAACAAAATATTGATACAAATAATTGTAAAAATAATTTTGACATTTTAACTTGTGGATTTATCTCGAATGAGATGCTTTTATTTGGTAAAAATTAAAAACTGTTAACAATTGACAAAATATACTTCTTAAGTCAAATTTCTTCAATTAACATAACATAATATTCAAATAAATATTATATAAATTGTTAATATAATGAATTAAAAAATTTTTTTATATATTTATGTGCTTTTATTTAAAGCCTATAAATTGTGCACGTATCGTAACTTACATCGTATTCCTCCTCCATTTTACACTTCTCCTTGCCGTTATCTCGTTGCCTGAGTTTGGCGACGGTGGCCTTGAGCTGCGACGCTGGGATTTCCGTATCACCGTACTGCGCCATTTCCATGAGCGCGCGATAGATGAAGATGTACTGCTTGAGAGATTGCACGAGGAAGTTGCGCTGGTGCCGCAGATCGCAGACGGTGTTGAAGATGGACACCTGGGTCTCCTCGGCCAATTGCTGCAACAGAGAATCCAATGCCACGAGGGTACCGGTGCGGCCGACGCCGGCGCTGCAGTGCACCAGGATCGGTCCTTTCTCGAGCGAATACGCCTCGTTGACGCGCTTGATGAAGCGCAGGATCGCGTGCGGATGCTCCGGTGCGACGAAGTCCTTCCACACGAGGAAGTGATACTGCACGATTGCGCGGGCATCGCGCTCGCCTAATCGCGTCATCTTCAGCTCGCGCACCACGTAGTCCGAGTAGGCGCGCTCCTTGACGTGCTCCACCGTGATGTCGCCGAAGTTCTTGGTCTCGCGCTTGTCCGGCCAATACTTGGCGCATTTCGTCTTCGAGTACTCCTCGAGATTCGTCAGCATGAGTATCAATTCAAGATGTTGCTCCCAAATCATACGCCAGTAATCGCAGACGGTGTTCTCCATCGGACCCTGGGCGCAGATGAACTTTTTGCGCTCCTTGTAACCCAGCACGAAGTTGGCGTTGATGTAATCGGAACCGCAGATACCGTCCATCTGCGCCAGACGCACCCTCGTCTGATCGTAACATTTGATGTCTGGGTAACGATTCTTGTAAAGATTCTCCTGCGCCTCGGATGCACGCGTCGTTCTGTCCGTAAATCGGTCGGGTAGCAGTTCAAATTCGTGCTGGAAACCATAATCTGAGTCTCGATGACGTTCCAAGTACGCCTGCAACAACTCGTTCTTGGGTATCGGCGGCATATCCGGCGGACTCGCTGCTACAAGCTGATGCCTGCTTCTCAGACTTCTGCAGAAATGCCTATAGGAAAAAGGCATTCATTAAATGTATATTACTGCAGTTTCTTGGAAAGCATTTCACAATGTTAATAATTCCTAAAAGATGAATAATTTTATAACTTATTATATATCGTTTTTATAATGCGTATTATACTATGTCTTTCTAGATTTTATTTCTACAATATAATTTTCATCTCAAAAGAAGAAGACTTCAAGATATAATCAAACATAAAATATATATATATAAAAGTATAATCTATTATAATTATTAAAATAATCTATATGTTACATTCAAAATTATAATCAAAATTTACAAGCTGTAATTTTATCTTCTGAGGTAAAAGCTCCCGATTGAGAAAAGTTTGCTTTTTTATTAGCACTCACCTAAAACTATTACGCAGATTTATGACTTCCTCTCTCTCTTGCGGACGTTTTGTAAATCTATATAATATGCAAAGTGCGATGCACAGAATCATAACGGTCAAGAGGAGAGCGATAAAGAGCTGTATTATCATTTCGTTGATGGTAGTCGCCTCCGCAGCTGTTACGCTGAGAGGATCCATTCCACCATAGAGAGGATTGAAATAGTTGCTGTATGCCGGTAGAAGCTGATCCCTCTGATCATCATATACTGTAAAAATATTATTAAATTCGTAACGATTTTATGATAAGAATTCGAATCGACCGAATACGCACCGATAACTTCGATAAAACCGGTGTAATTCGACGTTTCGTCGAGAAAGCCATCATATGGCGATAATATGTTGTCCCCGTTCACAGATCCGTCCACAGATGCCTTTTGAACGGGCGAGTCTTCTCTTTTCCGTCTCTCCGCCTTCTCGGTTGCATTAACAATCACCGGTAATGCCGTAGTTACATCTATAGTGGTAGTGCCGATCGTAGTCGTCGCAGACGCGGTGGACGAGCTGACAATCACAGTTCCGCTACTGGTACTGCTCGCAGTTGTCGTCGGTGACGATGTAGTCGTCGTAGGAATGGTAGTAGTGCTGCCGTTCGCGTTGGTCGAGGCGATAGTCGATAGGATTTCCGGAACAAAGTGCAACGGCGGCGCCGGTTTGGATCGCAGACCGACGCATTTGTCGCACATCGCGTCACCGATGGACGACTTGCCATCGCCGAGGAAGATCTCGCTCGACAACCGATCGCTCTCGAATGTCTCGACGACGTAAGCACCACCGAGCGGCGAATTGTGCACATAATGGTAAGAGTACACCGTGATCTCTTCGGGCGGCGGTAGATCACGGATCGTTTTCTGCGGTGGCAGTTTCACCACGTAGATGCGATAGCAGCAGATAGGACCATTCCGTTCGGAGATGCGCGGTAGATAGAGTTTAAACAATTGTCGACCCTGACTTTCAACTTTCCGCCAGGAGCGCAAGTTCATGTTGTCGCGATCCGGAACTGTGACTGGTGTAGTGCAATTTCCTATAGCGTCCTTGCCGGGAGTGCGAGACCTGGTCACTCCGTGTACCCGAACCTTTAATTGTTTATTATTAAAAACTTGAATATTTTATTTTAAAAAATGTTTAATGAAAATTAAAATAATATTAGATTATGTACCGTATAATTTGTATTGGGAGGTATTGGATTGTATCGCGTGCTGTTCTTGTTGAAGACACTCCAACTGGGTGGTTCAAAACTATTAATGTCAAGACGTCCCATGTCGTTTTTGAATCTCGCCTCGCCAATCAAATGTATGTTGTAGCGCTGTATAATGCCGTTCGGCTGTTCCGGAGGTTTCCACGTAATGGACATGAAGCTGGAGCTGCTTATATTGTCGTAGCGGCAAATAACGGTGAGATTTTTTGGAGGACTGGCCACTATAGAAAAATAAGGAACGTAAATTTAAACGATTTTATCGCACTTAGCTTAAAGTATCTATTTTTCTTTGCTCGACATACCTCCATCCAGTGTAGTGCCGTTTACTTCGGCACTCCAATTGCCGCATTGCTTTGTGTACTCGCTGCAGGCGGCAATCTTGAATTTATACGTGGTCGCCGGACCGAGATCCATGAACATGTACACGGCAAGAGCGTCAGCAAGATATATCGCTTCTCTCTTCTGCTTGGCGTGAGTAGCCATCAGTTTATAATAATGCACGTGTTCTATCAAATTCGCCGGCGGTTGAGTCCAACCAATCGTAATCGAATTCTCTGTCACACCATTCACGGACACATTCGGCACAAACACCGGATCTGCAATACATTTTTGAAATGCCATATTAAATTGTAAAATTATATTCGAAAGCGAGCTACTTGCATATTATTTCTTGTCATATATTTAAGAATAAAAGATAATCATAATTATAATCAATATAATTTTTTAATCAATATAAATGATTCTAAAAGTATTTTAATTATTATTAGTTATGGATTAAAGAGAGATGATCAAATTAAAATTTACATTCGTTAGATTTGCTATCTTCGATATAAATACTGAAGTGAGAGAGAAGAAATTCGCATTGTTCCTTATTAAAGTACCTTTCTCGAGCGTGGTGATCCATCGCGGATCCAACTGCATGTACGATGCACCCACCACATTCATTGCACTGATGCCGATTCGGTACGCGGTGCCGCTCTCGAATCCCTTGAGCACGTAACTGGAATTACCTCCGCCGATTTGCTCGGCATAGTACTGCCGTTGATCCGTTCCGTTCTTCATATGCTGAATAAAGTATTTCTTGATCGGCTCGTTGCCGTCATTGACGGTCCAATTTAAATATATACTCCCGGCGCCGACAGCTTTCATGAAATCTATGCTGACTTTGGGCACGTCGATGACAAATAAGTGCACCGTGGCGCTCACCATCCCGTTGTAGTCGTTCGCCTGACACACGTACGTGCCATTGTCTTTGCGCGCCAGACTCTTGAACTCCAGGACCAAGACGGCATAGGTCTCGTTTATCTGCGCGACGGTGGTGATATTCTTCAAGTGCTCGCTGCTCTCTGAATCATTCCCTTTTAACCAAGTAAATTGAGACAATGGATAACCGTGTATGTGGCACGTCAAGTTGGCCGCTTCCATCACTTTCGCTCTCACGTTCCCGCCGGATGTTATTTTGCCGGGTTCTGGAAGACACGATATTTATATTTTAACAGAAGCTCCGTCGACGAAGACCGCGTTTTAAAACAATAAGAGTGTTTTATCGTACGAGTAAGATTCAAGAAATAAACATATGTATATCTATATATCTTAAACGAGTGAGATAAGATTTATTTAAATTAGCAGGTTCGTTATATATACCTATCACTCTGATATGAATGTTTTTCTCGAGCGATTCGCCGTCGTTGGTCTGCGCGGAGCATTTGTAATCGCCTGTGTCATTTCTGCTGGCCTTCTTTATATCCAATCGTCCAACTTGCTCGAGATCCTTGATGGTGGTGAGATTCCTGTCCCCGGTGCTCCACCAGACTTGACCCGGTACGTTCAGCTTGCATAATAGGGTCGGCGTGCTACCAGCTTCTATGCCTTCGGCATCCTGCGACGATTGGATATCCAACGTCGCTGTCCGTTTTTCGATTTTTATTTCCACTGCTGGTTCCAGTTTACTTACATCTGTAAAAAATATATATATAATATTTATAATAAAATCAGAGGTTTCTCAGTTTGTGCGATATAAAAATATATATTTATATATATTTAATATATCTCGGAGAAAATATATATATATATATATATATATATATATATATATAATAGAATAATTTTATTATATATAGAAACGACGTGAAGAAAAAAATTTGTGCACATAATCAGGTAAATCAATTATAATTTGAGCTTAATTGTCAATTTCAATGCATTTAAAGATAAATAGATTGAGCTTTAAATAGTGCACGATCGTGTTGTTGTGTCAGATAGATAAATTTCAGTGTTAGCTGGAATTAATAAACCGGAATTAGGTTCTTCGCCGAAGCGTGAGGCGAGTTCTCCGTTTATGAGTTATTCGACTCATTGGAGGGAACAATGATATAGTCACACTTTCCTCGCTTTAAAAAACGAGATAATCTATAACGATGATGAAATAAAAGATCCTTTCAATTGTTTTTTTTTTGTTAAGTTTATTTCTAATAATATTACAGAAAATTATCTTTCAAACGGTATATTTAAATATTCAATAATTATTTTTATATTGCTTTAAAGATTTTTTTTTTGTTTCTTTTTGAAATATTTTGTGTCCTATGAATTTTTGATTTAGTCTTTCTAATATAAAGACTATAATTTGAATTACAACAATTTAAGTACTTAATTTCTCATTTGGCTTTAGAACATTTGTGTGTTAAACTTTTTTAAATTATCTTTATCTTTTAGAATATAACTGACGAAATTAAATTCGTAGAATCTTCGAATCGCATATTTTTACTATTAAATATAGTCGTATCAATAATAGATAATATAATAGTCCTAAAGTAAAATTCCATTTGTTAATCTTATTGATATAAAAAATATAGAATTTCGCTACACAGTAAATTCTTTGTACTCCAATTTATTTCATATATTATTTATTATTCATATTATTTATTTATATTATCGTATAGTTCCCATACATGTGACATAATTGCAAAATTTAATAAAACTAAAATCTTGTTTTCTAAAATCTTATACATAATAATAATAATCACAATGAAATTATATAACATACATAAAATATCTTTATAATTACATACATAAATTATCTCATCAATTTATTTCTTTAGAGGCAATATTTGAAGCAGTTCGATGAACCGAGATGAATAAATGTCAACGCGACATTAGCTTCGTAGTATCTCATGTCGAAAACAATTGGCAAAAAAGCATCTTTATTCAATGCTTTCACACTTTATTTTTTAAGGAAAAGCGATTTGCGAAAAAACCATGGAACCGATCTGCGGAGGAGCAGTGAAAGCGGCCCCACGATGACGTTCTTGACAATCATCTGACAGATCGTCGACGCGAAGATATGCACATCGTTGACTGTAATTTCGGACAATCTGATTGTCAATTCTACACGAAAAGCAGGCCGCGAATGAATCGGAACGCTAAACAGCGATAAATACATTTGGTTCTGTCGCCGAGAAAATGTCAGCTGGAATTAATGAACCGGAACTTCGATGAAATTATATTGCATTAATAATAATTCAATATGCAATGGTGAGTTTTTGTTAATTTATAATCAATTTATTTTATTTTATTTTAATTAATTTTAAATCTGTTTTTCCCATGTTTTTAAATGATTAAAAAACGATTCTATAAATATGTACAATATGTAAAAATATACAGAAGCGGAATTACATTTTAAGTATCTTTAAATTTACAATGACAAAGTTTTTTTCGTCAACTGCAAATGTACCTTTTAAACGACGCGATATACAAACAAAAGAAGCATAAATAATTACATTATTTAAATCAAGGTTCTAAAACGATTTCAACTCGAGATATCATTAATATGTAATTTTTTTTATCTTAAAATTGAATGACAAATATTTTTTTCAAATTATATTTTCTTGGCTTTGAGATTACAGACAAAATTATTATTATTCCAAACAATTAAAAATGCTATAATTTACCGTATTAAAAATAGATTATCAAGTTAATATAGATACCAGCGCCAATCCGTTATCGAAATTCAATCCTAAATTCTTACCCTTTCACATACACACACACATATTTCCTACCCCTATTCTTTCCCCATCTTCTCTCGTACAAAAATAAATAATCTAAAAATGGATATAAAATGTCTACTATATTAAAAAACGAAAGATGTAACGAGTTGCGGAGTGAAATCTCTTCGTCACGGCACTCGATTCGCTCACGAGACGGAGAAGAAAATTCCTACGTAGAGACGAGGATATGGAATATAGCCAAAACTCGAATATCCAAATCACGACGCGAAAATATATAAGAAGCTATAAAAATTCCGAAAAAAAAAAAAAAAAATCCTACTCATCTCCAGGATCCATGGACGCGTCTAGCATTCCAGGACTCTCTCCTCCGCCCCTTTCTCACTCAAGACAAGACGTATACGTCGACTTACCGGATTCGTCGAGGCCGGCCGCGCCAAGCACGAGGAGGCAGAGGAGCAACGGCGCCAGGGAGCGCGCGCTGCCGCTGTTCCGGGATAACATGGCGGTCGCGATAGCCGGTGTCGCAAAGAGTCTTCGCCTCTTCCCGAGCCGGGGTCACCGGCCACCCCCTTCCCTCGCCGACCCTGCCCTTCCTACGCCCTCGTCGTCGTCCTCGTCGTCCCTGTACGGCCGATCCTCTCCCTTCACGGGGGCGCCGTCTCTTCGATGCCGCCCTCTCTCACAGGATGCCCATGATGATGCGTCCGAGATGCGTCGTGCCGCGGGTGTTTCTCGTGTCGGCGCGTTGATCGTCCCTTCGAAGCCGCCCTCACTCGATCATTACTCGCGCCCCAGGAGTTTATCCTAGCCCCGCGACGACGGGACACGCTTTGCGGAAGGAATGCTGTGCCGACCGGACGCCCGTTCACTTCCCTCCTCGCCCTCGTAACGTACGGCAATGATGCGTCGGAGAGACTGCGAGAGAAACTGAATCACATATCACATCACGCGCAAGCCAATGCGCCGATGATGACGCAGGGCGAGGGAAGAAGGGAGCAGAGGAGCGAAGATCTCGAGCTCGACCACTGTGCAAAACTGACGGCGCCATCTGGCGCGTGTCACGTGAAACAACTACTGTCAATTTCGCGAACTAAAATGGCGCTTCTTTTTTTCGACCGTCGATAAAATCACTGCTCACTCGCGCATGATTTTTTTCTTATGCGGATATGTTATTATATTATTATTATTATTATTATATGTTATAATATATATTATAATTATATGTGTTATTATTAAAATATTTTTACTCACACATGTAGATGACACACTGTGACATATTTCCTTGATAAGAAAACGATTTTTTGAAAATATCTTCAGAGAGAGAGAGAGAGAGAGAGAGATGCGTCTCTCTCGCTTCGCCGTGCTGCGCAGTGAGGGACGGTGGAGAGAAGACTAACAAGTGCGCAGCTGTTCTCCCACTTCGCGCTCTCCCCACTCAGCGCCCATCACGTGACACGTGTCACGTGACGCGCCGCATACCAGCGCCGCCTAGAGGTTAAAGTCGATTTAAAGTCACACGAAGCAAGACGCACTGTCTCTCTCTCTCTCTTTTTTTCTCCCTCTTTCTCTCTCTTTCTTTTCTTTCTTTTTCTCTCCACGATAATTAGAATAATTTCGTATAAAATAATATAAAGCGGCAACATCAAACGCATTGAAGCATATATGCGAAACGCAATTAAAGCAAACGTAAAATATACTTTAATATCGATTCACTATTAACGATTCGTAAGCAAATAATATGCGGTGTTATATTTCGCGTGCAGTGACAACGAAATATTTTGTGTTATATATTTTTTAACTGTATATGTGACAATAATATTACTATATTATTAGATTTTTTCGAGTAGAATATCAAATATAATCTGTTTATACGTACGTGCAATGTATCTTTGCGAAATAAATGATGAATATCGATGTCACAAACTTTGCACACAAATCTACTTCCGTGAATTTCTGTCTCCAATTCGCCTTCATCAAAATTTAATTACGCGCGTGATTTAAATATGCATTGAAATATATTTAATATATGACAAATGATAGAAATCTCTGATTGGTTGATCTAAAAAACCCTAAAAATCAAGCGTTGTGATTGGTTGTGAAAAATCGAAACGCGGATAAACGAGACTTTCGCATCTAGACTATTTATATAGTTTATGGCTGGAATCGGCGCATGTGTGGTGTGGTGTAGTGAGAAATCATGGAGCAGCAATGAGATTCACTTTACGTCGTCCTGTACCTTGTTTTCATTTTCGTAAATAGATTTATGCGATAGAGACAATGGCAGAATTGTTGTTGGATCCAAATATTCGTGGCTGGGTGTTCCTACCTATTGTAGTAATCACTTTCCTCGTCGGCATAATCCGCCACTATGTTTCGATACTGCTCGCTTCGCAGAAGAAGGTCGAGCTTCATCAGGTGCAAGATAGGTAAATATTTCACCTATACGATTTATTAAGAATTTATATTATTTTAAATATATAATTATATAAATATATTATATTATAATGTTAAATATTTTATATTATTTAAAATATATTAAATATTTTACAGTCAGGTCATGATACGCTCCAGATTGCTCAGGGAGAATGGACAGTACATACCAAAGGTAGCTTTTATGACCAGGAGACATTTTTTCAATAATGAGGAGACTGGGTATTTCAAGACTCAGAAGCGTGCTCCTGTCTCCCAAAATCCTATGACTGATCCAAATATGATGACCGATATGTTAAGGGAAATGTGACCAATGTATTGCCTATGGTACTCATTGGTGGTTGGATTAATTGGATGTTTTCTGGATTTGTAACAAGTATGTAATATATTGTTGAAATATTTATTTGTATTTACTATTGCATATCTAATTATAATTTGTTTGACCAGACTTTAATGTCATATTATTTTTTTTATTTTAGCCAAAGTACCATTTCCATTGACACTACGATTCAAACCAATGTTGCAACGGGGTATAGAATTAGTTACATTAGATGCAGCATGGGTTTCTTCAGCTTCGTGGTATTTTCTCAATGTATTTGGATTAAGATCTATTTATACACTTGTGCTTGGTGAAAATAATGCTGCAGACACTGCAAGATTAGTACAAGATCAAGTTTCGGGCGCTGCAATGTCCATGCCGCCTGATCCAAAAGCAGCTTTCAAGTCTGAATGGGAGGCATTGGAGATCTGTGAACATAATTGGGCTCTACAGGGAGTAGATGCCGACATTATTGGTATTCAATCGAAATCAGATACAGTTGATAGTATATATCATCAAGGCAAAGCAAATTAAGATCTAGTTAAATTATTTATCATATAAATTCCAGAAAAATTTTATTTATTTATATGTTAAGCAATAATTTCTCAGCATTTACTTGTTTGAAATATATATTTTTCCTTTTTTCTAAATAAATAGATAAAGTACAGTAAAAAATGTACTTTAATTTTAACAAATTGTGATAAAACAACCTCAAATATAAAATTAATAACAATAATGCTACTTTATTCTAAATTTGTGTTGTGGGTTCCTATAAATGTAAATCTATCAAAATTAATATATCCATTAATTACACTAATCGCTTATTTACTTAGTAAATTCTTTTGCTTATATTAAATAGACTTTCGATATTCCATATTAGAGTACAAATCAGTACGACGGTGTTCTTCGCACGGCATGTTTTTTCTGACTTTTTCCAATAATGCGAGATCAATTTCTGCCACAGCAATACCCGTCTTTTCTGCACTTTGTGCTATAACAGCGCCCCAAGGATCTACAATCTGAAAAAGAATGGATTGTAACTTGGTATTGTACATTTTATTAATTCTATTAAGAGAAAGCATATATATATTATATTCACCATAGTATGACCCCAGCTCACTCTCTTTTTATTGTGCGCGCCAGTTTGTGCTGCGGCTATGACATAACACTGATTCTCTATAGCTCGTGCTCGCAACATCACTTCCCAATGTGCCGCACCTGTTTGATAAGTGAAGGCTGATGGATAGGTGAGAATTTGTGCTCCCATGTTCCGCAAAGTTAATGATAACTCGGGAAACCGCATATCATAGCACTGATATTGTTAAGTATTATTATAGATATTTTGTATCAAAAAAGAAAATTTGTTTTAAGGATACAATGCTCAGTGCGAGCTTTCCGATTGGTGTAAGCACAGGGGGCACGATTTGAGTTCCTTTCAATACATAATCCGATTCCATCAAACGTACTCCAGTATCCTTATTATCCATGTCAAACAAGTGTATTTTTCTGTACGCAGCTACCAATTGCCCCTCATTATTTATCAATATATGTGTATTGTATATCTTTTCTGTATTATCTGACTGAAATAATTAGAGAAGAAATGATCTTGTATATTACTAAAGAAACGTTTTTTTTCCTTTGTGTATAAATATGTAAAACAGAAACTAAAATATTACAGCCTCATGAATTCCACCTAAGGATAACCAGATGTTATTCTTAACAGCAATCTCTTTATAAGATGCCACTGTCTGTCCAGTTAATGGTTCAGCCATAGCGACAATATCCTTCTTATTATCTGCCAAGTAATCGCAAGCTTCGGGGAAGAATGCCATCTGTAAATATTTTATAGAGTTTTAAAACTTGAAAAAGAGATTGTTATAAAATATAGAACATTTAATAATATTTATTCAGTAAAATATATACATACTACAGCTGATCTGTGTTTGGCCTCAGCTGCTAATTCAGTTACAACTTCCAGATTTTTTACTTTGTCAGCTATTGATCGCATTTGACATACTGCAATTAGTGGATTCGCCATTGTGCTAACACAACGCTTTGCCTGCTGTATGCTAAAATGCAGAAAGTTTATTCTTAATTGCGATAAAGAAAGATCATACATCAAATATAATAAGAAACATTTTTTTAAATATAACAAGATAAAGTTAGTTTTTACATGCAGTATTTTTTTTAATTTTTTGTTTCATGTGTACTTGCATATTTTTATTTAAAATTTATGATGATGGCAATTTTTTACCTGTAATGATGAGTGATAATGGACCATGCACGTTTCATTATCTCATTATTAATACGTCACTATGTGTTATCAAAGAAAAATTAAGCTTATCTCTAGTTATATATATTATTTCTATCAACTTGCAAAGTTGACGTTCTATATATATATAATCTAAAAAATTTTTTTTTATATTTACACTTTTCCTCCAAATTTTGATGACATATCGATTATCTGATTAATTTTCAGTATAAAAAATTACAATACATGTTCATCGTACATAGTTTAATCTAACCTAATCTAACCTAACCTACCGGTCTCTTATGACAGATGACAGATCCACTAATTCTGTAAACATAAAAGAAAACAGCTTTGATAATTTATATGTAATATAATTTATCATTACGAGAAAAATAACAGTTGCTTGGTGTAAAGAATTTTAACGATGTTTGCGTAAGTTTTATTCTGTCGATACTAATATAATCTTTTTCTGTCAGATATAACCTTATTTCTTGTAATACTTTACAATTAACGATATTATTAATACTTCTGATGTTAAATAATTGTCTGATTTTATCATATAGTATTAGATAAACTTTAGAATTTTTAATCTTATGAAATTATGTAAAAATATTTATATTTGTATATTTTCAATTACTGTGCATACAAGTTATGTTTTGAAACCAGAGATTAATACAGTTTCTTCCAAAAAGATAAAAGTTGAATTAATAAACTATCTAATGTTTATAAAATAATTTTTTTTAATAAAATATTTAAAAAAAGATTTATCTTATAAGAAAAAAATATATTGATTTATACATGTATCTCTATCTAATATTTGTTATATTAATTAGGGTTCTTTAAATGCGACATTTAAGTAGCAAGGGACAAATAAAAAGAATACAATAGATTACATATATTAAACTCTCAAGACATGGCAGCCATTCGACATACTTTGCAACGGGAAGTGTTCACTCCTAGCGATGAAAAACTACTTAGTGTATGCTATGTAAGCAAAGCTTACAAGAAGAAGAAAATGAGCTTCTTGTGCCTGGCTACAACGACGGATACACCAGGATCTCTTATATTGTACCAAATAAAAAAGAATGACAAGAATGTTTATAAAAAGAAACAATCATGGCCTCTAAGTGACATACAAGTTGTAGACGGTGTTAAAAACGATTCCATGGATATAGAACTGCATATAGACAAAGTATACAAATGGTCATCTACTACAGCACAGGAAAGACGAACGTTTATCAGTAATCTATACACTTATTCGTATAGTTTAGCCCAGAGGCCAGAATTCAAAAATATTCCCAAAGAATGGTTGATTGATCCAATTGCTTTAAAAGAGAGTGACAGCATCACATTTACGCCTGGTAAATCTTTTTTGTTTAATTAGATTAGAATTATTGATATATCTCTGTTAATGTGCATATAAAAATGTATTTTTAAATTCTTAGTACTTTTGCATAATAATTTAAAATTTCAGATCTTTTGGCATCACCTATTACTTCAGATTATCAATCTATTACGGAAAAGGAGGCTGTTGACTTAAAACAAATGATGGAAAATTGTGAATATGCTGTTTCCAATGCTGAGCTTTTTATGGAAACTCTTTCAAAGGATTTATCCATTCTTGATGGGGTAAATTAACTTTTATAACAAAAAATGCTAAATTTATAGTTTTGATTTATAGAACTATTTCATTCTATCTTTATATAGGAAAATGTACACTCGGTCTTAGCATCAGAGCAGAGGGTAACACAGCTGATGAATAGTATAGATGCTGCAATAATCGAAGCTTCTATCGTAGAAGCGCGATTAGCAACGTACGACGAAGCATTAGGAAGAATAAGAGAAGTAATGGCTCGAGTTGGGCAAAAGAATCAAGCTATACATACAGCCAATAATAATGCGAGACTTTTGTTAGATCAGCTAAATCTGGTCATTGTAAGTAATACTATAAGGATTATATAATTAAAATTAAAATTTTTCTTTATTGTAATACATAATTTTTTTTGTTTTAGTCACAATTAGATATTTCTTCAACACATCAACGTACTTTGAATGAAGCTGAACTGCCAGGCGAAAGAGAAGAGCTTGGTTCTGCAGGTGCAGCGCTCTTAAAAGCAATCACAGCACCACTTCCACCTGGCTTGGACAAGTTGAGTGCTGTCACTGAACAGAAAAGACGATTGGACAAGCTTAAAGCAAAATTCTCAGTTATTGTTGCTAGACATTTAAATAATCTTTTTATACACTTGGTAATTTTTCAACATTTTATATTTCTTGATAATGTTATCAAATGTAATTAGAATGAGAATATTTTTTTTCAATTTTTTAATTGTATTTTAGGGTAATGATATCGGAGATGCATCGACTTCCATGACAGATCTAATCTTACCGACTCACCAAGGAGTTCATAATGAACTCGTACCATACACCGAATTGATGCAGTTGCTTAGAGCATTAGATAATAAAGCCTTTGTGCTGTTAACTAAAGTCTATACCGATACCATGAGCAAACTGTACAAGAGGGATCTAAAACGTTTCTTTGAGGAAGCCAAGAATAAGCTTATTAATAAACGTCTACAAGGTACAATAGAATAATTTTTATAGTCGAGCTCCAATTAGTGTAAATAAATAATAAATATAATAAATATGTGAAAATTTTAATAAATAGGAATTTTTTTAATGAATAGGTTACAGTAAAAACAAATCGGTGTTGCATGTGTCTTGATAAATTGTATATATTAATAAAAAAAATACGTTTTAAGCAAATACATCAAGATCTAGTGGCCAAAAAGGTGAGGATCTGCTCAACCCAGCGCCTATCTGTCTGTTGAGTGGTGAAGTATGGACACCGGTGGATGAAGGTAATCTTCTGGATTCGGTTCTGGATTGTGTGCTTTCCCAAATGCAGCCAGTATGTCTCGCTGAGCAAGGATTCTGCGTTTCGTTTCTTCAATTGGACTCCGTTCTTTCGCCTTCCAAAGTAAGTGTGCTAACGAAATCTCTAAGTTTCAGTTTCTTTAATTAGCGCTCATTTATTCGTGCAGAGCAGCGAGATGGAAGAAATTGAAAGCACGAGTAATGGCGCAGCGAGTCCAGGGTCGGTGACTTCGACGGCGAGCAAAAGGTTGGAGCGCCAGGTCAACGAAGATGTGCGCGCGACCATGGCTGCGATATTTCCATCCTTGGAAACCGAGTTGAACAACTTTATCGGCTTCTTGGATAAGATCGACAGCTTGTAAGCATGCTTTGAAAGAAGAATTTATCCACTCAAATTATTTGAAGTTTTTACTATGGTAAATAGCAGGGTTGCGTAAGTTAATAATTTTAAATCAATGAAGTTAATTGTAAGTTAAAAATGATTAACTTTTAATTAATTAACTGATTACTATCAATCTTTGCTAAATAGTTTTACAACCATTTTTTAAAATAATTTTGTTATTTGCAGTTGGTGTATGTATGTGCTGGTGCGACTCTCACAGCATGTCATGTCCGCTCAAGACACCGGCTCGTTTTTGTCGATGACCTTTGCATCTGCTTTGATTCACGTGAAACGAGCATTCGACAAATTCATGCAGGCGCAGCTACAGTCCATATTATGCGACACGAAAGTCAATCGTCGACATAAATGCGGTATATTGCCGTACATAGAGAACTTTGGACCGTTTGCCAGAACCGCGGAGAAGATCTTCCGCAACTCCGACAGGAAGGTCGACCTTGAAAAATGGTATACGAAACTCGTGAGCGCAATGTTCGAAGCTATCGTCATTCACAGCCGAGAACATCATAAGACGCCACAAGAAGTTATAAAAATGGGTAAGAAATATTTCAATATAATTAATAATAAAATTGTTATCTATAATTCCGATTATTAATAATTATTTGCTCTTTTATTATTTATATATAGTTGATATAATACTTATTTTATTTTAGAGAATTTCCATCATCTCTATGATCTCCTCTCACAACTGAAAATTTCTGTATTGGATCATGAGCGAAAGGAAGCTAAACAGAAATACCAGGATGCACTTCGTGCTTATGTTACACAATACTTTGGACGACCTCTTGAGAAACTTAATGTAAATTATTATAATTACTTTTGCAGTTATTATATTGGAATATATTAATAAAAAAGATGTATTAATTTTTAGCTTTTCTTCGAAGGCGTACAAGCCAAGGTAGGTGCTGGTGTAAAAGAGTCCGAAGTTAGTTATCAGATGGCCTTCAGTAAGCAAGAGTTGCGACGTGTAGTAAAAGAATATCCTGCGAGAGAAGTTAAGAAAGGTTTGGAGAATCTATATCGAAAAGTTGAGAAACATCTGTGCGAAGAGGAAAATTTGTTACAGGTAGAATACAGGAGAGATACATTGCTTATACTTTTGATAATTCTATAATAATCGCAATATATTGTATTTTTCCATAAACAAAAATTGTCAATTTGCAATATTAGTTATTGTATTTATATTTACAATAATTAATTCTATTCAAATTTAAAATAATTATATTTATAATTTTAATTATTTCTGATTAACCATGTCTGTATGTGTATTCACAGGTCGTTTGGCGCGAAATGCAAAACGAATTCATTGCACAATACAGGAATATTGAAGAGCTCATACAACGTTGTTATCCGGATAGTAATGTGACACTAGAGTTTACCATTCAAGATATTTTAGAATTCTTTTCAGAAATAGCGCGTTCTCATTGAACTGAAAAGATATTAAAATATAAAAATGCTATTTATATAACTCAATTATTAATATAATTATTATAACAAGAGCAACAATAAAAAAAAAATATATATAAGCAAAATATATAAACATATGTATGTTAAAATTGTGTAATAATCGAATAACAAAAAATAATTTAATATTGCAGTTCTAAAATAGAAAATTTAATTTATTGGGTATAATATATATTATTTATATTTATATGTGTGTTTTAGATATCAATTTTTATCTATCTCATTTATGCAATTTTTATAGACAAAGTACATATAAAATAAATATATATTTTAAATATTTACATCAAAGCAGATATGAGATAAGTATAGGTATAGGTATATTTTTAGTTATACCCCTTATAAATATGAACTATTTATTGAGGAGAATACAATTATTGCATGTTACATTCACACAATAAAGCATATAACATTCTCAACAGTTGCATGTAGCCAGATTGCTTTTATATCTAGTTTAATCATCTAATACTTTGTGTGAATATTTATTTCTGTTCAGCAGGTTCCTCAGGTGGGGAAAAGTTAAAGAAGATAATGCCTGATACTTTTACCTGAAAATAAAAAATTATATATTGCATAGACTTTAAATTTATAATTTATAAAACATATTAAAAATAAAATTGAAAATACAAAATTCTATTGTAATATAATTGAGAAACAGAATTATATTATAAAAGTATGTAATTTAACATATGTAGCATTATTTGAAAAATTTAATACGTACAAAAGCTATGGTACCAATCAGTACAGTAAGTCCAGCAATTAATTGGGTATTGTAAACTTTTGTCTTGAATTATAGTGCTCTTGCCATGAGCCTTGTGGTACTGGTAGATCATTTACTGTTGGCCATTTAATATCCACCACTTGTGAGCTCGCAGAACGAGTACCTTCACAAAAAAATTATATATATTATATATATATAAATACATTAATTTGTAATTTATTTTTTAGTATTCTATATATAGAATATATAGTATTCTATATATTTTAGCATATCTATATTTTCGCTTTGATAATTTTTATAAATTTATAAATACAATGTAATCAAAGTGTTCTAATTTTAAAAGAATTTTTGATAAATTTGGAGTAATTTTAAATGATATAACTTTGACTCAGTTAAAAAAAAATAATCTATCAAAATTAAATCAAAGAACAGTTTGTTAATCAATTGTAAGATTTTATTTTACAGTTACAATTTTTTTGGTAATTATTAATCCCTTATAATTAAAAAAATTGCTGGTACAAATTTGAAGAAATACTCGACAGTAAATGGATGAATGAATCTAGAATAGATGAACAATTTTGTAGACAAATTCTTTTATTATCGCCATTAATTTATTAAAGACTAACATTTATCAACATTTATGCCAAGTGACCAAATATTATGTAAGATTGATATATGATTGATTAAACCGTGTGATATGTGAAATGGAACAGATGTAAGATGAGGAAATCTCACCAATTTTGGCCACGTTGCGAACAACCGGTCGCAATATTTGATTAAACATTTTAATGGAATTAATCTGCGTTCGACGCAGTCACAAAATTAGCGAAACGTAACACACAAGCCAAGTGAAATATATGACAAATTGATTCTAAAAAAAGTACACTCGGAAAATTCGCGATGCATAGAATACGCAACTACGTGAAGAGCAAACCCGTGTTTGACAAAGAATCACGCCATCTTGCGATGTTTTAAAGAAACAAATACGACTAGCTTGTCGATAATTGTTTTTAAATTTATTTTTAATTTAATTTTATAATTTTTACATAGAACAGAATATATAAATATCAGTATGTATATTTTTGTATTGATATTAATAAATTATAACTTATAATAAATATAATAATAAACGGAAGCACGTTTTATACATGTATTCAAATATAAGAATTATATATTTGATAGAAATTCTATTTTAATTATTTTTTTGATTGTAATTTTGAATGTGTAATTCTCTTGTAAATTGTAATTGAATCTAAATATTATAATCTAAGTGTATTGAAAGGAAAGAAGACTCAATAGATTTACCTTAAATTAACTTAATTGTTATCTTAACCTAATACATAATTAAATTTAAGATTATACTAAACATAAATTAAAATAATAATGTTAGATTTCGCCATTCAATTATATAATCAGACCATTAAACCAGAACATAAAAAACTCAATTATTCTATAAACATAATAACCATATAATTTGCTGTGTGGTTATATATGTATGAATAATATTATCTATTGCCATTATGCTCATAACTAAATTATTTATATTATACCGTTCAAAAATGAGATGTAATTGGATTGTTTCATTTGCGTTTGTCTTTTATGTTTTTGACACTTGTATTCATGTCAGAGGGATTGTGAAGGTATCAGAGATATAATGCCAATGTTTTTACCCAGTTTTACACATTTACATTTCTGTTAATGCCATTAATTCAGGCAATTCAACAAATAACGCAATTCGATTTTTCTTGTACATTTCCATTGGCTTTTTCAATCTCCATCAGTAATGTGTGAAAAATATCTGCAACAGACTATGAAAATCATATTTAATAAAGAAAGTCACAATTTTTTTAAAAAAAAAAAAAATCTATAAGAATCTATAAATACCTCATTTTGTTTTGCACTGGTTTCTAGAAATGCTGCATTCCAGGAATTCGCCAAGCGTTTTCCTTGGTCTGTCGTGATCATACGATCAACGTACAAATCTGTTTTGTTGCCCACTAATACAATTGGAACACTACACACAAATATTATAATTTATAATTATAGTCCGAATGAGAGAACAAATAAATATATGAACATTTGAGAATCAAATATCTTACTGAAGCTTTCCAGTGATGTCAAGTAATTTGTCATAAATAATTTGTACAATTTCAAAACTCTTTGCACTGGTTATGCTGTATACCAGGACATAACCGTGGATGTCCATGGAATACTGAGTAGGAAATATGCTATATTCATCTTGACCAGCTGTGTCTACTAGTTTAAGTTCATAATCTTGACTATTTACTCGTGTACTTTTTGTAAATGCTGCAGTATATAAAAAATATTAATATAGTATTTAATAATTTAAAAAAATCAATTAAATTATAAGTTAAAATGTATAATATAGAGATAAAAGTATTTCTTACTATTCTCTATTGTAGGATCATATGAGTCTACAAATTGTCCTTCGACGAACTGTATACTAAGGGATGATTTACCTATTAAAAATTAATACATAGCATTAAAGCATTGCACATCTGAATATACTGTGAACACAATATGTTAAATTTAAAATACTGTATAATATAACATAACTATAAGTGCTTGTGCTTCATTGTAGAAATTACAAGTTATTTATATACTCATAAAAACATGTAATAAATTCTTTGGATTTTACCTACGGATCTATAGCCCATAATAGCTATTTTCCTCTGTTTGGGAGGCATGTTGTAGTATTTACAAACTGAAAAGCAGCGAGAATGTTCAGTGAAAGCTGGTGCATAATCCAGCTACAATCTGTTAACAAAAAAATATTGCAACTACCAAAGTGTTTCTCTTTTTAAATCTCATTTAAATCTACCATGAAAATAAATCAAAATTATTTTGCATTAGACTAATATTGCAAAAATGTTTTTTCTCATGAAAAATCTAGCAGAAAATATATTGTGTAAACGGCGTCGTTTACACATCCATATATTTACATAACGACAATACCGCATCGCAAATATCTTTTATTTATGTTTGACGTACAATCTGTCTTCGACTGCGACACGTTTTATTGGCGATGCAAACTTACATCAGCGAGGAAGTAAACAACTAATGAACATCGACATTGTGTCGACAATAAACGTATATCTATAAGTGCATATATACGTAGTGCGTACTATCCAAAGGTTGCGCTGAATTAACAATCGCTGCGTGGCGATCTCGGGGAAAATACTATGACAGGAAGAAAAGAGTAGGGCGAGAGGAGAATCGAAACAGAATACGTATACATACGCGGGTGGAAGTGTGTCTTACATCAGTGCGTAACGCCCCTGGATTATGCGGCGACGACGTTCCCAAGGAGCCGCACATAGATCGACGATACGGATTTGCAGGTCGCACTGTGTCAGAGAAGCGGAGGACAAAAAAACAAATAACGCTTTCAACTACGCACTGTCCAACGCACGCACGTACTACGGACGCACGCGTACGTGCAGTGCACGAAGCGAGAGCGAAAGAGAGAGAGAGAGAGGAAATAGGGAAAGAGATGACGCCAATGACGTGTATACATCTGCGTCATATATATGTATAACTTTACGTCGCGAAAGTCTGCCGCTTCCGGACGAGTTGGAGGATATTTGACATTTCGATTATTAAAAAGATACTATAAATATATATATATATATGCGGGAGGAAATAATTAACAAAATTAAAATTTTATTTAATCAGGTTTATTGATGATTAATACACAGTCGCTTGAGAAATTTTATTAGAAGTTAAATATTACGTAATATTGAATTACAGCAACAGATAGCGATAGTTTATATTTTTTAAATCAATATATATATATATGACTGTAAATAATTATATCTATATATAGATGCAATTCGGAAGTACGTATAATCAGACGGAAATAAGGCATACACACGATGGCGAATTATACATAAACCAGCTTAAATCAACTCTGTTAATTAAGTCTGTAAGTCTATCCTTTTTAAGTAATTACAATTTTTATAGTCTCTTTTTCTTTTTTTATTCTTTTAAATTATAAGAATATTCAAGTATTTTCGATTATCCAATTTCGGTGCTTATTTTCGTACAATCAATAATTTACAATATATATTTAAAATTATCTAGAGGCATTAAATAATGTTTTGTTAATTCTAAATATCTTATATGGTGTCAATAAAAAGAAGAATTTATAATATTTTTGTATAAAAGTGTTAAATCTCTGTTATCGCAATTTTTTGGCGCCAAAATATGAAGCACGCTAATTGGTCAATTTTTTTGAGCTTCTAGGGATTTTTTTAGTGAAATTAGTAGTTCTCTATCCGAGAGCGAATCAGCGTGCTCGAAAAATTTGTCCACGATATTGCGAGGAAGCCTTAATCTAGATATCTGGAGGCCGAACTAGAAACAAATAGTTCATGACAGTAGTCGACCAATAAGATTATTTTGGTTTTAACCAGTCTTTATAATCCATGACAGTCTTAAATCTCTCGGATCATGTCAAGTCGGAGTTGATAGAAAGTTGATAATAATTCGCACTTGATTGGATTTTTATTAATAATTCTCGTGCTTGAAACATACATATATATATGCGTATATATGGGCCGCGTTTCGTCCGCAAATCGTAATTTCCTTTCTCCGGCATTATTTTATTATTTTGTCGCTCGACCGTCTCTTCATTTAACGTGCTCCAATCTGCTCGTTACTTGACGATAATATGATGCCAAACACGGACGTTTATGACAGTTTGTATCTGTGAGTAGAATATTTTCATGACAGATGGCTACGTCTTGTCATTTGACGTAAAATATAAAAAATTTATATATACTGTCAATTTTAGTTTTTTACTTCATCATTTTTTTTCTTATATCTCATCAAGGTATGCAACTCCAGAAAAATTTTTTGTGGAGCCAGTCGGGACCAAAGTCCTGCTAGTGGTTGATAGAGTGAGTCAGCAAATCTATACGCAAGGTAATTTGCAATCGATTTTGTTATTTTAAATTAATCCAGCACATTGAATGATATATATTTGTTTCTTCTGTCAGTTGGTACAGCTAGTCAAATTCCAACAACTGCTAGTCGTAGGAAAATATGGGGACTGGTGGGGACCATACGCCTTTTGGCGTGTCGTTATCTCATTGTCATTACGGATGCTCAAATGTGTGGTACTATAGCTGGGCATAACATCTACAAGATATCGTCGACAGAGGTGATACCTTATACGAGATCATCTTTACATTTGACTGAGAAACAGGTGCAAAATAATGCCACATACTTGGAGATGATGAAGTCAGTCTTGAATACACCATACTTTTACTTCAGTTATACCTATGACCTTAGCCATGCCATGCAGAGGTTGCATAACACAACACCTGAATTCTTGCAAGTAAGTACATTGCAATATATTTTTATCACTGTTTTACATAACGCTTTATAAACAGTTTTACAATAAAAGTATGCGTTGTTATTTAGATGCCACTTCATGACAGAGCAGATCCTAGGTTCGTATGGAATGCCTACCTTCTGCAGGACTTGAGTGCTAGACCGGAGCAGTATAAATTTTGTTTACCCATTATTCATGGCTGTATCCTTTAACATATTATTCTTCATGTCAAATACGAAGTAATATGTTTTTCTATAATGATCTTAACAATTAATTTATACAGTCGTCTCGCTGAACACTGTGGTTGTGAACGGTGTCGCATTCAACTGGGGCATTGTCTCTAGACGTGGTATACATCGTGCTGGCACAAGACTATTTTCGCGCGGTATAGATGCCACAGGGAACGTTTCCAATTACGTGGAGACGGAGCAGCTGATAGAAGTAAATGGCGATCGCAGTTCCTTTGTGCAAACGCGTGGATCCATTCCTCTGTTTTGGTATCAAGCACCAAACTTGAAGTACAAGCCAAAACCACAAATCAGTCCACATGAAGATCATCAAAGCGCTTGTGCGCGACACTTCGACGCTCAGATCTTTCACTATGGAAGACAAATCTTAGTAAATTTGGTAAATTGTCTTTTTTTTGACATATCTATAATATTTCAATATTTTTTTTGAAATTTTATATATATATAAAATTTATATGAACATTTATATATAAATATAAATATTATATATAAATTTATATTATATACATAAAATAATAAAACAAAATTTGAATAGTATGCTAAGCAAGAATTATTATATTATATTTAATTATATTTAAGATAATTTATTTTATTGTGAAAATTATTATTATTTTATTTATACTTATGAAATTTTTGCTATATTTTAAATAGATCGATCAACGTGGACCAGAAGCACTACTTGAAAATGCATATCGAAATTTAGTCCTAAGAGTCAACAATCCAAACATTCGATATGAGGCTTTTGACTTTCATGCAGAATGTAGAAGATTGAGGTGGGACAAATTGAACAATTTAATGGATCGACTAGCCCATGATCAGGAACAGATGGGGTACTTCTTGTTAATGAGGGATGGAGCATTGCTTTCGGTTCAGGATGGCGTTTTCCGTACAAATTGTATTGATTGCCTGGACCGAACGAATGTTGTACAAAGCATGCTGGCGAAGCGAGTGCTCAATGAAGTATTGAGCAGGCTAGAAATACTTAGAAAAGTGGAGGATCATCCTGCGTTTGAAAATCTGTTTAAACAGGTAAGAAATTATGTTTATCTAGGCGTAATAATAGAGACTTAATTTCTTTAAACATTCAATTATCTTTAAGAGTATTTAAGATAATTAAATGTTTAAAAAACAATTGAGATAACATATAATGTAATAATATAATATTTATAATAAACCAATATGATAATTATAATAAAATTAATATATATATATATATATATATATATATATAATTATAATAATTAATATATAATAATTATATATTAATTAAGAAGTTTTAATATAAAAGTTAAATGATGTACATATATATATATATACACACATAATACAATATTAATAATTATACAATATATACTTATGCTCATACAAAAATATTATTAAAAATTTTTTGTTAACATTTTTAGGTTTGGGCCGATAATGCGGACGTGATAAGTGTCCAATATTCTGGCACAGGAGCATTAAAGACGGATTTCACACGAACTGGAAAGCGCACCAAATTGGGCGCGATGAAAGACGGACTAAATTCACTAACGAGATATTACAAGAACAATTTTGCCGATGGATACAGACAGGTCAGATAAATGTTGAAAATATTTTTACATCTTTTTTTTCGGTGATATAACGATCCTTACGTTATAGGATTCGCTGGAGCTTTTTCTGGGTCGCTATATCGTGCAGGACGGCGAATGCACTTCCATTCAATGTCCTTTGGAAACCGAGCGAAATTGGCGTTACGCTACATTCCCGCTCGTTCTTTTAGTCGCGTCCTCGATGTTAGTCGCTCATATAATATTACCGTCGCGATACACAACGGAAATATTACTTTATATGCTATTTTGGGGTGCCATGGTGGCCGGCACTTTCGCTACTATTATCCATCATGGCAAGCAATATGTCGATAAGCCAAAATTACTTTAGAATTAATAAATAATTCTATGAAACTTTAAATTATATATATATATATATATATATATATATATATATATATATATATTGTACAATGTTGATAATCGATGGCGATAAGAGATTGTAGAATTCTATTAGTTTTGCACATTTATCAGTTGGATCAATCGGTACCTCGGTTTTTCTATACACAGATCTCATCGTATGATGTAATAACAAGGCTTACCTCCTTGAAGACTTAAGATCTTCATCTTCGGAAATACTATTCGCGTTTCATTGTAAGATTAGAGATGGCCGTATTCGTTGAATGTGTGTATTTTTATTGGTGGTAGAAGGTGTATGTCGAGCAATGATGTCTCTTATACGAATTATTATGGTGATTTTTGCACTTTCCGTATAATAGATAGTGGACTACACAATTCTCTCGGACGATTCTCGTTTCTGAGAGTTCGCTTGACATCTTGACGAACTCTTATAAAGTAATGCGTGATAAAGAATCAGACCTTTTGGTCTCCTGCAGCGAGTAGGGCTAATCGCAGATTGTACTCAGCACCTACCGTCCATAGATAATCTGCAGCTGGTTTCCGATTTGAGGTAATAGAAAGGGTTTAAGGAACCTTTCTCATAATCTTTCCAATTATGGCAAATTGAAATTTTTTCGCACAAGTCCGAAGTCGTTTAAAGTTATTATTGTAATTTTAAACAATCTTGTTCTAACAATAAGTGTTCTTTTTTTTTCATAGAATGATTAGTCATTGTGGGAACCAACTAAAAATAATTTTTAAGCATCACAATGCTAAAATTTTACTTATCTAATTTTTGAAAGAAAAACAAGTTGAATAAATTTTATTCAAACACATACAATTACATTTTTTTATCTAACATGAAGGAAGACGAGTTTTATTATATTGTTTTCAGTGGAATCTTTATTTATATATAAATTCTCTTTTCTCCTCTCTTTTACTATACATACATACCTATACATACACACGCATACATGGATAAAACCGATTTTTTATAGAATCTCAAGGAAATAATAAAAATCATACAAGAATAAATAAAGATTCCATCCGAACGTTTTTATAAAAACTCTTCAATTTACTCTTTAATTAGACAAAACATGAACAGACCAGATATTAAGAACCCAGAAAGTTCTTAAAAGGAATCTAGATAATTAAAATCGACTCGTATAAACGAACCGAATGCATCGCTGGCAATTTGTATTTGGGCATTCGTGATTTGCAAAGTGCTTCATGAAATAGAATTAACGTTATAAATCAAGAGCCAAATGCAAGGACATACGAATTTTCGTAGGCATGAAATCTTGAGCCAAAGTACATTTTTAGGATATATATATGTATATTGTATTTTACTGTACATCTGCAATATATGATTACGAATAATATCATCTATTTAAATGTAGACGAAAGAAATGTCACGATGAGAGAGTATTTTTTAATATTTCAAAGACAGATCACCGTTAAAAAGGGAAGGATCTTAAGTAGATGACGGAGTTTATTCGTCGACAAATATTACTAATATATCTTTCTTGTGAATTTTCGGAATGTAACGTTAATTATAAATAGATAAATTATACAAACATACATGCATCGTGTACAAAAATGGTTGTTTCAATATATAATGTTATTCTTATTTATTTTTATTTTATTTTAAGCTGCTTTTTTCTCCAAGAAAATAGAATATTAGAAAATCCAGCAAAAATCCTATCCATCTAAAAGTGGAATATCAGAATTTAAAGGATATTCTTCCCCTTTCCATTCGATATGATAGAGTTGAAAAAAAAAGATAAAATATTTTAAAGAGATTTAATATGTCTAAAAAGAAGTTGAAAAGTTTTAATAAATATTTGGATTCGTAAATTATACTTTTTATTTTTATAATTTTTATTAAAAAAATTTTTTTTAATTATTTTTATCTTTATATTTTTTATTATTTTATTCATGTAAATATATGTAAATTACATTAAATTATAGGTAAGTTAAGTTATATACGAATTATACAAAAATATATGCATTGTGTATAAAAATGTTGTATCAATATATAATGTTATTCTAATTTGTTTTTATTTTATTTGAAGCTTTTTCCAAGAAAATTAGAAAGAATATTAGAAAGTCCGGTACAAATCCTATTTAATTAAAAGTGGAATATCAGAAAGTAGAGGATATCTTTTCATTTTTCTTTCGATATACAGATTGAAAAAAGGATAAAATTGCAAATATATCTCATTTGCGGACCCATGTTTATTAAGACTCTTTAACTTATTTTACGACATACTAAATCCTCTTAAAATATTTTATCTTGTTTTCAACACCATCATACACGATATAGCGACAAGAGAGCGTGGTCCATCGCTCGTCTCATCGGATGTGCATTCGGAACGTGCGTCCCGGTGCATCCCACCAGGTGCAATCGTTCGTAATCCACGTCGCGATTCGACTCGCAAAATTCGACCAGCAAAATGTACGTCTGGCCGTTTATCACCTCGCCATTTCTCTGTGTATGTGTGTCTCGTTTTCCTCCTTTTCCATAAATCCGCGCTATAATTCCGGGTTTACAGTAATGCGCGTCCTCGCGCGAGAAGGAAGATGTAATCGTTTATTATCTCGGGCGACGAGAATCCGCGGGATATTTTTGCGCGGGTGTAAAAACGTTGCCGGACGGGGTGGAAAAGGGGTGGAAGAAGAAGAGTTACGTGGGTCATTTACCATTTGTATTAAAGTAGATCGGTCGACGCCTTTGTCTCGCGAAACGGTACGAAACGTCCTTTATGCGGCTTATATTTTAGACACGTAATTCGACCATTGTATGCGGCAATTGTGCGGGATTACGATCGTGTATCTAAAGGTATAATTAAGCGAAACACATACGTGAGCTCTTATCGTGTATTACAGTTAAAATATATATTCTAATATAAAAGAGGGAAACGGAAAGAGAAAAAGGGGATGCATGTATATATGTGTATTCACAAAATTCCCTCTCTCTCTCTCCTCAATCTTGATTTAAAGCATATAAATCTGTCCGATATTTCGAAGTCTATTTTCCTCCCCTTAGAAAACATTATTTATCTTTTATATTTAAACATCTCTTTTGAAATATTTGAGGAAAGAGAAAAAGCTGGAGAATTTTATTATTTATCCATATATCAAAGTTCTAAAAATATGTAGTAATAACTAACAGAAGTTTGGGTAGAAACATATGGCAGAAACAGAGCTAGCATGTAGTGTTTTCTTGGGACTCGCGATGAAATTGCCGCTGTTCAAAACAGACGGTCAACCCTCGAAGAAAGTCCGTTTATTGAAGACTGAAAGTAAATTGTTCCGATTATAATTCATCGAACGAAACGCGCGCTTTTGTAAGGAAGCTTTTATGTATATTTAGATCGAAATGGCGCGGTTCTTCTCTATGTCTTCTGCATTTTCGGATAAGCGCGAGATCTAGTCTCAATTGTTTTCCAATTTCATTTTTATCTTCCAAGAACAATACTTCTCTAAAAAACTAGAAAGAAATCTAGATGTTAAGCGAGTGAAATTAGAGAGTTAATTGAATTGTTTTTACAAAGAACTTAGTTGATTAATTGCAATTTAAATTGTCTAACACTTTCCCTTTCTGTCTCTCTTACGTATACCTACTTTTTTGTATAATACTGACTCTTTTATATATACTTTTGTCGAACTTTATGCAAATATTTGTATTCCATTAACTACGGCATTTGATATTTAATTAATTTCATCTAATTACCAATATTCGTATGCGCGTATTTTAAATTATTCGAAAATATATTAATTTTTTTACTGGTAACGAAAGATGATATGCATAAATATTCTAGAGAGCAGTATTAGTTGATTTTGTTTATAATATATTTTTCTTTATATTTAAATTATATTTATTGAAGAAATTGTAGTTATTCTAGCTTGCATATTTTATCAAGATAAAATAACTATTGCAATATTTATTAATTGATTACTAATTAATAAATTAATAATACTATAATATTAAAAATAATAAAAAATTTGATTAGACTCTATTTATTTATAAATAGAGTATAATAATTAAAAGAGATAAAATTAACTTCAACTTCGTAAAAACAAGGTTAAAAAGTTATCACAACTACGTCAATGGCAATAGATGAGTGCTAATTTTTTATTATTGTGAAATAAACTAATAACATGTATTATAAAATCGAAGTATGGAATAATCGGAACTTTTTTCTGATTGAGTTAGAACAGGGAGTATTTTCATTGATTTTCATTATGGACACAATATAATAAAACAAGACATGTAGTTCTCTGTAAAGTTCGATATATCTTAAAATTTTCATAAAATTCTAGATCTTTTTTAAAAAATTTTAGATACAATTTTATTTCTTAAAACAATACATTAAAAAAATTTTATGATTAAGTGTACAAAAGATAGAGACCTCAGAGCCTTCTCAACCTCACATTTTCGTAATATGAAAATAAATGGCAGATAATTTTATATATTTTAATCATATTTGTTTCATCTCGAGTTAAGTCATGATTTAAATATATACATATGAGAGTCAGCTCTTTAATACCATGATAGTTTGAATTTTAACTTTTGATTGAGATTAACTTAACAACATTGACGTTATGTTAAATTGTTGCAAAATTGTAAACTCTATTCGCTATCATTATAATTTTTTAGTTTTTTGTTTAACTGTAAATTGCAAACGCGCTGCATGATCGGGAAAATATTGGCTGGCAGTCACGTAAAATATTAATATAGTAAAAAAATAAATAATGCAAGTAGCAAATTTTATAAAGATAAATTCAATATGTACGAATTTTTTAAAGAATAATATAATAGCTATATTCTCTTGAAGAAATATTCTATTAAGTATAATATATATATATATATATCTATGTTAAAGAAAGAAAAATTAAATTATTTTAATCAAATTATTTTTTTATTTTAATTGATGTATATTTATATTTCTATACGCGGATATTTGTGTCAGTTCTTTCTTATATTTTGACAATAAACAATAATTGGAACCGTATATAAAAGCATAGATTATATTAGAATAAAAATTTCAGATTCTTTCATATCTCTTACTTTATCTCTCTATAATATCTCAGATCTAATAAATTTGATGCTTCTCTCTGTAGTTGATTTTTCTCCAATTTTCCTCAAATTATTGTTAAAGAATGTTAACTTGCCAGCTCATCAATTTTTAAAGTAATTAAAGCCAAAGTAAGTTAATAATCTTTAGTTATTAATAGATGATTGGAGGACAAATTGCATAAGAGGCCTTCAAAGACTTCATAGATATTACATATGATGGAATTGATGCACTATTATATATACATATATTACTCCTTGAAGC